TACATTTTGCAATGACAGTGCACAATTTGTGCTCTTAACTTTTGTCTGTACATATACAAAATGGCAAAAAGGCAAATGTCAAAACGTGAACGTTTGAAACACATATTCTTTAATTACAATTCCTGGTACAGACAAAAGTAGGTCACCGTTACCTACTTTTGACATTTTATGGATATATTTAAATATCTCCAATACTTATTGACTTAGAATCATCAAACTTTGTCAGTTGATGCATCTGGGTCCTTGAAAAATGTCAACCAAAAGTAGGTCATGGTGACTTAAATTTGAAATGTTGTGGCTATATTTAAATATCTCCAGGTACTTAAAAGTTTAGAATAGTAAACAATTTGTCAATTGATGCATCTTAGGTCCTTGGATAATGATAACTAAAAAGTAGGTCACAGTGACCTTCTTTTTAAATTTGTTGGAAATTTTAAAATAATTGGGTAATGATTTGTTAAGATTAATCAATCTCTGCCAATTGATGCATTTTGGGTCATCAAAATGTGTTTAATAAAAGGTTGGTCATGTTGACCTACTTTTTGGATTTTCAGGGCATTATTTAGATATTTCAAATAATAAGAGTCTTAAGATAATAAAAATTTGTCATTTGAGGCATATTGGGGTCTTAGAGTTAGTTTACTAAAAAGTAGGTCACTGTGACCAACTTTTGCAATCTCATGATTATATATTAATCTTTCAGATAATAAGGGGCTTAGGATCATCACACTTTGTCAGTTGATTATCCTGGGCTCTCCGAGAGTTTAAGCTAAGATTTAGGTCTTGATGACTTACTTTTGGAATTTGAAGGCTTTATTTAAAATTAATATACAGGATACTTAGAGACTCCAAATAGAAGCAATAGAGTGTACAATTTATCAGAAGAGCGATCCAATGCCCTTGGATCTATTGTTTTTGGTTAGATCTATTGTGCACATATTTTGCCTTTTTATGGACGACGGGAAAAAAAATTGACTCCTACATCAAGAGTGCAAAAAAAAAAAAAAAGGAATTGAGAAATAAGATTGACAATAGTGGTTCTCTTGTATCAATTATTGTAGCGAAATGATCACAACATATATCACAATGTGTGTGATATATTCACGTAAACTTTATTTGGATCAATAATTTACTTTCGTAAATTTTATTCTCGCTTAATTATAATTATTTATAAACGTCATATACTGCAGTAACAACACTTTGTAAAAAATTGATTCACATAAAAAGTAAAAAAAACTTGCTCGCGAAAATAATGTGTTGCGATAATTTCTTTAAGAGAAAATGGATGGAGTAAAAGTGAGACTTTTCTCTGAAAGTATAACTGTATTTTGTTCAAGCCACATCTTTTTATTTATTTATTTATTTTGAAGTTCAAATTAATAATTTTCAAACTTTAACAAGGCAAAGTGTTAATTTGTTCTAATTTTAATTTAAGAAAATAGTAGACATGCTTTGTCGATTAATTCTGTTACATTTGATCAAATTCAGTGTCAACAATGTTTTGAAATTCTTTGATATGTATATCACAAAATTAAAACTTGAAATAAGGAAATTAAAAAAAAATCAATAATTGCAAATTGTATATTCATAATTAACTGAAAATAATCATGAGGCTGATTTTGATTAGGTAAAATGTGAATTAACAAAATAGCTATACTTCCTGAGAATACTCATTGTTTACTTCATATATTACTATAGAAATTTGAGCAGTTTGTGCGTAAGATTGACCAATCCTAGGTGCTGCAGCTAATCAGAGATTTGTGCTTGACGTCTAAATGATGAAATATCATATTACGACTTACTTAGAAGCAAAATACAGGGGATTCTTGATTTTTATCTTTACACTTTACTACTTGGTACACACTCTTTAACTGAGTAAATACACGTTTTTACAAACATTAATTCTGCGACAGGGAAGTTATATAGTAAATATTTGATACCTCTGTGTACGTGCTCAACTGACCCGGAAGTTAGAAACCTACTTATATTAATAGACAGTAGGAAAAGGTTCACTGGTGTTCTGGTTTAGAAAATAAGGATAAATTGTGAAAACGTTGGAATGTCATGTCGGTAAGCAGCCGTACTGTGAATTTTGTGTACATGTATCTACAACTCTGTGCACGGTGGCAATCATTCAATGCATTTTAATGATTTGACCCTTGATATTTTGTGGCTGTTGACAGGCACTACAATACAGAGGCATGTAGCACAAGTTTCCTTCTGCAAGATTTTAATTGTCCAGAATATTATAATATACATTTCCTACTTACTGTCTGTCTGATTTACTATAGTACCTATATAATTTAAACAGTTATTGTTGTTGTTGAAGTCAATACGATGATCTAGCCATCCGAGGAGTGCAATATTCACCGAACCCAAATGACGAGGTGAATATTGTACTTCGAAGGTAGCTTATTCATCGTATTGACTTCAAAAACAGTAATAATGGTTTTATTATGTGATTTAATAATTACCCGGGTAAATGATACAAACTTATAAAGTAGTTAATGCTATCTTATATGTTTACAGTTGACAGCTGAAAAAAAACTTTGATGAGTCCCATAAAAAGAGATTTCTTTTATATTCCATTTTTGAGGTTAGGGGTCCATTAGTAGGGGACCATTCTTTCAGTGAATATTTTACTCTGAAATAAAAATAAAAAAAATCACGTTCAGAAAAATTGTTTGGGATGGGGGTGGAAGTCCCCTGCAACCAACCCCCATAACCACCCCGCCCTAAATTATATATTCCCTAATGTTATGTTCATCAGAATGGAAGTTGGTAGCAAATGAAATAGCTTATCAAAAGTTTTGTAGAGTATTCACCTGGAAGGTCACGTGCAGGCGAATACAACATAGCATTTTTTCTTCTATTTATTTCTTTATTTTCTATTGGATCTTAGCCAATTAAAGAGGTAGGAATTATTCAATCATATACATGTAATAAATTATAATATAATCTCTTTGAACATCTGACATATTTTCATAGCAAAATTTGAATTTAAGGGGGACGACTATAGTTTTATTGTGTGAAAACTACAACAGCGAAACTCTTCATTTTTATACCATATATAACTTACATTAACTTCAGTGTACATGCAAAGTTTGAGGGAAATCTACCGTCCAAGTATTTTTGAGGGACCGTCTCAAAATACAGGTACATTTACTATAGGATTATATAGGAAAATGCCAATTTTTAGCACTTTAAAGCAAATTATACAAAAACTACAATAGACATTTTGTTCAAACTATAATATTTGATGAGTAATACTATATTATACAATATATGTAAGAAACACAAAATTCTACCACCTTGTTACCAGAGGGGGCATCTCAAAATGCAAAAAATTAGCAAATTTTACTATTTTTATAGAGTATTACAAAATATGATGTACACAATGGATTCACATAAAAACATGATTAAAATATTGGTGATATTCTCAAATTTCTATCTTTTAAATTTCAAGAGCCTATGTTTATTACTTTTTCCTTAATAATATTTTTATTACCCCTTTCTTTAAGAGCTACAGATTATCATAACGTCAAAAACACACTGCAACGACGTCAATCTACCTATCAATTGCAAAATCGGTTAAAAAATCAGTTATATCAAATTGTAATTACATTTTTACACCTATAATTTCTTAATTTTGTTAAATCTTAATAATTAAGCAAAAAAAGTTGCATTAAAACAGTAAATACGCGTCATTTTACTATGATGCGCGAAATATTGCGCGATGGAAACTATAGTCGGCCCCCTTAAAGAATATTCATTTAGTCTTATGTGCGAAAACCTGTTTGGGATCAAAAAAAGTTGAATAGATATTGATACTATATTAAAATCTTCCCACCTGAACATCAAAATATTTTAAATGTACTACTGTAAAATCACAAATTTTTGCGGTGTTTAATTTTCGTTGTTTTCAAGCTATGAAGAAACCCACGAATTTCCAGCACGAAATGTAAAATGTTACATATATAACTAAGAAACAATTCTCCATCCACGAAATCAAATCCCCATGAACCAAGTGCTTTTCTTCAAACCACGAAAATTTGTCACCGCGAAAATATGTGATTTTACAATATATTTTATAAGGAATTAGCTATACATGTACCTATGAGTTAATCTTTTTTAAAAGCCTTTAATTTTTTGTAGTTCAGTAAAACATACGTAGCCTAACATATAAAATGGAGAAAGAAAAAAGTCCTTAATACACTATAGTATATGCCCATATTAAAAGTCAGTTAAGCAGTGTGCCAATTATCATGAAACATAAAAATACGTTAACAATACACCATACGTAATAAAGAAGATAGCATTTTTGGGGACTTTTCTGTGGTTGAATCTTAATGAAAAAAGCATTAGGGTGAAAAAGATATTATTAAACAAAGGAATTCGGCCTTAGATTCGATATATAAATATTGCTTGTGGTTATGTGTGATACTGAAAATTTTCAAAAATGTATTACCAAAACAAGTGCCTGCACGTGCCCCCCCTCCCCCCCCCAATGCATATCAAATGGTTAAATTAATCCACCAAAAAATAAATTATTGGTTACATGAAAATAAACGTTAACATGATAAAATTATACAGGGGCCTAAAAAAAGTTAGCATCAATCATACTTAAATATTCATCACATGAATTCCCTTAAAAAAATGTTTTTCGTGACTTTAATCTATTTTAATTATATGTGAAAATTATAATTATTCAACGTTCTAATTGTGAAAATGTACATTAAAAAATTTGGGTTGTTTCCTTTCATTAATAAATGTTTAATGAAATACAATAGACTCTGTATAATAAATAGTGATTTTATTGATGACTTCATAAATCAAGCATTGCGCCTTCTATATTTAGACAACAAGGGGATTTCCCTACTATTCCGCAATTTTAATCGCCTTACTGTATTTGGTGTTTTGTCCATGTTTTATCTCAAAAAATAGAAAGGTAACCATTTTCTATTTTTTGAACGATAATATTTTTCGTAGCTCGAACTGTTATATTGCCATCAGTGAATGTATGATTTTAAAAACAATTTTCGTTTTGGCACATTCATATTACGTAGCTCAAGGAAATATATCGTTTGTCCAATAAAAATTTGAAAGGAAAACCGTAAGAGTACAGCCTGTTTTTACATTCCTCATTGGAATTGATACAAAGTAAGTAACCATGTTTTCATTATTTTGATATCTTAAATCTTTTTAACAAAAAAGAAAAGATGACCAAAACATATGCCTCAACTTTCATTTTAGGTCTGAGGCGTACTAGGCCTTTATCGTAGGACCATTCATAGATTTTTTTTAGTTTCACGTTGCTACAGACCTTGTTTTCATTTTGTCATTACCGGTATCCCACGTATAGCAGATAATTTTTAGTTATATTTAGACCATTATGAAATGATTCTTTTTGTTTAGTGATTATTTGTACACCAATACTGACCACTGATTTAATCTTTGCATGGGTTTCACTATAAACCAGGAAATAACGGAAGTTTTGTGAATATTTACCTAAAAATAAAACATTTTTTAGTATGGGAAAGCTATACTTGTTCACTTGAAGATTTTATTGACAATTTAATTATAGGATTGAAGTTTTTTCTCAGAAATATTTGTCAGTATAAATTTTTTTCGTATTGATCAGCATATCCAAATAAAAGATCTTAATATAGAATAAAGTACTTAATGTATAAAACTTACATAAGGTAACTGGTCACTCTCATATACTGGCACTATAATCATGATAAAACACACCATTTTGTTTATTTCAGAAAAAAATCGGATTGACATGTCATACTTTTTGCCAAAGTTTGTTTTCCTTTATTTAATTTTTTTTTTAAAACATCATATCATTAGGAAACAGGTGACCTACTATTCACAATAATTATGTAAAAACTTGGTGATGATTCTAATTTATTATGTGTATATAATTATTTAAACGACTTCCTCTTTAACATGTTTAATATACTTACAACTCTATATAATTCTTTTTCCCAACAGAATTACAATGAAGCATTAGGCACAATGCTTATACCAGGGATATCAGCCGTGAAGAATGACCCATCATGCATCTCAGACCTCCTTACACCTCCCTAGTGATGCTAGTGACATCCAGCAACTACAAGAGGAAAACGAACTGCTACACGGAAAAATTCGAGGATACTTAACTTTAGGTAGAATTTCACCTGAGATCATTTATGTCATCTGTCAAAATATCAAAGTTTAATGTACACAAATTATAGATTGTGTCTTTCGTTTATAAATCAGTAGTACAAATGTATATTATCAATTTATTAATTTTTAATAAAAATTACTTGTTTTAAAAAGTCAGTGTTCTTAAGTAATTGTTTTAGTTGTTTAATTACAGGAAACTTATTACTTGAGAAAAAAGAAGAGTGTCAAGTGTTGCAGGAGGAAAACAAAGCTCTCCGCGAAGCATTAGAGTTGATACAGAAAAACAACCAATCACAGCCAAACGTAATGGATCATGATATAGACGTTACATTTAACGTTAGTGCACTCAGTTTAATGAGCAGGAATTGCTTCCTTGTCAAATTTAATTTCAATTAACATAGTCAACTTATCGTTTTGTTGATTTATTGTTTTTTGAGTTTAATGACCTGTCAATTAAAAATGACAAGGAACTATTTGTTACGATTTGTCCAACATTACTATCTAATGAGATGTCCAAGACAATGACCATAACTCATAACTATATTAAAATAGCCATAATTTTTTTCAGAAGGTTAAGACTGAAGGTCCTCCATCTTTAAAAATTGATAATCAACAAAAGCACACCACTGAACATTTTCCAAGCTACATCCATAACACAGTTACAATGTCCAACTCATCACCCCCCAAAGATGTTGTTACACATGCCAAACCTTTTCTGGATGACAAGATGCCAACACAAGAGTCCCTAGAATTCGAAAACCACAGCGCAAAGAATCGGAGCTGTCGCACCTCAGAATCAGCCTCCAGTTTTGAGCGAATTGACCCTACCCCCTCTGGATCGCTTCTGGAGCAGATGACAAGACAAACTAACACTTCTCCGAACTTAAATCGGCAGCTCTCAACGAAGGTCAACTACACAAGTTCTAACGGTAGCCTGAATCTGATGGAGTTTCCATCGATGTCAGAGTCCCAGCAGGTCATTAGCAGCCCCCAGGAAGAACTCTCTGGTCCAGTTGATGCCCAAAATATTGTAAGCCCTCCAAGAATTAATAATGCAAGGTTTCCCAGCACAAATTGAAATAACATTATTTTCTGTCAAAAGGGTCAAAGTCAAAAGTATTCAGTATTTAAAGCAATATGAGCTGCATTTTTGACAATTTTATTGAGCTGGTAAAATGTGTTTCTATGATAAATATTTTTATAATTTAAACCTTTATGATCAATTAGACTAAATCAAAGTAATAAACTGTCTCGGAAGAAAGACTTTTGTACAATCTAGTATATAAGATTATCTAAGAAATCAATATTGTACAGGACGACAATAATGTAATATAGCTTCTATCACAGCTTATAAAAAGTTCTTCAGACTGCAAATATATTGTATGAGTATAACAGTTTATGAATATTTTTTTTGTTTGTCCTTGAAATAGTTAATTACAATTTTGCCACAAAAATGTTAGACATCAGGGTTGCAGCTCATTACTTTAACCCTACAGGTCCTGAGTTCAAGATTTGAAAATTGAGGATTCCTTTTTTGATAGTTTTATTTACATATAAATGTACATGATATTTTTTTTTTTACATACGTAGTACATCTAGGAAGTATTGATTAAGATTCTTACTGCATAGCAATCAGTTTAGGTGCTTGCAAACCATTTTAAATAAATGAAAAAAAATCATAACACTGTTCATAAATCTAAAAACTTGATGATTTTTATCATATGGTAATAAATTATACATTTATGTAATATCACTTAAACCTGCTGATTACGACATAATACTGTTTGTTGATTGTAGCCGAACAGAGACAACAGAGAGGAGGAAACTGTACTGAGTATAAAGGTGAGCCAGGTGGCCGGTACGATCGACCTAACGACCGACGGCCCCGCTGAGAAAATGAGGAAATTCCTGGAGGAGCTCGTCCCAGAAATCGAAAAACAGGAAGAAGAGACCAAGAAATACAAGGTCAGTGAACAAAATGCGCTCTGTGTCGATGTGTAAAACTAGTGAAAAATAGCTGACTGCTGCAATGTAGGCTCTGTACCTACACTTGTTGCTGTGTTTTAAAAAAGTGAAAAATAAGCTGTTTTGAATTTTAGTTGCAGCTCTCTAAAGAGGAATTTGTTGGTTTAAATGATGATCAGAAAGATAGAAATTTAAAAAGTTTTTGTTGTTTTTTTTTTCACAGACATGCAATTTAGCACTAAAAGAAGAACTAGAACAAGAAAAGTAAGGAACTTATTGCTGCCTTATGAACAACCAAAATAAAATTAGTATAAATTAACCTTTAAAAACATAAGATTTCTTTCACTTTCTTTTCCTCCTCCATTCTGTTGTTACAATATGACCTTCTTTCTGAATTGAAGGTCGGAGAATCGCCGTCTGCTACAGAGGATACAACAGCTGGAGCATCAGGTCAACAACCTGAGTCCTGCTTCATCCATGTCCTCCCAGACCCAGGTTCTGGACTGGGAACAGCACAGGAGAAAAGACGTACAGGTAGGGGAGAAAATAGACCATACAGTCAGATATAATGTAATAAATAGTCAGTACAGACCCAGGTCCAGGATTGGGAACAACACAGGAGAATAGACGTACAGGTAGGGGGAAAATAAACTATTTGTAATTTGTACTGTGGTTTCATCAATATATACGATGAACACCAATTTTCGAGGATTTCGATAATCCACGAAATTCAGTGTTCAGTGAATTAAGAAATATCTTATTTATTTGTAAAGGCAGTGGTTTTGTCCACGAAATAACATATCCTCCCAAATGTCTGTTTTACAAAATCCACGAAAACTAATGCCAACAAAAATTGATGAAAGCATAGTAATCATTCATACATAAAATGTAATAAATAGTTATTACAGACCCAGGTCCTAGACTGGGAACAACAAAGGAGAAAAGATGTACAGGTAGAGGGACACATAGCTCATTTAATGCATAAAAAAGTCAATCACTTAAGCGGATGTATAAATTATGAAAAATACATGTAGTTTTAATGTCATGTAACGTTATAGCATGAAATGTTTATCTTATTTAAGCTCTGCCCCCTATTCCTCAATCATTGATGAATTCAAAGTTCAAAGAAGTATCTTTAATGCAACTGTCTTTGTAAATTTAAAATGTAAATTGATTCAAACACCAGAGGGCAAAAATGACAGGACAAAAAAAGAAATCTGTATACATTTCTAAAACACAGTGTTTTAGTTGTACTGTAAATATTTTTTGTTTACATATTGTATTTTTACTTTACTTTTTTCAGAAAATGGAGAATGGTAGACTTAGCAGTAGAGAACAGGAGACTATAGACAAAGTAATTATTTGAATTCATGGGAAAATTAAAGAAAAGTTTAGGTATTCTTAAAACAGATCTATGCTCAATATCTTATGGGAATGTGTTTGAATTAGTTACAGAAGGAAACCCAGAAATGGCGGGACTATTTTAGTCAGTGGACGCGAGATAAGGAGAAGTTAAAGTCAGAGAATGATAAACTGAGAGCAGAAATCACAAACTTCAAAGCTCAGGACGAAAAAAGACAGGAAGAGTTTGACAAGATTCTTCTTAATGCCAAGGAAAGGACTAACGAGGCAGAGGTAATGAGGATAATTTTGCAATAATTTGTAATTATCTCCCTTTGGAAAAAGGCATTACCCTTCATTTGAACAAACTTGAATCCCCTTTACCGAAGGATACTTTTATGGGAGGTATTGGTGAAATTGCCCCAGTGGTTCTTGAGAAGATGAAAATGTGAAAAGTTTACAGACAGAAGGTCTAACAGAAGGCTAGACAGACAGACAGACAGATGGACAGACGTAAGACAAAATGTGATCAGAAAAGCTCACATGAGCCTTTGGTTCAGGTGAGCTAAAAATTATAAATTAAAGAAGGCTTTACAAAAAGGATTTACAAAAAATCTCTTCTTAAAAAAACAATTCTTTACATCTCAATGGTGACTCTAAGTTGATAGATAATACAGGGATCTGAGCATGTTTATATCTGTTATCATTATATGGCGAGAAAATAACTTTTCATGTCTATCAAAACCTCTTTAATAATTCAGTGTTGCTATAGTTTTTTTATGATCTTATTCAGGCCAAACGGGAAGATTTACAACAGAGACTGGACAGACAAACTCTGAAGGTCGAGGCCTTGGAAGCGGAAGCTTATCAGACATTAGAGGTCATTAATGGACTCAAAAGGGAGAAGAGTGCCATGGAGGCTGAGGTGAATGTCCTTAAGGTAAGGGTCAAAGGTTAAAGTGTAGAGGGTATTCATAGAAGATGAATCTTAGATTTTTTTTTTTTCTTGAAATGATATTTGATATTTATAGCTTTGATTCTATGCATATTTTTATCTCATGATATTCAGGGAACAGGCAATGGGGTTAGAGTTGTTGGACTTACAGAAAGCCGCAGCAGTGAGGAACTGAAGCTAGAAAATGCCGTTCTGAGAGAACAGGTATGTCTGACTCAGTTAATTTTAGTGAAAAGAAAAGTTTCATTTATAAATTTCATCAGAAATATTTTATAAATTTCATCAGAAATATAAAGATAGAAACAGGAGATAAGATCTTGTCCATGAATCATTGACATTTATAATTTTGCCCCCATCACAGCTGACAGTATTTAAGGAGGACTTTGACAGAGAGAGAAGTGACCGGGCCCATGCTCAGTCTGTGAAGGACGATCTCAGGAAGCAGCTGGAGGCAGAGCAGAGGAAGGTCAAGACCCTACAGGACCAGCTCAGGGGCTTCGAGAGACAGGTGGGTGTTCGATTTAGTTTACTAGGAACTCCCAGGACTTATTCAAAGTAGTCTAAGGTTGGAAATATTTAACAATTGTTTTATGTAAAGATGTAAAAAAAAAGTTGTTCTTTTCTGCAGCTTCGAAGTGCAGAGAAGAATGTGAAGCAAACAATGACAGAAAATGTACAGTTACATTCTGAAAATCAAAAACTGAAAAAAGAGGTACATCATAAGCATTGAATTTGATCATAAGAATTATTTTTAATTGATATTTTGTTTAAATGAATGATTGCTATGAATTTTTTTCAATGATAGCTTCAGCGTGAAAAGGATAGGAATGCCCAACAGCAGTACTACCAAATGATGAATCGTCCTGCTGTGCCAGAGTTCATGACCCCCTACAGAAGCCAGCCTGAGTCTGATCCTATGGCACAACCTGTACCCCCATACATGTTCCAAACAGCACGACCTCAAGGTAAGACAAAAGCATCTCCTTAATGAATTGAAGTTATATTTTAACATTTGGAGACCTGTATTTGAGAGATTTTCTAATTAATATATTTTATAAACCAGAAGTCTCTGACGAGACTGTAGCTCTACTGGTTAATACTTAAAACAAAGGAAGAGAAAAGTAGCAGTTGGGACTTGAGACTTTAAATCAGCAAAAGATAGAAAAATGATCCTTGCCACTCATCAAAATAAAAACCGATGCACAGAATTATGTATCTTAGTATAGTCTACTTGTGTGCCAAGTTATATTGAAATGGAACCAAAACTGTAGGAGGAGTAGCATTTTGAAAGAATTTCACAGAAATTTCTATTTTTAGTAACCTTGGCAACACCGTTCATCTAAATCAAAAACCGATGCACAAAATAATGTATCCTAGTGTAGTCTACTTGTGTGCCAAGTTATATTGAAATCGAACCAAAACTGTAGGAGAAGTAGCATTTTGAAACAATTTCACAAAAATTTCTATTTTTAGTAACCTCGGCAACACCGTTCATCACAATCAAAAACCAATGCACAGAATTATGTATCTTAGTGTAGTCTACTTGTGTGCCAAGTTATATTGAAATCGAACCAAATCTGTAGGAGGAGTAGCATTTTGAAACAATTTCACAGAAATTTCTATTTTTAGTAACCATGGCAACACCGTTCACCGAAATCAAAAACCGATGCACCGAATTATGTATCTTAGTGTAGTCTACTTGTGTGCCAAGTTATATTGAAATAGGACCAAAATTGTAGGAGGAGTAGCATTTTGAAACAATTTCACAAAAATTTCTATTTTTAGTAACCTCGGCAACACCATTCATCGAAATCAAAAACTGATGCACAGAATTATGTATCTTAGTGTAGTCTACTTGTGTGCCAAGTTATATTGAAATCGGACCAAAACTGTAGGAGGAGTAGCATTTTGAAAAATTGTTTACAGACAGACAGACAGACAGACGGACGGACGACGGACGCATTACTATCGCATTAGCTCTTCTGGTCTCTGACCAGTAGAGCTAAAAATTCACAGCAAACTGAATCTGAGATTTTTAGAACTCATATTTTTGAAAAGGCATACCCTTGGATTCAATACAGAGTTGCCTAGTGATCTACATGTAATCTGATGATGTATCTGTTTATGTTGTAGACACTTCAGGGGAGTATTTCCGACCCCAGTTGACCAATAAGGCCCAGCTGTGTCCTGAACAGCTCCCCGGGGCCTGGGGATGTCCTAACTGTACCTACACAAACCACCCCTCCCGCACCGTGTGTGAAATCTGTGGATGTGTCTTCACAAGAGGTAATGACAGCTTTCTATGTAATCTACCAACTGGCATTTAAAAAAAAATAATGACTCAATGCTAAGCTCAGTAAATCTTGGCAAAAATTTATCCAGCATATTTATTTTTTTTTTTCAGAACAACTTCAGAACTATTACCAGCAAAATACCAATCAGTCACAAGTAAGAAAGAAAAAAGTTTGAATCATTATTATACACTTTTATCAAATAAATCAAAAAAGTTTGTCAGATTTAGTATAAGTATAAACCAATCCATTCATTCAATTTCTAAGTACAGGGTATGTTCCAATTTTATATATGATAGTGGTCTATTTATATCTACAGCATCTGATGGCTCGGGGAGACACAGTGCCACCTGGTGGTGGTGATGACCCTCGTGACCTTTGTACTGACTCTGGCAAGAAGGCCATCAACTGTCATTAGTGTAGGTTTATCATTTGCTTATTTAATATAGATCATGAAATTTTTGCAACATACTAGTATTCATTAACTCTTTATTATTGAGACAAAATTTGCATGGATTAAGGTTATTGCTCTATATAATCTTAAGGAATAACATATTAATAATAATCATGTACTAATATATGCAAGAATGAGATTTTGGTGAGCACACTGTCTTATGTTGTTACAAGAAAGTCAAGTTCTTGCAAATTAAAAATAAGCATATTTTTTCCTATTATTATAGATATATATTTTAGAGGGTAGTATTTCTCTTTTATTTTTTAGAATTCCTTTTCTTTTCACAGATTCTTCAAAGTGCCACATACCTTTTATTTGAACAATACCAATGACAGTTGAGCCCTTTCAGCTTCTGTTTTTCGCCCTCTGTGGAGAGACTAACACACAAGTCAGATCAAATCTGACATAGCTATTTTTAATCTCAGTATGTTTTGGAAGTACCAAATATTTCAATGCCAAGCTCAAAAAGCTTGTCATTGAAATATTTTGTACTTCCAAAATCACTGAGATTAAAATTTAAGTCAAATATTACCCCAAATATTTGAACCATGCATTTCGACCCCATCTTCTTGACAGAGGATATAAAACGTGACAGAAGCCATGTGTTTTGGAGATGTCAGTGTTATCGGTGATTCCATCACAAGATCATGGATGGAGGTATTTTTGTTCTGTTGATAATTGATTGACCACATTGAAGTGTGGGGATTCAGAGTACCTATGGGAGTTAACTCCCATTAGTGTGAAACAGAAACAAGTCGAGGAGGAAATGTTGGACTAACTGGAACTGTACTATGGAAGGAATAAGAGAGGTTTGAAAATTTAAGATTCTGATTGAAGATGCACCAATTATTTCTCCTGAGGATATCCTGGAGTTAACCATGAAACAGAAATTTAAATTTAACTGCAAATCTTTGTGTTTTTTTAAATCACACACATTAGTAGGTAGTAGTTTGTTTTGTTTTATTATTCATGATGATAATATTTTATTCAACTTGTACATTGAAATGCACAAATAGTTCCCAAAATAGTGGACATTTTTTATGTTGTGATGTATTAAATTATATATTTTATTTTACTTGATTTTTATTCATATTCATGTTGTAAATTATTTACCGTTTATTTGTTTGATGTACTGTAAATTAGTTCTTTCTAATTACTGATTCCTACTCATGTAATTGTAATTTGTAAATGTAACTTTAGTACATTATGATCTATAATCCAGAAGTAATACTTTAATTAGGAGAAAGTTCCTAGGGCTATTAAAATTCTGATAAAGCAAGAAATGAAAAAAAATCTTACATATCTTATTTAGGTTATATACTGTCTCATGTAAATAACATTGATTGTACTAAATTCTGTGATTTAATCTATTATATGTGTAGAGAAATATTTCTTATTTTCTCATAATTATGTCAAAGAAAATACTAGTAAGACACTGTGGCCATTGCAGAAAATTTACAACGTAATGTTTTGAATTTTATTTGTAGTTTCTTATATTCCCACAATAAATCTCTTTAGTGTTATTATACGAAATTACATATAACGAATTGTTTTGAATTTTTTTCAGTTTTATTTCAAAAACGATTAGTAGCAATGATTATCCCTCAATAAATGGCCTGACAGTTATTGTTCAGTTCATGTATTCAAACAAACCCTTGATAAGATAGACTGAGTTTGATAAAATTTTAAAATTGAAAGTAGAAGTCTCTGATGAAACTGTAGTTCTTCTGGTTTTTACTTATAATAGTCTACTTTTGCACTAAGTCCTATTGAGATGAAACCAAACTGTTCAGGGATTTGCCTTTAAAAAACACAGTGGGTTGCATTTAAAATAAATCAGTAATTTCATTTACTTTTAGGAATATTAAATGAGGACATTTTTGTTGGAATACCAATACAAGTTTCTTGATGACGTCCACTTATGTATCAAGACCTATTGAAATTGGACCAATTTATAGAAGAGGTAGTGTTGGAAAGAATTTCACAGAAATGCACCATGGCAACACTGTTCATCAAAATCAAAAGCTGAAACAGAGAATTATGTTTCGTAGTCATCTACTTGTGTACCTTCTGTGAGTCTTTTTGAAAACTATGGAGGAGTGTATAGCGTTTATAAGAATTTCACAGAAATTTCTAATTTTACAAACCATGCCAAGACAGTTTTTCAAAATAAAAATAATCGGATGCGTTAAAATATATATTATTATATTATATTCGTGTATATATAGATATAGTCTCACTGAAATCGGAACGGAATTGTAAATGGAGTAGCGTTTTGAAAAAATGATTACAGACAAACGGACACGTGGCGGACACTTAACAATGTATAACGTCTACCGGACTCTTACCAGTAGAATAAAACAAAAACTTTTAGTATTGTCATATTTTAGTCGCTTCCTTTTAACACCATTTTCAGCTGTACTGTGTCCGCACTGGCCGATGTTGATTGTGTAAAAATACAATTATAATTCTGTCTCTAAGCAACCGAAGAAACATTTTCCAATATTATACTTTCATGTAAATTAGTGAAATCTGATTGGTCGAGAAACATTTGTTAAAAAACACTATGACCCGCTGAATAATGAAGCTACGATCTCCAGCGTAGCAACAGTCAACAGTGCTTGACGACGGGTGATATTCCAAAAAATAGCGACTGCGCAGAATTTATGCGCGCACGGTTCACTGTTATATGTATTTGTATAAAACATTCAGTAATAAAAATATAATAAATATTGCATGTAGTTGAGTGTATCATTGACAATGGTTTTCTTTGGATGAAAATTTTCAATGTTACACTCAATTACATGCAATATTTATACACATGTATATTGCTTTATTTTAGATGCTTGTTTGTTACAGCAACAACATTTTAGAAAGACAGCAGTTGTTATCTCAAATACTTTGAAATAATATAGGGAAATTACAATGACCATTTGAAGAAATATAGTATTATTTAAAATGCTTCTATCTCAAATTAGTCCATCAAAATAATAGCTGTGCTAAGATTTGCAATTATATAAAGAAATAATGCAGTCATTATTAAATACAGAAAAAATCTGTCAAAAAGACTATAAAGAATATCGTCGTTCAAAAAATTTGATAAAGAAAAGCAAAGCGGACAAAACAGCTCAACTCTGATCCCAAAAGTTCACTTTAGTCTAATGCTTGGATGGGCTAACCCATCGTCTCAAGCCACGGTCCGGAGTCCGCAATATTGCTCTCTCCTTCATCGTCTCAAGCCACGGTCCGGAGTCCGCAATATTGCTCTCTCCTACCTGGCCAGAATGGGAGAGGAACGTACATCTTGGCCGTGGATTGCAACGATGAATGGGAGAGGATCGTACATCTTGGCCGTGGTTTGCGACGACGGGGCTAACCATAGGTACCAAGATCCGTGTGTGGAAACATACACTTCAAAATAATAATAATGCTACATTGCTTCGTATAAAATTTACAATGAGTTGTGAGCAAATGTATCTTAAGCGGGTATAAAAAGTTCATTGTAATCAAGTGTGGTGGTTGAGTACTGCTGTATGAAACAGGAAGACAACACCAAATCCCAGTGTTTAAGAGTTTGAAGTTTGATTTTTTGAAGAAGTTCAGGAAGACGGAAGATCAAGACGGAAGATATTGATTTTTCGTTTAGATTTATATTTGGGCGTGGACGCTATTTGTTGTACTATTTTGTGTTGCCTTGATTCATTGTGAATAAATTTTATCTGTCGTGCATAATTTAACGTGTTCTATTGGGAAAAATTACATAATGCTCTTAAATGTTATATGGCTCTGATAAAAACCTTTAACAAATAAATTCTATAAATTTTAATTTAAGCGAAAAAAAAATATAGCACACCCGGTGTCAAAAACCCCCTGAGATTATTTATCGTGATTCGTAGAGCTTGTCAGCAAATACAGTCTATCATTAATTCAAATGCTGACTGGCGTTTTTATACTAATTGTTAAGCCATTATTTACACATGCACTGATTTTCCGTTATTTCTCAATCATGACAAGGAACACATGAGGGATGTATCATGTGTCGGGTCGGCAGAGGATGCTCACTTCCCCATGGCTCCTAATCCCATTTCTGATGTTTGAGAGGTCCCCATTTTCTTTACTCCTGATTCGTATTGACTGAATGAACTTTTGAACTTGATATATAGCATCTTCATGTCAGACGAAACGTTAACAAATGAAACTGTTAAGAGGTTAGAAGTGAGAAATACTAAGTTCGTTGTGTGTATTAAAATATCAGCATAAGTAGGTGAATACTTAAAACAATTCCAAACACAAAAGAGTAGATGAATGACATAAAATGCAATAATTACAGTTGCTTATAAGCACACGCACTAACATTTCAGATATTGGAAGAATATCTTCCATATTTTCTTATTCACAGATTCCTTGACAAAATGTAAGAAAATTCGTAAAATCTTATTCAGGCTACAAGAAGCCCGTGTTCCTTGAGAAAGTTTCTGATCCGCGCCTCTCGCTGTATGCGGCTCACGCGGATCTGTTGAGGCGGAACATGTAGCGACTCCAGCTTCTCTATAGTACTCGACACATCCTTGTATTTTTTAGAAACATACACAGGACACAATAGTTTTTCAAGACGATTGTATCTAGGGTCAGAGGTCAATGGTGGCAGACGGTTGCCAGGGTGGATGGAGGTGGATTTCAATTTGCACCACGGAATCAGAGAAGACATCGGTAAACTCTTCGACTTCGATCTTTCCCGATGAATGCTGGGTAATCGGTCTAAAGTTGGAGTTCTGCTTATTTGGCGACTCACGTCTTTCGTTGGTTCTCGACTAAAATGTGGCTCTGTTTGAAAGACACTAGTGAACTGCACCATTTTGCCTCTCGATGACGGATGTCCAGTGTTTTCTTTAGACAATTTCGGCTCTTCAGCTGCATCGTCAAATTTTGAGACAAGCGTCTCGAGCCTGTCCTTTTCCTCCTTTGTTACTGCTTTAGATGTCAGTCCCATCGCGTTGAACTCGTTTCTGGAGGAGTCTTCCCTGGTTAGGAGGGACCGCTCAGTGACCGTCCATCCGCGGGACACGACACTCCGGTCCGCCAGTCTCCGCCGTATCGCGCTGGACTTCCGTTTCTGGTTCTCTATGAACATGAGTCGCTCATTTTCGTACCTGGACAGGTAGGTTAGTCGCTTCCTCCCCAACTCATACAGCGAGTCCTCCAATCTCCTCTCCTCCACGAAGTGAGTAGGAGGAAGCCCCGGGGGTCGGGTATTGCTGACGTTGTACAGGTTTCCTCCGTGCATCCATTCTTTTATTTGAGTAGCCCTCTTCTTCCTCCGGAACACAGCATTATTTATCCGTTCTCTCCGACGTTTCTCCTCCCCCTTCATCTTAGGTCGACCTCTGTTAATGTCTGTGTAATGGTACTCTCCGGTGTCATGTTAGCACTCCTCTAGTGGAAACAATGTGTCAGTGTATTCTTTAAATGTGTTGACGTACTAAGATTTCAATGCATGCAGCAAAGACGATTTAATTGCTTTGTGTTTTATTTATGAAAAAGGCACATCAGATATGGCTAGCTCAACGGATACGAATCAATCCTGTTAAAAGACGTTAAGTTTGACATGTTGGTCGATGCATCAGTTGAAGAACTTTATAAAAATGGAGGCAACACTTGGACCCCAGATCTTGAGATGGTCTTCACATGCCAGTAGTTGTGCATTATTACCTCAAAGAGCACAAATCTTTGTCATTCTTATCCATCAAAGTAGCCTGGCTTATTCAATTTACACAGGCTTAATTTTTATTACCCTATTACCTATAGCAGTTTCACACTTCCGAAAATACAAATGTATTAAAGAATACTATTGTTTTAAAACACTGACGACCAAAGAGAGAAAAGGTTGCAGTGATTTAAAAAAGGTATACGATTGAAAGAAAATAAAGATTTGAGAAAATCAGTAAGATCTAAATTTACAAGCCTGACTACAGGTTTGGTGAGGGGTGGGGTGCGTAATAGGTCTGTGAGCGAGAGACCCCCTCTCTGTCCTGATTTAGATTAATCTTTTAATTAATTAAAATATAGCAGCACTACTTATAACACGTAACCAAAATGATATCTTTGCAAATGTTTTACATTTCTATTTTCCGGATCCGACGGACTGTTCACGAATTAAAAGAATTTCGCATAGATTTAAAAAAAATATTATTTTAAAGCGTTGTAAATGTTAATGAACAAAAATCAATGCAAATCTATTCTTTTATAACCTTGAATTTCGTGACGCAAATATTCAAGTTGTTCAGTACAAAACTATAGTCTCTCTGGAAGAAACCGCGAAAAATAATTTAAATATTTCAGATCTGTGGAATGATCATGATTCCCTGACTATAATCTGTTTGGATTGCAGTGGGTTTAAATGCATATTTGTGATCTGATCTTGGAATGGTAACCCAGGGCTATCAGACGTGGTGCTCAGACAACAGATTGCGGGGAAGATACCAGACAACAGGATTAGGTCACCAAGATTCGATTCGGCGGGGTATCTTTTCGATTTAAGCATTTTAGCCTGTAAATGAAGGTATCCAATATTTCAATACCTATTAAATAGATATTATCACATTACAAGAAAAAAATGAAATAGGAGAAGTCCAAAGCCTCTGTTTTGTAGATTTAGAAAACCGCTGAGATTGACCTTGGGATTGATCATATAACGGAACCAGCAATATTACACGTACCACTTACTTCCCTAAGATTTGTAAACTTCTTTATCTCAGCTCTCCAAATAGAAAGATATAAGGTTTCATTCTCTCGGATTGTTCAGATGGCTTATAAAGCCTGTTACAAGACGAGAGTGTTCGATTGATCGTTCAGCTACTTGAGAAGTGAGAACAGCGGATTGAAGGCTCTCTAATACTCATATACATTGTACTTGATGTTCGTTAGCTGAGACCATATCAATTTACAGCTGAAGGAGCTTTATAATAGACAAGGCATTAACCTGTCTATACATGGGTTAGAAGACGTGAAGTAATCGACAAATTGAAAGTAATGGGAGGGTGAAGTATTTAAGTATCATGGAAGAAAATTTTACGCTAGTTTTTTTTTTATTAGAAAGTTGCACATGTACATACACTAAAACCGTGCAGATACATGTATTATTAGTTCAATTTTTAAAGGGTTTTCGGTTCACTCTGCCTCCTGGAGTCCACCGAAAAATCTTTTTCGATCGAAAATGTACTCATTCACAACTAATAATCACATATCGGTCTCCTGAAAGGGCATCGTCTCCAATACCCAGGTGAATGACAAGCTATTTATAAGTTGAACTGGCTTCATCTCAGTCTTTTTTTTATAAATATGAAAATCGAAACATTACCATGGTGTCCCCAAAAGACCATTCGCAAAAATGTAACAAATTTTTTCAAAGTGCGTAATTTTTCAAAGTGCGTTGTAACAACGCTATCGTAACTTAATAACGCACCACTTTGTGCACATTGCGTTTTAATGGACGCATTAGCGCATTGTCACTTCATGCTAGTGCATTGTTCCTAACATACTGTAAAATTTATGCAAATGGGACACCATAAGAAGGTGCTGATGACTGAGATTGGGGAAAACTTGTAATTCAACAACCCAAATTCTTTTTTTTTTTTACAACATACCTATCTTTTTTTCTTTTTTTTTTTTTGATTTAGAAGAAAAATTGTCGATAATGTTATTTTTTAATCACTGAAACCCTGCTTTTTATAAAATCACATATATAATCATTCAATAAAATCGTCTGACCATAACATAATTACGCATTGGAAATTATATATAAAAACTGACATTATGACATTTTATAAATGTGTCAAGAAGACAGCTATATTTTATGAGTGCACTTTTTGACCGTCACGACGGTTGACTGACGCCGTCCCCAGACCTCTGGAAACCGAATACCTCCCCACAGCTTCAGGTGGCCTAATACCCGAGGTCTTATAATTAAAACAGCTGATGTCATTCATAAGAAGACATTTAATTTTGATACAGAATTTAAATACCCAATCTTATGGATCAATTCTCTAAAGATATTAGGATACGCAGTTTAATTTTCATGAATTCTATATAAAAGTTAATAGATGTTCATGGCTAAACAATGGTATTACCCCTTGACTATTATGTGTGAAATTATCTTGGCATTACTAGAAGCAACAGTTAGAATCTTACCAAATCTTGCCATATTTTGATATGTTTTTTTCCTTTTACATGTACTGCTACCGACAATCCAAAATAGAGAAGTCAGCAGATGGCTGTTTTCTCCAGAATGTTTTTAAGATCTGATGAAACTTTTTGTCCATTTAAAAATTTATAGACATTTCCAAAAAAATCAAGCTGAAATGACATGAATAAAATCAGAGTATAATAATGTTAAAGTTAAGACGTGTTAGAACGATATGCAAGTCCTTCGAGTGACCCACATAATTGCAAAGAGACACAGACCTGCCTACCCTTCCGCTTTTGGCGTAATTCTTCCGCTTTTTACCACAAAATTACGCTATTACGCCACTGATATTAATTTTACGCTCTTGATATTTTGGTTTAAATCCATTATGAACTTCTAAATTTAGAGTCAAAGTACGACCTGCTGAAATGAAATGAAAAGTTCTAGTAAAAGTATTTAATAGAGGACCAGTTCGATAACTAACGTAATGTTTCTAGTAGTTACATGTACACCGATATTGCGAAGATTCGGAAGAACACGAGAAGGCACTACTTATGTTAACGATTAAATGATATTGCAATAAGTACACCCATTTCTATGCTCAATTTAGTTCATTTTAACATTGCTTTGAACAAGATAGAGAAATGTGAGTGTAAAAAAAAAAATAAAATACAGTGTTATTACATGTATGTACGAGTTGAGTAAACATGCAAACGCAAGCTTTCAATTAAGTGATTTGATACAAATTGACAAATGCTTCATTAAGGGGTGTGCGGTTGATTTGAGTTTAATATAGGAAACTGGTATTTTACAACACTTTTTTGCCAATAGATGATTCGAAAAAGAAAAGATTATGCCAGCTTTGTTTAGTAATATACAATTTCGGTGATTTGAGAGAAAATAAAGTATTATACATTGTAGTAAAACAACAAAATAGGAAAACATGATTGATTACGCTTTTACCTCTGAAATTCCACCGAAAAAAATCTGAAATTACACCCTTGCAATGAAAAGGGTAGACAGGTCTGGAGACAAATCGCCATCTAGAGATAAAAAAAGCTAAGGTAATCCTCAAAGAATCAAAATACTCAGTATTGCCAATCAAGAGTAGCAAAAATTAAATAATAAATTTCATATGCATATATATACCCGAATCATAGATGAAGATAAACAATAATTAAAAATCCATTGTAACAATACAAGTTGGGAGAAGAGTTAATAGAAACACAGAAAACATTTGGAGTGAAACCAAGCGCCATGGAGTAGTAAGCATCCCCTGTCGGCAGGCCAAACCCGTCGTGCATGTGCTTACGATTGAAAAACGGTGACATACGCAGCCAATAAAGGCTTACACTTTGTACTGAAACGTCAGTCCACATTCATCTTAATTATATTGTATTGTTAACAAAGGAATTGATTCGATAATAGATTTGACAGAATATCCATGTGTCATCAACTTTTTTGTCAATAGCATGCCTTGTGTTAGAAATTAATTGCAAGTAGCGCATACTCTGTTGTATTAAAATCGAATTAACTGAGAGAAATAAACTCCATATTCAGATTATAATGGTATATTGTTGCATAAATAAGAATAGTTGATCATAGGAAATATGAAGTCATCACGTTTATCATAAAAGTTTTTGGTTAGTTTATCATTTTTTCCCCTAAAATATACGACAAAGAAACAGATTTGTAAAAGCCCCTGGTATTTTTTATTTCCAGCACTAAGGGATATCCCGAATAATGACGATTCAGCCATTTAATTTTATTTTTATTCCGAAGTAATAATTTGACATATTATTTTTCAAAATAACAAGAACTACAAATTATTAAAGTACCAAAAATCCAGAAGAAAGTGCACGGTACATTTTGATATTCCTTACTTAGATGGATGCACAGTTTTCAAACGATATCAGTAACAAAGAAACTTTATTGTATTTAATCCTGAAACCAGCTTAAGCCAACTTCTTTCATAAAGGCTTGGATCTTTTCCTCCCATTTAGGTTTTGCTTCCTTGGCATTTTTAGGAGGTTTATGAAGCGATTCAATGCTGTTCACTATGTCTGTAACATTTGTTTTGATGTGTTTATCATACTTAGATGATAGCGCCCTCTCCAAGAAGGCGTAGCGTGGATCGCCCGTCACACTCGGGCATTTCCCGCCATATTTGCTGAGTTTGTTGCGCCTAGACCAGGGGGTGTCCTCATCCCTCTTAAAGGAGGATATTGAGTTCGTGGCGCTGTACACGCTGGATGCCATGGTGTTCTCCCGGCTGATTCCAAGTCTCGGGGGTTCACTAACGACAGTTCGGCTATCTCTGCTCCTCTGTTTATTATCGAGGGCTTGAGGGAAGAACTGAACAGTTTTGGCTCGATGTGGCGGCAATGGACGATGTAAGTTTTGTTGAGTGTTGTTATGGACAAACTCCTTTGGACTTCTGTATTCGGTCTTTTTGGAGACCACACTTGCGACATCGCTGCGTTCGTTTACTGAATGTCGGGAAGAAGTTGTACTTGGTCTTCCGTACGACATGATTGGTTCACTCATGGTGGAGTACGAACGCAGATGTTTGGCACCCGCTTCCTTGCGTTTCCTGTTTTCTAGAAATTTTTGCTTTTCATGAGAGAAATGTGAAAGAAACTTGTAACGTTCGACTCCTAAGTCAATCAGCCGCGCTTTGAGCATGCGAACCTCTGTCACTGTGTCGTCGTTTTTGCCCGACATCCGGGTATTTCCTTGATTGAGGTCCAATGTGAGATCCTTCACCATCCATTCCTCAATGTCTTTCATGACGTGCTTTTTCTTCGCCTTCAGTCGCGAAGCTGAATTTGTTGGCTTTGGCGGATGCATTTTATAGTCGAAATCCTATCACCTCATTAAAATTTATATCCTTCAGGTAGTTGCACCTTATAAATTAATTCCAGTAAATCTTTGTCATATTTGGATCCGACGTCTTTTAATTTGCTTCATTTTAAAATTCTGCATAAATTACCATCCGTGATTCGTAAATTAAAGTGTTTCATTTGAAGTTCATTTCAAAGACAATTTACAGCGATTTTTCAAATAATATATGTCCAACTTGAAAATTTAGAAAAACAACCCATTTGGCAGAATTTTCCCATCACAACTGACAGACTTAATCTATCTCATCAAAAACATTTATTTCAATATCTGAATTTTAATTGGGAATGAATTATTGGACCGATATCATCGACGTGATCAAATATTGCCTTTATCTGTAGCGGTCGATCACAATAAATTTGATAGTTCATTTAATACCGTGTAACAAAGACAAAGGATGAACCGGATTGTACCAATACGCTTCTAACAACGATTTCAAGATTATAGAATTTTAACCTGAAATGCATTACAGCGCATCCGTTAAAATGTTTACCAGGCGGCTTTTCAAATAGAGCGATTGAAATTTTCAGATAACAATTGTAACATTTGTTAATGATTATGCCGTCAGATAAAGTATAAACCCTATAAATTAAATATCAGTACATGGTTATACATGTATATGGGAAAAAGGATGAGCAATATAAAAGTATAGATCCAAGTGTATTCCGAAAAAAATGATTTATTTTGCTTGAGTAAAAAATATTCATGTATAGTCTGTAAATTGAATAGGAACTGGGAGCGAAAGATAGTTATTTCGCGAGTAATTGCAGATTTTCTTGATATTTAGACGATTATATAATTGAAAATACGAAGGATTTTTATTTTGAATTTTTTGGTAAAGTGTACATAGAAAGTAGTAAGAGAAAAAAAGATATAAGTCGATATATGGTTTTCAGTTAACTGTGATTTTGAATAACACGACTTCTTATTTTTTTTCTTTCTGACTCGTGATTTTCGGCCTGGAAATAAGATTCGTCAAATTTAAGAGGACTTCAATTACAAAGCTTAGTTTCCTGGGAATAGGAGGGGGGTTTAATTCATTTCTGGAATTTTGCATTGCATTTACGACAATTTTTTATTTTCATTGCCGACATTTATTCATTTTCTTACTTTTCCAGAATTTTATAGGCACCTTTTCGGTATTATGATTAACAAAATAATATCAATTATATTTTTGGCGCTAAATCTATTTATTTAAAAAGTTCCGTTTAGTTAAGTGACCGTGTGCTCTATTCAGTTGATTTTGTTATATCTATTTTTTGATCAAGCAAATCTTGTACAATGTAAATTATACTAAATTGTAGATAATAAAATAAATATGTCATAACTGGTTATTGTGAAGGATTTTGAGTGGCCAATTCGATAACTTTAAAATAATTCATTTAAAATGTTTACCATGCCTCGGCATCGATTTGAACAATGTATGTTGTCATATAAATCCGGATTTTTGCAATAAGGCTCTTTAGAATTTAACAGGTTTATTTTTTCATTCTTTTACAGTCCATTTTTATATATATCTTTACTGAAATTCATTGCAAAAAGTATGGGAAAATAAAACCACGGAAGTGATTATATTTTTTTTACTTTTGTTTTACTGTAATAGATAAAACGACTACAATCAAAAAGTGAAGAAACACAAGAAGCTATGATTTAAAAATCCCACTTTCTCCAGATTTTGGGCACTTTGAGCAAAATATAGTAACACTGTTATGGCAGTTTCCTCTTGTGTTTTACAATGCATTTGGATTACTTTTTAGTAACTCCAGATTAAAAACCTTCATATGACGTCCGTGTACGTATTCCGGTGCTGATCAATAAAACGTTGATCGTGCCAATTTAAATAACTAATTAATCATTCGGGTTTAATTAGATGATAGGAAATTCTATGAAGTTATATATATTTCTCGAAAAAAAAATATACTCCCTCTAATTATTAAATAAACTTGCACCTTTAGAATTCAACAAATCCGTATTCAGAAAATCAGGATCATACCAGCTATTTTATCGAGGAAACTTCGTTTAATTTATTCCAAAGTGAAAAAAGTAATTTAAAGTTAATGTATATGCATTTAGAACAGTTTTAAAATACAGGTACATTACTTCTTCTTGGAAAGAGTCACCTTAAGTGAATTAAGATCGTCAACATCTCTCCTCAGAGATTAGCAACTGCAGGTGTCGATACAAATCGAATTCTTGAGCTGGATTACGGGCAATATAAAATGTAAAACATTTAACTGAAACAAAATCTATTGACACAAAATCTTATGATTAGCCCCCGGTACTTGTAAAGCATTGCACAGTGCCTGACGGTGTCTGTATCACTGACGTGAGCGGCCTAACAGCTCATTTATATTTTGTATTGTGTTTTAAATGGATGATTAGATAAGGTTTGAAGTCGCTGATATAAGTAATATGTAGACAAGCAGGGTATCGAAAGTATGGGACCAATTCAAAGACAAGTTGCTAGGTTCGCTGTGTTCAACTCCAATGCACATGCATAATTTAAAACCCCCTGTCAATAAGTAATTATTGGACCCGAACAGTAATTCATAAATCCGATAACCCCGGCTTACCGTAGAGGAGGTAGACTCTTAACAACTTAATTCATATACCCATTAAACATTGTGTTAAGATAAAATGAAAACTGATTAGCGCCTTGGAATCTTCGCTGCATTGGCCTATTGTCTGTCTCAAGGTGTGGAAACGTGCGGTTGTCTGTCTGTCCGTTTGGTTGGGTTTCCATACAGCTCACAATACGGTGAAACCAGACCAAAAGAAAACGTGTATCTGAATCAAGCTTTATAAATCATTCTCAGACTTTGTAAAAAATGGCGAACAAGGATTCCGACAATTCGGACAGTGCCAGTAGCGTGGATCTTCCCGCCATTAGTGGACTGAACAAGAACAGCGCCCACCCCGAGGAATGGACCCTCCCCCACGAGTGGAGCATGGAGAAAAGAGAGTTATTTGAGGTCAGTTAAGGACACCATGCTGGATTATGTACATGTTGATTATGTTCCAAATGTATTTCATTCTGTGATATTACTCAGAAATTGAATTATTACCTTTATTTGGTTTTAAAATATAAGATAAACTATATAGACAACCGTTATATTTGTGTATCAATATAACCTGATTAAGTTATCAATACCAATGAACAGGTCAGATTAATTATTGAAACAAAGAAGTTGGTTAATTACAAGTGGGTTGAAAAGAAATATTTTAATAACATTTTGCATTTTCATGTTTCACACTACTAAGTATTGCAAACAGGGTATGCATAACAAATTTGTGCAGTATATTTATACGATATTGATTTTCTGTGTTTGACTCTATACCTCTGTGTTTTATTCTGCTGGGTAACATAGAAAGTTTCTTTAAAGCAATAAATAATGCAGAGGTAGCGTCTATGATAACCTTCAAATCGTTGTTGATTTTTATTTATATAGCATACTTTTGCAAATTTTTCTTTTAGTCATTCGATGTGAAATTTTCGATATGCAAATATAATTTATTTTACTAACTTTTTAAATTTCAGAACTGGAAAATGGATGTCCAGAATCAAATAGCAAATCTGGCTTCTTCCCTGGTGTGTACAAGGTTTCATTCTTCTGATGTGGCCTTTTCTTTTCTATTTTCTGATCTATTTATCTCACAATATTTTATATACATTGTATATATATTTCAGGAAAAATCTCTGGCAGAATACCCAAACCCTGATGCTGGGGATTATTTTAATTACGAGGATGAGAAGCTGAAAGCCGAGTTTGAGAAACAACAGAGACTTTACGCCAGATTTGCGGGTGATACTCTAAACTACGGACTCAGTAGAAACCCGGAAAAAGCATACCCGGATAAATACTGACACGTGATTAAGTGAGTGTGAGAGAGACCCCGCGATCTGAACCCCCGGTCCTTGCCACTATTATAGGATCCCTGAGAACATTTGGATTGTTATACGCATCGTAAATCTGTTGTGTCCATTGTAATTAGGCTATTAAACACATTCTTATCCTTATTTTTTGTATTAATTAATTAATTTATTTATTTTGAAAGACATTTTTTTTTTCATTTTTATTGCCGAACATGCTTTGTTTACTGTATTTAGTGCTTAAAATCAGTATAATATAAGCAGTGATTCTCAACTTGTCAGCCAATTTTTTATTATTACCGGGTACATGTATGTCCCTGGATTGAAAGATCCCGGGGGTATATTGTTTTTGTACTGTCTGTCTCTTTGTCTCTGTCTGTTGTCAACTTTATCCTAGCCATAACTATTGAGTGGGTAGTGCTATGGCTTTCATATCTCACAAGTTTGTTTCTTGTGACAAGACGGTTTTGGACAAATCATTTTACTTTTATAACTTGAAATTTTTTGTGAACAACATTTTTTATGTACATTTACTGAGTTTGAACATTTTTAACCATGTTTGTTTGTTTCGATTCTCTTTTGTGAATTTTCTGTTATGAAATTGGAAACATATACTTTTTACCATTGGGAATGGGGCCTTATACAGGCCCCCTACGGCCCCCAAGAATCCTGAGACCTTTCCATGGCTACCACCAAATTTGACCTCTTTACCTTGGAGTTTGACCTACTTAAAAAAACACCACACCTTAATATTTTTTTTAAAAATAAATTCAAAGAGTTTTTTTCTTTTTGATTTGCAAAGATATTTCATTGACATATTACTTTCAGTCAATCAGTTTTTGGAGAATGCTTTTTAGGTTTTTTGTGAATAACATTTTTATGTACATTTTACTGAGTTTGAACATTTTTTAACATTTTAACAGTTAAAATTAGGGCTTTCATATTTCACAGATGTATTCCTTGTAACAAGACCTTCCTTTGAGTACCAACAATTTTGATGACCTTTTGACCTTGACCTTTGGAGTTTGACATGCATTTGAGAGAATTCAACCCTTGCCATAAGCTGTCATACGGGGACATCAGCGTTTCACAAACACATCTTGTTATTTATGCTGTAAGCTTGTTGTGTAAATGAAATTTAAGAAACAGGACATTATGGCCCAAAAAATCAACTTTCTCTCAGAACCGAAGATATACATTGTAAAACAAAACAAGATGTTAATGAAAACAATTATTCCCCCGTATTGTAGCTTATGGTGTAGGTTAAATGTTCTAAAAACATATTATGCAATGGGTTTGAATCCCACTTTGGGACGTGGAGACAGGTCCTTTGGATGAGACCGTATAGACCGAGGTCCCGTGTTGCAGTACGTAATAAATCCCTCACTGCTCAATGGCCCTGAGTGTCAAGTATAGAACAAAATTTGCAGCTCTCCACCGGCAAGTGGTGACATCTTCATAAGAGTGAAAAATTCTCGAGAGGGAAGTTAAACAACATTTAATCAATCTAAAATGCATCAACCTTCAATATGAAGAGATGAAAAAATGTTGGTATCAAAACAAAGGACTTATCTTAAGGTATCAACCTATGAAATATGTAAGCCGTAACACCAATCATTGAAAAGTTATAGTAAAGCTTGTGATTAAAATTTTTCAAACTTTCACGGTCAATGTCCAAATCATAGAGGGTCTTGTCCCAAACGTTTACATTGTTATATAGGAAAGCTATAAAACTTCGACCAATCTAAAATTTTGCCGACAAATAGATAGTTAGACAGACTGCAGACCTTTATACCCCCGATTTTTCGATAGAAAGGTAACATTCCTTATATACAAAAGTAACAAAACATATAGTGATTACGTAATATCAAAAACAGTATGTTACAGGCCCCTGTGCATTAGACGTATGTTTTGTCCCTGCTCACCAAATACATATTTAATCGTTGTTAGAGAAATTTTCCCTGGAGATAAATGGTTTTTGTCATATTCTAAAAATGAAATAAACCTAACATTTTCAGCTTTATTCGGTGCAATTTTTTAAATGTCAGAAACATTTTTTCATTATTTATGATGGGATCTTCGTCATTTTATGCAATGCTTTTCAAGTATCTATATAAACAAACAGGAAGTATTGATTTCTGGAGCTTTATTAATCATTGCAAGATGTAACAAACCCGTTCTCTTCTATACAAGTACATGTATTTAACAAAGTCACATAGAACTCTGAAAATAGGCGAGGGCCTAATCGAGCTTTTGTAACGTCCCACGTGTCGTTCTAAACACTATTACGCAATCACAATGTCTGCAAATCGTTTATTACTCCAGTTATGTGGAGCAAAAATATGATTATTGAACAGAATCTAAGGAATACAGTCCTCGCTGTCTCAGTCCTGCAGAGGAAAATTCATTATTTTAGTTTTGTACATAAGATAAATTAGGCCTACGTCATCGATCACAGGAAAAGAAAATTATGTTTGAATATACTGCGCATTCGTTTGCAGACTTACATCATTTATTAACCAACAAACATATATTGATAAATTTCGAATCAGTATCTATTCCTTTTATAAATCAAATGGGAAAATAACGAACAATGACCATTCTGAAAAGTCCATTTGAAAATACAAATTACGAGTAGAGACAACACAGACCTCTGAAAACGGAGCTGGGATCAGGTGCCATGGCGAAGTAAGCATCCCCTGTCAGCCGACCTTACCCATCACGTGACTATTATCATGATCGGATAAACGGAAAAGTCCGTAAATAATTCAGTGAAAAATAAGTCCTAACAATTTGTATTAAATACGTCAGTCGTTCGACTTAACCATAGGCGCTTGGACTTAACGACAGACTGTATTTGAAAACAATGTCATTACATCATGCCATCATCCATAGAATTTGCAAATGGTCACTTTTGTTGAAGCCCTTGAATCAACAACTTATTATGTTCCCCAAACGAAGTTGGGGAACATATTGTTTTTACTCTGTTTCTTATTAAGGTCTTCCGTCTTCACGGAAGACCTTATAGTTATTGCTCTGTTTCTTATTATTATTATTATTATTATTTTTCTGACACGATTTCTCGACAACTACTGGATAGAATAACATGAAATTTTCAGGAAAGATGTGTTGTAAGATACTCTTGAAAGTTCCAAGACAGTTTTTGGAAATTCCTCTCTGGTGCCAAGTTTTGGACCATTTTCCTGATTTTAAAACGACATTTTGTCCACGATTAAACTCAAAAACGGTAAAAGATATCAATGTGAAACTTTCAGAGTTTATAGATGATGATCAATACTTTCCAGGACGCAACTTTTCGTTCGTCGTCAGTACTTCCTGTCGCTACCGGAAGCCAATTCAAAAAGTCCAAATTTTCAACTTTCTTTGTTTTTCAATATTTTTCATTTATTTTTGGGATATTTATAGAGACACTTCTATTGATGCTTACTATATAAGTTGTTTTAATATTGGTTAATCTGAACTCTAGATATTAATATTTGAAAATCTGAAGCGGGCCCAAGATGGCGGCTGTCTCTGTCAACTCCGCCATTTCGCGAGTAGGGGCTTATGGAGGCAGCTGAGCGTTTGATTAAACCATTCTGACATAAGGATACATGAAATGCAAAAAACTACTTGGACTCTCACGTAGTAGTACGTTGCAATTCAGTGTCAATCTTAAAAAACTTAATTTACGTTTCACTGCTTTAGTGTTACTGGGCTAGATAGGATATGTAATGTGTACAATGTGTTAAATAAACTTTCCTAACGCCGAAATAAAATAAAGGTGATAAGAATGTTTTATTTAATTAATTTCATTGAATGCTCCTCTTTAATAGATCAGTAAAGGTGCGAATATTTACGCGTGGCGTTTGACACGAAATTATGAATAGTGGCCCGCCTTTTATGATTCTTAGACAGGTGAACTGTTTCAAAAGTATACACAAGTATATTTAAAGCAGTATTCCCAATAGCTAAATGGTTCGCGCGTTGGGGAAAAAAAGAGAAAAAAAAGGCGCATTCACGTTGGCGACCTGGATTCACTCCTCCTTGTGATCAAAATTTTTAATCACTTTTTAGTTCGATTTTACAAGTTTTTTTTTTCCTGAATCGGACGGAAGACCTCTCGTTGCTCGCAACGAGATCGTATCTAGTTATTATTATTTTTCTTCTTCCTGGGCACTTTTTTGTCCGCGAATGATCTCGTAAACTACACATCCAACTAAGGTGAAATGTTTTTAGGGTCAGTAGACATGTTATGTAGATTTGCGGAATCAAGGTCATTTTGCACGCACGTGCTTGCAAGAGCGCGCACGTGCAACACGTGAATGACCAAAATAATGTATATTGCCGTAACTTTTCTAATTTTTTGATGAAATGTTTTGAAACTCATAATGTAAGGATGTATTAGTAGCATAAACAAGATGACGTGGTCAAAATGGCAAGATCTCACGCGCATGCACGTGCGCTACGCTCTGATTGGCTGAAACTAAAGTCTCAATATCTTTCTTGTTTTTTGATGAAATCCTTTGAAATTTTGAACATAGCCATGCATAAGGATATCCTACAAATTGACATATAGCAATTATCATGAAATCACGTGCATGCACGTGCGCTGCAATCTGATTGGCTGAAATTTTATATAGCTATAACTCCCTTGGTTTTCAACCAAACAGGATGGGATTTGGAACATAGATATATATATATAATGGACTTCTACAAGAAGGTATGGTCACCATGCACATGCATACACGTGCGTGTACTAATGCTGCAATCTGATTGGCTGAAACTTTAAACAGTTATAACTCCCTTGGTTTTCAATCAAACAGGTTGGGATTTGGAACAAAGATATATATAATGGACTTCTGTAAGAAGGTAAAGTCACCCTGCACATACATACACGTGCGTGTACGTGCGCTGCAATCTGATTGGCTGAAACTTTAAACAGCTATAACTCCCTTGGTTTTCAACCAAACGGGGTGGGATTTAGAACATAGATAGATGTAATGGACTTCTACAAGAAGGTGTGGTCACCATGCTCATGTATGCACGTGCGTGTACGTGAAATGGGTAAAATCAAAAATGCACTTGTGCTTTTTTATACTTTTGGATTAAATACTTTAATATTTAGCATATTGAAATATATAGATTGTGCAGAGAATATGATATGGTCATTACGCACATACATTAACATGCGCAAGTGTGCAATGATAAAATTTGAATGAACATAGTACACTTCTGTGTAAACGTTGTTAAAGTCTCAAATGCATAAAGTTTGTCTTATTTAATTACGCTTACAGGGAATATGACTATAATAGGGAGTTGGGGAGCGTTTGGGGAACATCTGTAACGGTCCCCGTTACAATTAGCACTAGTTTGATAGTAGTCTACTTCATTTAGAAATTAGTCGTGCGAAGAGCATGTTCTTGCGTATTTTTATGACGTTTTGGAATCTAGGTACGATAATTCAAATAAGTTGTTATGATTATCAAATTTGAAAAATATTCCCAAACTAGAAATTCCTCGACAAAAAAGGAAATTATCACCAATCGGAAATATGAAAATAAAAATATTTCGAACAAAAATTATTTTGAAGAATTTTCTCCCTAGAAAGGCAACTATTACAGTAAAGGTCACTCCAAATTGCGATTGTCATACATGTAATGAGCCAAATAAACAAAGACATTGTTACCTGCTTTGACAACTGGGAAAAGTTTTATTTTCGTAATACTCTCGGGTAGAATAGTTACTATTCTATTGGTTATCTATATGCCATATATAAAACTAAGAAAGATTATTTATAAAATACGAGTTTTATTGTTTATGATTTGGGGCGAACATTTCCCCGAATGAAATGTTGTATTGTTTCAGCTTTCTGATTAAATGAAAACAAAATGTACTTTAAGTCTTTAACATAAACTACCATACCTTCAAAATATGTGTAAGAAAATTAAAAATAACAAAAATAATGTTATATTTCCTCACAGCAAAATACGAGGGTTGATCCAAAAGTTCGTGGAATTTCTTCATATTTTATTTATTTTTTAGTGAAAATGGTTGAAATTTACAAATGAGAATATAGACACTTGTTGAATATCTTAAATTAAAAATCATTTAAAATATCTATGATAGTAAGTCTATGGCAGTTGCCATAGAAACGGTTGTTTGGAAATGCGGGGGAGACATTACTGCGTTTATTATCAATTAAATTCTTAATACTTGTAATGAGCATAAAACCGCCCTATGTGGCATATAAAACGAAAATTACGTCATTATTGCGATTGCTTGATATTTTATAAGCCTTTGTATGCGCGTTTTACTGATTTTTCTGGATATTTAGTTTATTAATTGGTGATTAATTGTTCACCTTTGAGTTGTGAGACAACGTCATATTCCGATCAAGTCACAAGTTTTGTGAAAATCCCGGGATCACTCTATCTTAAATGCTTGTATTATTGACATATGCTGGGGAAAATACATTTAGTTACTGGTTTTCCAGTGGCATAAGAAATTCAAGAAAAGTAGAATTACCATGGACATTGATTAAAGGTGTGGCCACCTTTAGGAGGCTCTGTTTTAAGTGTTTATCCCCCTAGACAAATTAAAAGCGTTAATAAACGTTGTCGGCTGACGTACTGCTTTTGACATTGCTACTGAAATTGGAACATCATATGGAAAGATGGGGAGTATTTTGAAATCAGTGAAAAAAATGAAGATAAGTCAATGCGAGAGGATATCCAGGCTTTTTTTGAGATAAAGGCAGCATTTTGAAGAATTACGTATTCCAATTGGACATCAGGGTGAGATGCGTCTATAGCGTAACGTGACATATCTAACTTGACGTTACGTTGAATTCTCCCCCGGGTTTCACAACAATCCATTTTCAGAAAGCTCGTGTGACCTTCTTTGTAATTGGAAAGTTGTGAAATTTTCCAATATTGTTGCATTTGGACTCTAAATTATAAATATACCTATTGTTTGCTTTCATCAAATCACGATAAAATTTTGGAAAGAAATTCCACGAACTTTTGGATCAACCCTCGTATATTAAATAGTTTCTTTTATTTTCACTGATAATTGTCATGTAGAGAGTTAACTATTTAACTATTTCGGCTCAATATTTTTGAAATGATAAAAGAGGACATTGTCAAAAAAATTATTTGTAAAATGTAACCGGAAATGATGTAAGAATTATTGCAGCCATCCTCAAAGCAAAGTATGTAACAAGTTTTCTTATTGGCTGTCAAAGTGTCGTTGACACAACCTTCCCTGTCAACTTTAGAATCCAAGGTTGAGCAGCTACGAACGAACGCCGTCTGTCGATCTGAAATATGACATTGATAGAAACAAGAATTATATCCAAGCCTTATATGAGACAGAACATCATAGATTATTCATAAAAACTTGGGTTTTGGATTATAAATATGTATAATGTATCTATTGATATATTTTTTTTTACATATCAATAGGGTACATTATACATACCCAAGTACATCAAATTAGCTATTTGAATTGATTGATTGTATGCATATGTGGTTTTACACCCCATTTTCGAAGGACCATTATACCCAAGGACTTAAAATTTAGACCCGTACTCGGCATTCAGGTTTCATCCAAAAGACCCCCGATTTTCACTTCTATAGTACTCTTGTCATTGTCTTTGTTTCATATGCAATTCAAACGAGTCAAGGCGAACGCAAGGATTCTCCTGAGCTTATACAAAAAGAAAACTTGCCATCAGTGATCTTCAAGATTTGTACGTGCCTGATTCCCGTTAACTCTGGCTTGAATCTTGAAATGTCCCATTGGAATAAAAACTCTGTCTCTTTTTATGATCTCGCTGATTTGAGGATTAGAGGCATAGTATATTGTTTTGAGTTACAGTGTTTGTATATTCAATTCAAATTTGTCCAATTCCCATATGGTTATGGTTTCTTTCGTGCTCAGCTATGATTAAAATGAAGTTGAATGTAAATGTAAGGAACCATGCAGTGGACGGCTTGACAAATCTTGCTGAATGACAAACTAATCGTTCTCGAGACTGCAATCTGGATTTTTGATCAGTTCATCAGCAAAGAGACGGCCATTTTGAAATACCATATCAGAATCACTTCGGGAAATGTTTGTTCTAATCTTCTGAATTACCACTCTACTTTTACGGATGATAATCTAAATACCTCCAAGCCTATCAAAAACCACTTTGACCTGATCATCTGTGGATTGGATCTGAGATCTTTGACAGTAACGTTTCCTCCTTGATTAAAGGATCTGTTAAGAAAAGTCTAATGGACGGGCCTTTTTGCTAATATGAAAAATTGAGTATATCTCAGTGACTTATGAGGCTTGAAATAAGATGCAGTGCTTCTACACAATTTCATGAAGCTTGGTTACTTGAAAGCAATACTAAAATACGAATACTTTGACCAAGCTTATGCTCATGGAAAAATTAGATTGACTGTAGAAATTTGTGAGTTGGGAATTTTGAAAGAAATTGATAATATATAATTGATATATATACCTCTCCACAAATTCCATGAATGGTATTGCCTATATCTTTACATTTACTCTTAAAAATGCTTGAACACTCCAGTGAGAGGGGGGCAACTATTTATCAATGATACTGTAAACGTCTTACATTAAGCGGTGTATTCTATTTAGCGATTTTGGCGGAAAGCAGAGTCCGCTAATTCAAGTACATCGCTAAATGTCTTGTATATTAACTTTAATAAATAGACATTCAGACAGCGATAAATCAAATGTACGCTAACTTGTTGAAAATTGAATTTCCGCCAAATATCTTACACGCCAAATATAATACATTTACAGTATCTTAAATTCAACACATTCACTTTAACGTAAAAGGGCGCTCCATCTTCTGACAAAATAGATAATATTGTTAAAAATATCATCAAGTGAATTAAGACATCATTTAAATGAGATTATTTAATTTGGTCGAAAAATATCTAAAGATAAAACACAATTTATGTGGATAAATCCAGTTTTGTATAAAACAACAAAGTATTCGATAAATTATTGAATAGAGTGCAGTACCAAATTCACATAAACTTAAAATTGTTGATTTATTGGGTAAAATCCTTGATGCTTGAGATTGAACAGAAGAGAGTGATTTTTTTATTCAATTAATGCGTGCATGCATGTATATTCAATTATTGCTCGATTTCTGAATTTATTAATCTAATTGATATAGTTTATTTAGTTCATTTGAAGGGAACAACAATTCAATTATTGTGCTTATCAAATAAGCATGTCAATATAATGTTGAATTCAGAATTGAAAATATCATTAATGAGCGATAGAGATCTTCAACTGAATTGTTGAATTAGTGTCCTTTTATAATTATTAAAAACGTCAAATGATTAAATATATCTTCAGCTATCCGAGTTTATGTTGGATATAGAAGTGTAAACTGTCAGTTTCTATTTACCGTTAATATAGATCCTGGTGATGAGGCACCCATTTCTTTTGCTTGTCCTCTCCAGACAGTCGGAGGGGTCTGGCGGGTTGCTCTCACATTTAGGATCGCGCTTCGAGTCGCACTGAGCACATAGAGTCGTGGAATCTAGGATGGAGACAATGGATTTAATCTGATTTGATTAAACATATATTATTGATACATAACCAAGTGTTTTTCTAACTATCTTAGAATGTTCTCACCAATACAAAAAAAACAAAAACAAAAAACAAATCATACAAAACATGTGATGTACATAATTGTGATATACCAGTACATGAAAGTTCAAGAAGAATAAGGATAAATTTGAGTACATAGAAAAGGAGAAGAGATAGTTTCTAAAGAAGTGAAATGGATGCAAAGAGAAGGAAAAAAGAGAGTGCAAAGAGAAAGGGGAGAGTGAAAAGAGAAGGGAAAAAGGAGTAAAAGGAAAATGGGAAAGAGGGGAGTGCAGTGAGAAGGAAGAAAAAAAAGAGTACAAAGAGAAGAAAAAAGAGTACAAACAGCAGGAAAAGAAGGAGGGATCAAGAGAAAAGGAAAAGAGAGTACAGACAGATGGGAAAAAAAATTCAGAAAGAAAGGAAAAGTACAGAGGACAAAGAGGAGGGGTAAAGAGCTTTTTCATTTACAATCTCAGCTGCTTGTGAAATAAGTGCTCTGTCTTTTCTGGAAGAGACAAATGAGGTGATAGCTGAGAATCGATACCCGTCCTCTATCGTACAAAATGACACTCTATGTTAGGAATGAGCATCCGTTCCTCCTTAATTCGAGCAGAAGAAATGGGTGGGCCTAATCTCGAAAATGGATTGGTGAGGTTCTTTAATTACACCAGAGGAACAGAAAATCGACCAAAAACGGGCACATTCAGGAGGCATTTCTGTCGTAAGAATCTGTCATGCTAATTATGAAAGATTTCATGTCCTTGAAGCTTTACATCTACAGCTGTATTAAATTAACCATGCCAAAAAAAAAAAAAAAAATGGGAAAAGCAAAGAAAAATGATTATGGTTCAAGCCTGCTATGTTCAAGGGATCGAAATATAGAAACTCTATAACATTACATCATCAAAATTGTACCACAGTTCATAAAAGGTCTTGACTTTAACGGAACGATAGGAAGTAAATAAATTTCAGAATAACTACTAAGTGTAGTATAAACTTGAATTTAGAAAATATTGTACGAATATGTTACCGTTTTTAAAAGAATAGGAGAAATTTGATTCAATAGGAAGATGTCCAAAACATTCATAACAAGCTAATTCAGAGAATTCGTGTCCCCCGCTAAGGGAAAAAGTCGGCTCCCCCTGACTGAATTTGTAGAATTATTAAATGTATACATGTATACTGAAGGAAATAAAATACATGTATGTCAATATGCATATAAAGATTTGATTGCTTATTCTTTATTGTGTGTATAGAAGATTTTTTTATATGGAATATTTATCACCCTGTAATGATGATTTTATAACCTCATAAATTTTTCATTTCACATGCTGAATACTATCATTTAGTAAAAAAAAAAGTATTTAAAAAAAAAAAAAAAAAAAGAAAGGTTCGACCGAGATTCGATCCCAGGGCCTCTCACATTTGAAGCGAGAGACAACCACTAGACCACGGAGTCGCTTTACCCGGATTGAAGTATATGCAGAACTGAAGTCACATACATGTATATATTCATGTTTTCATGTTCGGTATTCTCAAAATTTTACACAATCCATGGTGTTTGATTTATTTAGCCTTTATTAAACAGTTATAATAGATGTAATAAGAACATAAAGTCCGCCGAGAACCTGTTTTATACGCAATAACTCTCCTCATGCCCCTGCGCTAAAAATAGCGACATGTAATACTATAAATACTAATAAAACAAACGGGGCGGGGCACTTTGAGAGGGGCGAGAGACGTCCTAGGGAGTTTTGGTATAAAATTTCATTGCATAAGCTCAAAATCTTCTTGAAATATGTTAGAAATATAAGTTAACCGGAAATGATAGTGTTACACACAGAGAGAATGTATAAATTTACGACCTTGAACTTTGACCTTTTGACCTCAAAATCAATAGGGGTCTTTTTTAGGCCACAGGGAGTTGTTATGTAAAATTTCATTGCGATAGCTCAAACGGTTCTAGAGATATCGTGTGGAAACGAAAGTGTTTTAACAGACAGAATTTGCTTATTTATGACCTTGACCTTTGACCTTTTGACCTCAAAATCAATAGGGGTCTTCTTTAGTCCATAGGGAGTTGCTATGCTAACTTTCATTGCAAAAGCTCAAAGGGTTCTCGAGATATCGTGTGGAAACGAAAGCGTTACAGACAGACAGAAAGACGGACGGACGGACGGACGGACGGACAGACGGACGGACGGACAAACCCAAATTAATATCCCCCACTTTTCAAGCGGGGGACAATAACTATGAATAAATAATTATCACCCAAAAAATTAAACAAAAATATTGCATATTCTGGAACAGATAGCATTTTTCGATCCCTTGTAACAATTAATTACGGAAAGAAAAAAATTGAACATTCTTGGAAGAAAAGCAATAAAATTGGCTTCGTGGTAGATTCTAAAACTCTGCGTTTAGTAATCGTGCGATTTTCCATTATATACTTCTATCTCATTGAACACAATCACCAATCAACTGTGATACAGCACGGCATAAACACAATAGGCCCATGGGCCTTAACGCTCACCCGACCATCGTGTTAGAAATTTATATCTAGACTTATTCCTCCCACCCGAACGAACTTGAATCTACACTACCTGAGGATGCTTTCATACACCGGGTATCTACGACCAATCATGGCTTTACCGTTCATGAGAAAAAGTTTATTTAAAGATTTTTCATATATATTCCTATGTTAAACTTTGATCATCCATTGTGGCCCCACCCTAAAAGTTTGTTTGAATAGTATTACCATGGACTAAGAAACACATTTGTTTACATCTATGATGGACTTTTATTACGCATTACCCTAGACTCTAAATCCCTAGACCATATCAAAGATGTATTGCCACATTATTTTAGTGCACATATATATAGTTACGATCACCAAAGGATTTTTTTTAAGTTGTGAAATTTGAGGTCCCCAGGATAAGGGTTCTAGTGTTTGGGAAGGGGCGTCATATTGTTTATACTTGTATACTGGAAATGCGTTATATGTATTTGTACATCTCTGCTCAGGGGAATCAAAGAGGCAAATAGGTTGAGAATTGTACTATATAAGGTATTTTGTACCATTTCTTTTTTGTTTGGAAATCCTTTAAAACTTGGTCAAGGGTTCCAGTTCTAGGGATGAATAAGGCCTCTAATAATAGCTTGTTTTCGACTGAAACTGAAGTATAAAAGTTATTACCCTTTACTATTCATTAATATGATGTGTATTCATTGAATGTCATGTCATCCAGAATTATACAAGATTTTTTTTATTGTAAAGTACAAGAAGTCTTTTCTTAATTTTTAATCATAAACAAAGAATAAATCATTAAAAAAGACTTAAATAACTTGTAAATAAATGTTCCGCAGAGATGAATGAATATCTATCACAGAGGCATTGTAAAGTGGTAAGTATTGGACCTTAACTAAGCACTTTCGTTTAATTTAGTCTGTATGATTCGTAATGCACTCGGTATTAGACTAAATTATTTGCTGATCCCAGGCCCATGCAGGATTCAAAAATGAAACTAAGTAAAAAAAAAAAATATTTTTTGCACTGAACTGATTAAGAAATGAAGTATTGATCAACAAAAAATATTTTGAAGTAAACTGATGCTTCGTGCAAATTAAGAGTTTCAGTTCACAATGAATAAACACTTTATTTTTTGTGTTCAGTAAATTGAAAAAAAAAAACTCCCCGGACTAAACAAATACCTGTACAAATGTATATTTTTTTGACTGATATTTTAACCTTTAAGCTTCAAAAATCAATTGAACAATACAAACTTAAGCCAACTTACAATGTAGAGACAGCGGTAAGAAAATTTAAAGCTACTCACCTGTTATATGGCAAAGAAACCCCAGAAATAAAGAAATGATTCCTGTCCACATTGTCACTTCAGCCATTGTCTTAAGGCATTCCAAATTTGTCAAATATACAAACTACCCAAAGATGGTAAAAAAATCGAGGCTTGTGGAAATAAAGAAGTCAACAGTATCCTATGTGCTAATTTGGGTCTATTCAAAACAATTTGAATATTTCCGTCCAATCAGGGCTTTGAAATATGCGTTCTTTTCATAAGTTTCCACCTCTTGAGATTTTGAGTGAGTTCCCTGCTATTGATATTTCATATTTTGCATTTAGTGAGAATCTCCCGTGAGTAATAATCTGCTGGTTCTGTGATTTTGTGAGATGTAAGGATCGGGGATCCACATCTGGTTAGCGACCAATCTAATTATAGGCTTCCTTTTGTCTGCCGAGGGACCGCGATGATGGCTTGACGTATTAGGCAGTTAGGGATCACTCCTTCCCACTATAAAAGCTTATTACTTTGATAATGACAGTCAATACAGGATAAAAAATGATATGAATTCACATAACTATGCGAGAAAATATCATATCTTCCTATGACTAAATACCGTCTTCACATTTGTAATTCCATGTTGGTTGATCTTTGTGAGAATTCAAGCCGAAGACAGTTCCTTACATCGAACTTAATGAAAGCTATGTATAACTCTCGCTTTCTCTCGTATACATGTATAATGTAATATTTCCCTATACAATACCACATTACGCCATATAAAGAAATATATTTATATAAATTTTATTTTGTTAAAAACCTTTCTTATTATAAAACAGGTATAAGTTGGCATTAAAAAGATGCTTACGTTTCTGTTCGACATTATCTATGCACCCGGTAGTTCTTGCAACAATCTGTCGGAATTCCCATGGGTATCATTTGCGCCCCGTTTTAACAGACCTATTTTTGTATATGTATCCATATGAAGTATAATTTATTACATTATATATCACATACACAAGAAGAAGAAAACACTCGCTTTGGCATTCGACTCGACATTTAGATTTAACAATTAACAATAGTAACTTCCATTCATGTCGACTCGAAAATTCGGAGAGTTAAAGCAGAAGCTACACTTCTGCAGCTAGGTCTACGTATGAACAATTCTTAGACGAGAAAAGCTACAGACAAATAAGTTGCTGAAACACAGATATCAACGTACAGTCTCGCTTGAAGTAATTATTTTGCAAGTTCTATGGTAGATACAATGACCTTATCAGCAAATACATTCTATCATTAAGTCAAATGCTGACTGACATTTTCATACTAATTGTTAGGCCATTGTTTAAACAATGAGTTTGTCACGAATTTCCCCCCTTTTCCGATTATGACAAAGAGTACATGGCGGATGTGAAAGGTTGATAGGGTATGCTCAATCCTTCATGCCACCTGCTCCACCTCTGGATGTTTTAAAATCCTTTGTATACTCTACTCATGATTTGTACAGTTAGAATGGACTTTTACCTTGAACACTATTTGTTTTACCCCTACTTCATAAACAAATATATTCAGATATACCCATGACGTTCTATCAATTCTTTAAGTTTTTACATCATTATCAATTGTGTTTGATATGACTTCTTTCATTTGAAGGTCATCAAAGTCAAATAATGAAAACATATTTTATTAACAATAATATTTTTTTGTGATTTATTGATCAGAAGGAAACTACATTGATTAAAATAAGGTACAGTGTAGGATGACTGATTTTATGAGCCAAAGTGAAATTATCAGTTATAATTCAGTACAGTGGGGTTCGAACCCGCGACGTAATAATCAACTCCTTATTTCGCGTCTCTAGTAAGAGTAGACGCTCTAACCACTGCACCACGCGGGCGATGTTTCGTGAAATATCTGATGTGGTAACGTTTCTTTAAAAAAATGACCAAATTTGTTATATTGTACAGAAATATTCTATGAAGTACCAAAACCCTTTTACTGTTCAGACATACTGGCCAGTATATCAGTTCTTACGATATACATGTACAGACATATAATTTATTGGACGGAGTATTAAACCCTTATGATAAACAGTCATATTGGACTGGATCAATAAAACTGATAAAGCACTGATCTATTGGACAGATCGAGTACTTATGTGCTGACATATTGGACAGAAGACCACAATCCTTACAATGTACATACATACTAATATTGGACAAAAAACTGCAATTGTCGACTTATGTTTCCACCATAACTGCCTTTCAAGATAAGTAAGTAACAAAAAATGATGGTGGAAACGCTACATGTTTTGGTAAACCTTTATGCAGCAACCAAATCTAAATGAAATATTTACAGCGCTACATTAAACAGGTGTGATTGAGCTTGAGACAGCTAAACTGTCCTCACTAACGCCCACGCCACACCGTAGCAGATAAGTGAACGCTTTACGGAACATTGCGTTTTTCAGTCCGAAAATAACCCAGTTCAGCCCAGAGTTGACCAGCCCCATAATGGACAGGAATTTTCTGAGAGTCATCATTGTAGTATTATTCTCCAGAAACAGGGTGTCAAATATAACAATCAGCAGATACGGGCCCCAGCAGATGGCAAAGGCTCCGAGTAAAAGAATCATGATTTTAGTCTTTCTGTATGACTTGCTGGTTATTCTATGGCGGTCCTCTTGTCGCTGGATAGGCTTGTCACAAATTTTAAACTGACTCCATGCGGTTCTAACCACCTTTATGTACATAAAAAAGTTTACCACTAAAGATGTAGTGAAATAGATGAACATAATGCTTTTGAAAGCCTTTGGCCAAATCCATAATATATCACAAGGGACGTTTTCTTTCCATTGGTTCCAACCAAGAAGTGGGAGCGAGGCGAGTAATATCGACAACAACCAGCACATCGCGATTACAATCGACAAGGATTTCCAGGTACATATCGCAGCGTGATGCAAAGGATGGACTACAGCAATATATCGCTCCAATGATATTGCAAAAAGGTTCATAACAGATGCTCCAAGAAGCATATCGACCAGGGAGTGGCGGATCAAACAAAAATACTTTTGTCGAGCGAGGTCTTCATGAGTCAGAAAGACGAGGTCATAAGGAATGAAAACGAGGCCAATAAGGAGATCCGATACGGCAAGGTTTCCGACCAAAACATAAATACGTTTACGGAGACGATGGAACCTCAGCAGGCTAATGATGATCAGGAGGTTTCCCACGATGATAGGGCCTATGATGGTACACTCCACAATAAAATATGTCGTAACTAAGGATTCGTAAGGAATATGTGTAATATTCCTCCACTCTTCGGCTGCTGTCATCTTGTTGCTAATCCAGCATAGAAATAATTAAATTCCTAAGTTGTCATGATTAATATCATTAATTGCAGTGTATCGATTCAATCAAAGGATACTTGTAAAATGAGGCATGTTTACGGTGAAGTTTTAGAGACAATTACGGTATTGTGGCTGAGGGCATGCAATCACTAATAATGGACATCATCCGCTGTTCTCTGTCATAACAAACGTGATGGGGAGGCAGTTTAATTGATATGGTACATACGTACGCGTGGGTCACAGACAAGGTGTCATTGAATAAGTGGGTGGCAGATGTAACATTTAGTTTTAAAATGAACTTTAAATACAGACTAGGATATGTCAAATAACAGGTCTCTAGAATAACTAGAACTGCATGCATCTGATAGTAAACCTCACGAAAATAACACAAAGTCTGCGCAGAATTTGAAGTGTTTGTTTTTTCTTGTATTTGATGGTATTTGTAATCCCAGAGGAGTCCTTATAAGATATTTTTTGTCAATTCAAACTTTATTTCAGAATCCTGATTGCCTTGGGGAGTGTTCGGTGTTTTATAGAGCGTCACATGACCGATAATGGCTTTATAAACTCGTTGCCGCAAGGTTTCGCTAGTGATTTGGAACGAACGAAGGCTGCTAGTGGTTCAGGCATCAAGAGGTCAGAAATCTATTGGGTTTTGATATGTTTCAGACGACGATGAGAAATTTAAAAAAAATGTTACTATAGTCTGAGAGTCTGGATATTGACCAAGGTACTTAATTCTAACTGGTCTTTATGAAAGAGGATTTATATGTTTGCTTCAGATGCGGTCCGACGAAACCTGCAAAAGTGAGGATTTGTGTTACATAATTTGGAGGCCCAACGTAGCAGACTTTGATACCAATTAATTGCTCCCTCGCCAAATCATTCAGACAATAACCCCTATAGGTTTTTTGGGACAACAGCATGGCAGTATATAATAGAATTTTATGTTTGCTTGAAATATGGCCCAACAAAACATGCAAAAGTGAGGAAACTGTTTAGACAGCTTCCTTCGGCTGCAGATCTTGTCGTAGTCGCTATGCTCGGATCACTCACTTGGGACACTATTTATAAAGACAGAATCAAACCTAGGTGACCGTGGATTCCTGATAAACCGATGCCTGTGGCCGACTGCTGTATAATGTACAGTTATTAAAGTGAAATCAGTTTGAATAATTAATTAGGAAAAAATGAAAATCCTAGGCGAAATGAATACCGGTACTTATAATTACCAAACGAATAAATCATTTTTTCAAAAAAAAAAAAAAAAATAAATAAATAAAATAAAAGTCAGATACTTGACAATTATGAACCTTAACCAATTTCACATTTTGAATTTATCTAACTTATTACTAGCAATAATTGTTGAGATGACCCAATGCTTAAGTTTGAAGTAAAACTCTCGGAAAAGTATTTTGTACAGAAATATTGCTGTGGTCTTCATTTAAACAATAAAATGCTTTCTTTGTTTGTTATTACTGGAATGAACGGAAGCAGCTGTTGCAGAAAAAATACATTACCCGCGTAAGCGGGTTAGCTGCGACCGTTCATTCCAGTAATAACAAACAAAGAAAGACATTTTATTGTTTATATTTATATCTGTTTAAATAATCAATTAAAGTAGGATTAAAAAGATTAATTATTTTATTAATGATGCGAACGTCTTTATACGTTTCATTGATGGAACAGCCACTGATTAAGAAATCTGTACAGGCGACATGCCTACTGTAGTTTATGTAGTGATGAACGCAATGGGGTTTCTTAAGAAATAAAGGAGAAAATATTCAGTGGATGTAAATATTTAGATATATACGACGTTAAATATCAATTCCAAATAATCATTCACATTCATACATAGATTAAATATCTGACTGATATCTATGGCACGCCAAATTCAAAAAATGAGATAACCCTAGTTTCACATTTGATAAACTAGGTTTATCGACTGTAAACTATAGTTTACAAACCGTAAACTATTGTTAACGATTCGTTAAGTATAGTTTTCATCTGTAAAACTATATTTAACGGTTGTTAACTATAGTTTACGAATGATAATCTAAGTTTATCTGTCTGTAATTAGCGTTAACAATAGATTTTGTTGATAAACATAGATTCACGTTTGTAAACTATAGTTTACAATCGTAAACTATAGTTAAGACTTGTTAATCATAGTTTCACAAATCGTGAAACTATATTTATCAGATCGTTAACTATAGTTGACGGTTCGTATAGTTTACAAATCGTGAAACTGTATTTATCAGATAATCTATGTTTTGCAATCGCAAATGATAGTTTTCGGTGTTAAGTATAGTTTACGGTTGTGAAACATAGATTATCGCGTTAACTATAGTTTACAGATGTAAAATATAGATTAACGTTGTTAACTATAGTTTTCGGTCCGTAAACTATAGTTTACAACCGATAAACCTAGTTTATCGATTGTGAAACTATGATTTGCTCATTTTTGTGAATTTGGCGTGCCATAGATATCTTTAAAAAATGGAGTTTGACATATATGTTTTATACTTGGGTGCTCTCTAAGACAAACTAATACGTTAATTTCGGCTTGTATGTCCGTCCGTCTGTCTGTCTATAGCTGTATTTCTGTCTGTCTGTGACGCGTTTGTTTCCACGAGATATCTCGAGAAACCTTTGAGCTTTTGTTAATTTGAGATCAAAAGGTATTTTAAAATTCTGACTGTTTTAACAATTTTGTTTCTGTGCGATAGTACGAGAAGGGTTTCAGTTGTTGCAATGACATTTTATATCTTAATTCCCCATGGCATAAGGACCCCTATTTATGTTGAGGTCAAAAAGCTAAAGGTAAAGGTAATAAATCATACATTCTGTACGTGTGTGTAAAACTTTCATTTCCGGGCGATATCTCAAGAAGCTTTTGATATGTTTAAATTAGAATTTATACTATAACTCATTATGACCCTCCCACCCTTCTTAAAGTGTTCCACCCTATTGACCCCCCCCCCCCCCCCCCCGCCATCACATTCTCTTCTCTATGGCACGCCAAATTCACAAAAATGAGTTAAACAGTTTCACAATCGATAAACTAGGTTTATCGCTTGTAAACTATAGTTTACGGACTGTAAACTATAGTTAACGACGTTAATCTATATTTTACATTTGTAAACCATAGTTAACGCGATAATCTATGTTTCACAACCATAAACTACGAAAGCCGTATAACTAATTCGTTATAACGAGATACTAACTCGTTATAACGAGATAATTAACTCGTTATAACGATTAAATTTTTTTTATCTTCTCAGAAATGAGCCTATCCGGCTTTCGTAATAAACTATACTTAACACCGAAAACAATCATTTGCGATTGCAAAACATAGATTATCTGATAAATACAGTTTCACGATTTGTAAACTATAGTTTACAAACCGTTAACTATAGTTAACGATCTGATAAATATGTAGTTTTACGATTTGTGAAACTATGATTAACAAGTCTTAACTATAGTTTACGATTGTAAACTATAGTTTACAAACGTAAATCTATGTTTATCAACAAAATCTATTGTTAACGCTTATTACAGACAGATAAACTTAGATTATCATTCGTAAACTATAGTTAACAACCGTTAAATATAGTTTTACAGATGAAAACTATACTTAACGAATCGTTAACTATACTTAACGAATCGTTAACTATAGTTTACGGTTTGTTAACTATAGTTTACAGTAATAAACCTAGTTTATCAATTGTGAAACTATGTTTATCTCATTTTTGTGAATTTGGCGTGCCATACTTCTCTTTTCCTTCAGCGGGGGAACAGTTGTTTATCTATCAGTATACCATTATTACATGCATATGGAGTCCATTCTCCTTCGGTTGGTTCTATCGATTAAGAACATATTCTAAGTGAGAACGAATTCTAACTTGTGACAGACTACCGACAAATATGTTGATTATACAAAAATATAAACAATTTCGTTTAAAGTCAACATGTTGCATACAGTGTATATATGATCAATGCAATAACATCGTTTGTTCTATCGTATTAAGGTTGAAAGTAGACTGGAACTTTCAACAACAAATAAGAAGTATATACCATCACTTTTATCTTATTCAATGTGCACAACAGGTGTAGCCAGTCAGTATTAAAAACATTTCTCCATATCATCTGATCCCTAGCTCCTCGTGGGTTTCAAGGGTCTGTGTTAGATTTGTAATAAATCTTTATTGTTGAATAATCATGATAATAGGATGTTTAAGCATGAACCCACACGTTAACCTGAATGTTAACGCGACAAATGAGTATACCGCTTGTAATGATGGTGTCCGGATAGGGCCATTTGCGTTAGCGCGACATCGCGTTCAGATAAACGAGAAATCGCGATAACACACAACACGCCGTCGCGCTAACGCAACTTTGCACAACACGCCGTCGCGCTAACACACAACACGCCGTCGCGCTAACGCAACTTTGCACAACACGCCGTCGCGCTAACAGACAACGCGCCGTCACGCTTACTCACAACACGCCGTCGCGCTAACACAACTTTGCACAACACGCCGTCGCGCTAACGGAACTTTGCACAACACGCCGTCGAGCTAACCAACTTAGCAAGTTGTGTTGTGCGTTAGCATGACGGCGTGTTGTGTGTTAGCGCGACGGCGTGTTGTGTGTTTGCGACGGCGCGTTGTGCAAAGTTGTGTTAGCGCGACGGCGTGTTGTGTGTTAGCGCGACGGCGCGTTGTGCAAAGTAGCATTAGCGCGACGGCGTGTTGTGTGTTAGCGCGATGTCTCGTTTATCTGAACGCGATGTCGCGCTAACGCAAATGGCCCTATCCGGACACCATATGTAATAGATAAACAATCCAAATCGAGCAAAAAGGAAAAAATAGTCATAATCAGGGTTTTACAGCAACCGTCATAAATTTCAATAAATAATGAATGTAGTTAATTGATGTATGCTTTAAACGCTTATTCAAATTACCACCAACTTCCAGCCTTATCTTCCTCAGAAATATCAAAAGAAACTTTTAGCTCACCTGAGCCAAAAAATCAAGTGAGCTTTTCTGATCAACTTTTATCTGGCGTCCGTCTGTCTGTAAACTTTCCATTTTCGACTTCTTCTTAAAAACCACTCGGCCAATTTCAATAAAATTTTCTACAAAGCATCCTTGGTTGGAGATCTAGTTTTTTCCATATACCCTGATTTAGTAAGATGAATTTTTATTATAACATTTAATGAAAAGAACCAGCAAAGTTAGCAAAACGACATTTTTGGTCTTTCTGGTATGACATGGCTAACGCAAGTCTGTGCGCGCGATATATTTTACTGAGTTTATACACCAAGTACAGGCTGTTACAGGGGCTGTGTGAACCATTATTTGTTGTTCTAAAGTGATGGTAGTGTGAGACAATGACTAAATGGTTCTGTAATAAATCTAAAAGCTTTTAAACAAATTTCACAGCTCTTAACGTTTTAGCAACCCATTATCCCCATAACGTGAATTTGTTGCCATGGTATCATTATTACGTGACTTTTCCCCCCATTGACCATTTAAACAAGTATATATATAAATATACAAGTGGCCTTCCAAACAGGCATACATCGATGTCGAATTCAACAGAAAGAATATTAATGTGAGATGGAAATACAAAAATATGGGTTCCCACTCTATGTTATTTCCGCTATTGTATGGACGAAGGGTACTCGATTTTCTGAACCAAGAACTATAATTCTACTAGGAAAAGTGAGCGTTTTCCCCGAGATTATAGTCACGTGACCAACTAGACATGTTCTTAAAGAATTGTCATAATGAAGTAGAATCATTCCGGGTCTAATTGTGTACCAGATTTTGCTGATATCAGACCAAATTTTAACAGCAAAATGGGTTTTCAACGTTCTAATTCTGCTAATATGATGGCTACTTTGCTCATGCATAATTAAATGAAATCAGAGTGTAGCGGACAGTATATAGGGAACTTATGCTGCCTCGCCAGTGAGCTAGCTTTTCTGGTGATGCGGTAGAGTCTCCCTCTATTTCAGGCAAGTTAAGCAACGGCGAGCCTGTTTAACCCTTGGATGGGTGACCGGTTCACGTTACAAAATTGGTGGCAGCGTAGTGACTCTGGTGTCTGGTGTCCTGCTTCAGGAAGTCTTAGAGCTAGAACTTTGTGTCCATATACAGACTTCGTGTCTGTGGACGGCATGGGTTGCCGTATCTGAAATCAGGTTCCGACCTACTTCAGGAAGCTCTAAGACTAGGACTTCGTGTACAGGAACGGCATTGGTTGCAGTAACTGAAGAGGCCCAGACACTCAGAGAGAACTCATGCTAAGCTTCCCTGAGTGGGGGGAAGTGTAGCGGACAGTATATAGGGACCTTATACTGCCTCGCAAGTGAGCTAGCTTTTCTAGTGATGCGGTAGAGTCTCCCTCTATTTCAGGCAAGTTAAGCAACGGCGAGCCTGTTTAATCCTTGGATGGGTGACCGCTTCACGTTACAAGAGCAAAACTGCAGAAAATGTAATTCTTTTAAATTAATTTAATATTTGTTTACTAGTATACTGGCAATCTGAATTTCATAAATTACTTTCATATATCTTGCAAAAGTTAGTATACCATTGAGTGGGGAGGGGGGGCTTCAAAAATTGACTCCCTGAAACTACATGCATGGAAGTTCATTTTGTGATATTTTGTTTGAGCTGAACTTGCCACTGAAGAGATTTGGTTTTTCAAACTGATGAAAAACAAACAAGAACAAACAAACATATGGCCCCAAAACTAACAACTTTATTAGCATGATGCCCATTAATTTCTAACACAACAATTTCTTTAAGATTTACATAATAATATTTTAGCACATGATGAATCTCAATAATTTACTGCACCAGATACAAAATTATACAAACAATAACACAATCACATTCCATATGTCACACAAACAGTCACCATGCTTCCTTATGCAACTGAGACGTCAATGCTGATAATAACTGCACAGTCTTTTATTTTAACAAGAATATTCAAGTTTTAAAACAGGAGGTAATTTACTGTAGTTATTAATATTCTTACAAAGTATTAACTAACTGGGAACTTAATAAAGACAATCCAAAAGCTAAGAAAGAAACAGATCCTATATAAGTAAACATGTAAAAAGAGAGGTAGAATAAATTGTTACAAATTACAAGCAAAATGAATTTAGAAATACCTCTGGACCATAAGAGTCAGAGAATGTGCTGTGTCTAAGATATGGATTGCACAAAGTACATGTATTTTGTATTTTTGTTTCACAAATTGTTTTTTGTCAAATATAAGGATAACAAAAGGAAGAGGTTCTCCATTCAACAATACCATTCTCCCAGAGAATGAAAATAGATAAACTTAGGTAAAAGAATACTGTTAAGTACTACAGTTCAGTATCACTACATTTAACACAGATATCTTCCTATCATTCCACACATTGTTCTCTCTGAAAGAACCTGAGAATTTTTACTGGCAAAACAACCCTTATTCACTTTTCATTCAATTTCAGTTCGAAAGCAACCCATTTTCCTGTTTTGCTTTGTCTTTATCTGCTAACAGGACTTGTTGACATTTTTAGTTGTTTTAATACAGAGACTGTGCCATTTTTTCAATTGAATACAGAAACTGTGTCATTTTTTTTCAACAGTACACAGAAACAGCAATTTTTCAACTGTACACAGAAACTGTGGCATTTTTGTTAACTGTTTACAGAAACTGTGGCATTTTTGTTAGTTGTTTACAGATACTGTGGCAGTTTCTTAATTGTATACAGAAACTGTTTCTGGTTTTCAACTGTTTACAGAAACTGTGGCTGATTATCAAGTGTTTACAGAAACTGTGGCATTTTTTATCTGTTTACAATCACTGAAATTCTATTTTACAGGAATCAGCTACATCTTGGTTCTTTTCTAGCATCTTCTTTAATGCGCCACTGCATCAACTCCATACAGGAAATGGCGTCCTCCTGACTGTCATGGCCTCCAACTGTTACACCAAAAAATAATGACATCAACATAATACTGAAGTGAATTTGTGACTAGTCACTTTTTTAAAGTAAATCAACTGAAGTAATGCAATGTAAATTTTAGATAAATCATCTTGCATTGTGGAATATCTCTGATACACATTTATGATCATTGATGCTGATTTATTATACACATTTTATATTCCAACATGTAAATGTACCTTAATACAATAAAATTTGACACCATTTTTATATTTTATATAAATTTACATTGAATATTACTGGTTCTGTAGTAGAAAAGAGGTCGGGTTCGGGTTACAATTTATTAAGTACAACAAGTGTTTACTTTCTAATAATAGTCAGTTGTGAATTTACCCTGGAACCATACAGAAGTCTATCGACACCTGTCCCGTTCGAGGTCCACAGCTCAGGTGGGTTGTAACCGACGTTACCCCTCACGATTTCAAGTCTTTGCTATATTTGTTATTAAATTATTATGTTGAATATCTTACATACTTCACAACAGTTCTTGTTACAAACATCACGGACTTACCATCATCTTGGATAATTTTCTTCATATATTCTGCCATCAGCGTTTTAAGGGCCCTTTTATAGGGGGGTCCAAGACGATGGGGGAATACTACTGATGTATCTACCACAGTATCATGTATAATCTGAAAATAAATGAAAAGCTAACATAGTATCTCAACATTACAAAGCAGAGAAAGTATGAGAAATAATGACCTTGACTTGATGACAAGTAACACTGACCTTGACAGCTGCCAGGTCACTCTCCAGGCTGTGACCAATCAGAATGGTTTTCTCTGTGAACAGACTGAGCAGCACTGCCTGGACATCTCTGATGGTTGTCGTGACACCCACCATGTCTTCCTTGGTGATCCCACTAAACCTGTCAATCAAGGATAACACCAATCAAAACATGATTAAATGAACCTGTATACAAAACCAAGGCAACTCAAAAACAACATGATCAACTAAAGCTTTGGATAAAATGAAGCATAAATAAACAAGAGTTCTCAGAATATGGGCAGTACATCATATATTTAAAGTAATGAACTGTATTCCAGTTACAAAAAGATTAAAACATGCAAAACAAAATACTCTTCTGCATGAAATTAAAGTTATAAATTCTTCTTCAATTAAATTAATTTTAACTAATAGAAATCTGAATGAAAATTCATATTTACCCCATGTGCAGACATATCATCTTCAACCTTCCTAAACTGAAAACTTCGATATCTTATTATTTTAACACATCTATAAATCATTATTGACTAGTACCTGGTGTTGTAATCTATAATTTTTCTGTCTGGTCTCACCAAGGTCTCATACACTGAGTTGTTCTCACAGTCTGTCACAGTAACTCGAGCGAGCTCCACACCACCCTGAGTGTACACCTACAACAAAGAATAATTGTACACAGTTTACAATAAAACATTTACTTCATATACATAAATCATAAATAACTGAGCTCAAGATGACACGATGGTCTCACCATTTCACAGTCCATGGCATACACTCCATAATCTCCATCAGGTGCAGGTGAACATGGGAGGGTCTTCATATAACCCGTACGGTTCTCCCACTTATTGGTCTCATGGACATGACACTGCAACAAACATGTCCAGTATGACTTACACAGGTAAAAGTATGAAAGATAGTAGTGATAATTTATATTGAAATTTGTTTTATATATTGTTCTCCAAAATGATAGGCATGTAAAGTATTGCATGAAAAGCTGTCAACTTATAAAATTTAAACTTTGTACACTTTTGAAAAAGAAGAAAAAAAATGTTTTACTGTACCTTAGCAATTTGACAACCCTCTGTCCCTAAATCTCCTTGACAACAAGTATATCTAGTTTCAATGTACCCAGCAACTGAAAGAGATAAATTACAACTATTAAATATTGTTTTACACCCTGACATTCAGTTACACATAGTAATGTAGTCCTTTTTTTTTTACTGATGGTCATAAATACACTGCCTTTACAAAACAGCACTCACTTTTCTTTTTCCAAGCTTTCCCCCAGTGGTAACTACACTCCTCCTGATGTGCATACGTTCCATTAGGAAACACCATGAATCGCTTCCCACACCGCACACAAATTTTCTCATGTGCTTAAAAATAACAAATTTCATGCAAACTAGAAATGTTACAATAATGGTTAATGTGATCCTGACACTGTATATGTATGAGAAACAGAGAAATTTCTTTTACTATGTAATTCTTGGACTGATTAAGGTTTTCTATCTTACTTTTAAGTTTGGCACTGTTCTGCTCCTGCTGACTGACTGTGTATATTTTGGCTACTGAGCTATTCTCACTATCCGGTCGAGGAAATCCATTCTCCTGAAGCTGTTCTTCTGTCATTATGTACCTGGCAAGTCTGTTATAAAGTTCACTCCCTGAAAAAATTAACTCGTACAGTCATAAACCTGGATAATCACTCAGAAGTACAAAGAAGAATCTGATGAGACTTTATTTACCGCTTTATAAAATTAAATATTAAATAAACCAAAATTTTTGTTTAATTTTTCCCCAAATATGAAAATATTTTATTTCTTCACATCCTTTTGAAATGTATGATCACTTTGTTTATCACTAGTATCTTTTTTCTTTATTAATTGTGCAACGTTTTACTGAATTTGAAATATCAAAACATCAGCATTTAATGTCATTTATGAATTATCCCAAGTGACCCCCCCCCCCAAAAAAAAAAAGTGACCAGTAAAAAAGTTATGTTATTATCAACATGATCTACTTTTGTACCAGACTGAATAATAGCAATTTCAAAAATTGTTTACACACAAACTGAAGAAAAGCACATATATGAGACAGCTAAGAGACAATACCAATAAGCTGTTCAAGAAGCAGATTGTAAGATTTTACAGAGTGACTTCTGATGTCCAAAAACTAAGGTAAAACATACCTTTGAAGTTTTCAATGGGTCCCTTTGTTGAGCCCCCTGATCTGTTGAGGGTGTAGGTCGTCCTGGTTGCGTTTTTACCTCCTAACACCGCTTCATGAGACATCTTCAGAGGGGATGTAGGTTTTGTCGGAGAAGCTGTAAGTTCCGCTGCCTCTGTTCGCAGCCTTTTGATTGTGTTACATGCGACATTAAGGTAGACAGTTTTGTTACTGGCTCTTTTGTACACAGTGAGTTCTTCCTCTAAACCCTGTCAGTGATATAAAAAAAGATATATTATACGGTATTCTTAGTGTATTCTCATTATAATTGCAGTCTGAAATTTTGCATATACAAATACAAAACAAAGACCTTTCTGTTCAATCTGCACATAAATATACTACAAGTGAAAAGGCATATTGTGTATTCTAATTCTTAAATAAATAGTAAATACCCTTTTAAAAGCATCCTCTTCATTATCATAAAGAGGCAAGCATTCATCAATGATAGAATTGAGATATCGCTGCCTCACGCTGATCGGGACCTTGCTCCCATACTCCGCTGGAATTGTGGGTCGCTTGATATTCTTCTGCAAGTAGAAGGTTCTAATTTTAAATCACTAATCTTTCTCTCTCTCTCTCTCTATACAGGTAGACAGAAAAAATGATAAAGAAATTTGTCTTTATCACTCTCAAATCCACTAATTTTTCTATCTTGTTTTGATATTATGCTATCTTACCACATTAGGTACATGAGCTGTGCGTTTTTGAGTTTTGGATGCCGTGGAGACTACAGTTTTCCCATCCACTACTTTGGTCCCCTCTCTTCCATTCTTTACTTTCTGGTTTACGTTACTTTGATGTGCAACCCTATGTTTTCCAGTTGATGATGATGATGTTGAAGCTTCCTGCTGTTGTAGAATGCAATCAAACATGAGCATATCAAAAAGATTTCTATCATATTTTCAATAATTTTACAACCAATTTTATGGGTAAGCATTCCAAGAATTTGCTTTTGTAAATGGAAAATTAAGAAACCTGCAGAATAAGGTATAGGATCAATTCACTAACATTTCAAAATCTACCTAACTGGAATATCTTTAACTCTGTAAATTAAGATTTTAAATATTGAACTTACAGATCTTCCAGCCTCTTCTTGAGCCTGTTTCTGCATCATTACAAATCTGTTGTGCATGATCTGAGCTGGGGACAACTTTGAATGGGGCTTCTCTGGAATCTTTCTTGTCACCTGTAAATCAATAATCAATGTTACACTATGTATACCTCATAATTCAAATAGCATCTTCACAGCTGAACAAAATGAATTCAGGGAAGAGTGTGATACAGATGCCACATACCTCTCTGCTTCCTTTGTGGGCGGTCCTCTTTTTTCCTGGAATCGGCACACTCTCAGACTGCTCTGTTTCACTGATACTCTGAAAATTAATCCAAAAAATAATTAAACATACACATAGTAGATTGGTGTTCACTGTACTTAAAATTTTAACATTTATAACACCTGAAAAACAAAGTTAACAAAGTACAAGAGGCCCATGGGCCACATCGCTCACCTGAGCACTGTGGCTAGGAAAAAGCAGAATTGGTTTATACTTGAAAAGCTTAAATCCAAAAGTAGTCCCACGAACAATCATGGCTTTGCTGATTTTTAAAGAATTTTCCTATACATTTCTATGTAAAACTTTGGTCGGCCATTTTGGCCCCGCCCAACCCCTGGGGGTCATGATTTGAACAAACTTGAATCTACACTACCTGAGGATGCTTCCATATAAATATGATAAATTATGGCTTTGTTGTTCTTAAGGAGAAGATTTTTAAAGAATTTTCCTATATATTTCTACTAAAACTTTGGTCGACCATTTTGGCCCCGCCTTACCCCTGGGGGTCATGATTTGAACAAACTTGAATCTACACTACCTGAGGATGCTTCCATATAAATATGATCAATTATGGCATTGCTATTCTTGAGAAGAAAATTTTTAAAGAATTTTCCTATACATTTCTATGTAAAACTTTGGGTTGGCCATTTTTGCCCCACCCTACCCCTGGGTGTCATGATTTGAACAAATTTGAATCTACACTACCTGAGGATGCTTCCATATAAATATGATCAATTATGGCTTTGCTATTCTTGAGAAGAAGATATTTAAAGAATTTTCCTATATATTTCTATGTAAAACTTTGGGTCGGCCATTTTGGCCCCACCCGACCCCTGTGGGTCATGATTTGAACAAACTTGAATCTACCCCACCTGAGGATGCTTCCATATAAATATGATCAATTATGGCTTTGTTATTCTTGAGGAGAAGATTTTTAAAGAATTTTCCTATATATTTCTATGTAAAACTTTGGTTCCATTTTGGCCCCGCCCTACCCCCAGGGGTCATGATTTGAACAAACTTGAATCTACACTACCTGAGGATGTTTCCCCATAAGTTTCATCTTTCCTGGCACAGTGGTTCTTGAGAAGAAGATTTTTAAAACATGCCACCAAATTTTCATTAATTCCCAATTATCTCCCCTCGAATGAGGGCGTGGCCCTTCATTTGAACAAACTTGAATCCCCTTCACCCAAGGATACTTTGTGGCAAGTTTGGTTGAAATTGGCCCAGCGGTTCTTGAGAAGAAGTCGAAAATGTGAAAAGTTTACAGATAGACAGACGGACAGCTAGACAGACAGACAGACGGACGCCGGACAAAATGTGATCAGAAAAGCTCACTTGAGCCTTTGGCTCAGGTGAGCTAAAAATACTATTCTTCATTTAAGGTAGTTCTACACTCGGCGCTAAATGGGCTCAATCTTAAAAAATCTGCTTTTATAAGTTAGATATACATCCCAGCAATGGATAGACACAAGAAAAATTATATGTCAACATGTTCACTTTTCCGCTATTGCCTATCGGAGTACATGTCCCGAAATGTAAAATACTGAAATTTACCTATCCTACATTTTGTTGTATTTAAATGAATTAAAGTCTAAATATTCAACTTTAATACACAAAATAGAGTAAAAACTTGTTAGTAAACCATATAAAATCATTGTTTTGCATGAATTATTATAATTATTTGCACTTTGCTAGGCTAACATATCAAAATGAAATCTGAGAAAATGTGCTTCACAGGTCAATCTCGGTCATTTTAGAAAAAATTATGGACTCAAACTTCAAAAATTTGCATTCTTTTTACTAAATAACATTTAAGAAAAGGAATAAGCTAAAAAAATTATATGTTGATGCATTACTTTTCCTGGAATGAGCTCTACACTAAAAGGGACCCCCATAATTTCATTCATCCAAAAGTACTGTAAACCAAGTATTATACGCGTGCGATAAATATCCGCGAGTTCCGCGAGTAACCTCTGCTCGCGGATATTTATCGTCGCGAACCATTTGCCCTTTTTTCAATACCGATCCCGACGGTTCAACAAGTAATCACAGAAAAACTTTACTGTTAGTGTACGACATGTACAAGAAGCAGTTCAGAAAAAATAAAAACGAAAGGCAAAATTAATCTAAAACTATTTGTTTTTAAATGATTAAAATGTCAATAATCATTTCAGCTTGTGTTCATTTATTGTTACAGACGAGTCAGAGATAGCCTGGTTAATTACGGCTAATTATGGCCCAGTCCTGCTCTGTCCAAACCATTTATAATAATTGCCTCTTGGCTATGTAGATTTTAGAAAGTGTCGATTAACCAATTAGTACGAGGCACTTATACAATTGAGAGTTTTAAATCAATTTTAATCTCCTAGATTTTTTTCTGATTTTCGTTTGAGCGTTGTGAAAATGCGTATGAAGTATGTTTATGGTAAACATTTTACCCATGCACTTTATGGGCCGATGTAAGATTTTAAATGGACACAATGCACAGAATATCTTAAATAATGCGTAAGCAGACCTCACGCTACCATTTTACCTAGTTTATGGCAGTCTACGCGAAAGTTAAAAATTTTTACAGGACAAAATGTCTGGTAATATTAAAATTTTTACCAGACCAAGCAATTTCTTACCAGACCAACTTTTTTTCCTTTAAATCCATACATCATTATTATACTGAGATTGAGAGGGTGGGTGGGATTGGGTTAATTTTCACTTTGAAATTTAACCTTAAATAAATTCAGAGTGAAATGGACAAATTAACTATTTATAATTTTCCTTTGTAAAAGGTATCTATTTATACAATTGCAAGTATTTTCCCCTTCATATTCGACTTACACAACATACACTGTATCAAATATATATTTTCTTAAATTTTAATATGCACTTTCAATGCATATTTTTTTCCCTGAAACAAGTCATTATGGTAACTCAAGTTCAATGATCATTAGACATTTGAAAAAAAAAAATCCCAACCGAATCTACGTATGAGCTATCTAAATATTTTCCCAACCAAATCTACGTATGAGCTATCTAAAGATCTCTAACCCTTGACAGAGGAAATTCGAATTAGAATAAAAACGATTATGACAGGGTTGTAATACTTAAAAATTAATCAGGTATTACTGCTAAATTGGTCAAATAAAGGATATTTGAGGGGAATTGGACAATGTGTACTTCTTAATTTAGGTTTATTCAGTCTTATTTTTACCGGACATTTGGTCCTGTATACTGAAATTTTTTACCAACCCGACCTAAATTTTACCGGTAAAAACCGACGGTCCGGTGACTTTCGCATAGACTGTTATGGGCGGATATAAATTTTAATTTGATTCAAAAATACTCGTGGAAATAAAAAAAAATGTGACCACTTGTTCGCGGAAATAAATCGTCGCAGATTAGTTCTCTAACGGTCAGTCGCGAATAAAAAATGACGCGTATAATAATTGGTTTACAGTAATATATTGCCACATTTTCCTGTAATTCTGTTAAAGTTTGAGTGTATACTTGTATTAACAAGGTTGAACACATTTAAAACAATGATAATACACACTCAATACCTATTGTCCCCAAAATTTATCTTATAATACTCTAAAACATTAAAACACTACTTGTCCGTAAATTGGAGAAAATGAAAATGGGCGTGATTGACTGATTCTCACAAACTGGATGCTTTTGTTACAGAAAGTAAGTATGCTGCGAGTGATTCAACTTTTTTCATATAATATACAGTTATTGACTGGGTATGAGGGCAACATATGATTTGTTGGACCTAAAGGTGAAAATGTTGCCCGAGGCCGCAGGCCAAGGGCAACATTTTCACCTTCAGGTCCAACAAATCATGTGTTGCCCGAATCCCAGTCTATAACTGTTTTGTTATACCCTTCACTGCTCACATAAGATTGATCGATTTAATCAATACACGCTATATTATCAATTATTTTATATGGAAAATTATGGCTTCTTCAGTAAATATAAAACATCAAGCTGAAAAAGAACAATAAACAGTTATTGACTGGGTATGAGGGCAACATATGATTTGTTGGACCTGAAGGTGAAAATGTTGCCCGAGGCCGCAGGCCAAGGGCAACATTGTCATCTTCAGGTCCAACAAATCATATGTTGCCCGAATTCCAGTCTATAACTGTTTTGTTATACCCTTCACTGCTCACTTAAAATTGATCAATTTAATCAATACACGCTATATTTTATATGGAAAACTATGGCTTCTTCAGTAAATATAAAACATCAAGCTGAGGAAGAACAAAATCAATTTATCTATTGTATCACAAAAATTATTTATCACAAAACATATTCTTCCCTTCTTCCTTACCTTGCTTTTAGCAACAACTCTTGTAGCTCTTAACTTCGGCTATTTTCGCGTCGCCGATATTGAACGATGATTAAATAATTGTGACGTAACAGACAAATGACGTTGCGGTCTAATAATTCTTATGTAGGACCGGTCAATAGTGAAATTGTTAGACCGATGTAAAAACATTTCTTTTGTTGGACTTTTTATTAGTAATAAATATATAGAATGATATTTATAAGGGTATAACAAAATCAATTATATATCTATTGTATTACAAAAATTATTTATCACAAAACATACTCTTCCCTTCTTCCTTACCTTGCTGTTTGCAACAACTCTTGTAGCTCATTTCCGCGTCGCCAATATTGAACGATTAATTGTGACGTAACAGAGGAGTGACGTTGCGGTCTAACAATTCTTATGTAAGACCGGTCAATAGTGAAATTGTTAGACCGACTTAATAAACAGTTCTTTTGTTGGACTTTTTATAAGTAATAAATATATAGAATGATATTTATAAGGGTATAACAATAATTATTATTCTAGCCTAAAGATAATTTTGCATTGTGATTGTTGGGTAAGCCGGTTTAAGGGGGGGGGGATATGCGTCTTATGAAATACTTAATTTATTATTCAAGGTGAATTTATAATTTGTGATGGATAAAATTAATTAAATTTGTCTAAGTCAAATCGTATTAATTACTTTTCTTGCGAATTATTACTATTAGCTTTAACTTGGCCACCGACAAAAGCCGCCCCGACTTTCATGTACTGATGTAGCATGTTCGTAGTTCGTGTTATCGGCATGGCATATTACACATGTGTCATTCACAGAAATGTTGTTTTATTACCTAATTTTTTCTCTGTCAACCGAAAGTTGTTCCAAGTCTTCTCTTTTTAATTAATTTATCCTTAAACTGTAGAATCACTCAATGTTTGTACGTTTGTTGACACGATCGACTTCGAGCAAAATCGTTACCGGATAATTAAAACGCTGAGTAAAAGTCAATCCAATATAGTTCAAAAATCACATCTCGGAAAAAATAAGTGTGGTTCCGGTTTTACTATTCGTAAATGACGTAGTGCGAGTATAGACCTACTTTAACACGTCTTTTTTATCAGTCTTTTTTTTAAAGTTTAACTCCGTTTAACTAAATGTCTTTTAGTCTTTACTTTAACATGATCAAATAACTCCAAGCAATGCATATTTACCCTTTCAGTTCGGCTTTTTTTCTTGGGTGATGGTTTGGAGACATTACTTTCATTATAAATCCTCAGACACTCCTCATACGGATCCTCTTCCTCCTCATCACTGATCAGAGGAGGAATGCTGTCCTCTTCATCGCTGTCCATACCAAACAAGTCCAAGTTAATATCCACAATCTTCCTCTTAGACCCATTACTGTCCAGTGAAACCGACCTATCCCTCTTCTTACTCTCTCCTTTCACAGAGTCCTTAGAAGTCTCCTTTGAACTTTTTGATCTTGATTCATGTTTACTGTGCCCACTGGATTCATGTTTACTGTGCCCACTGGATTCATTTTTACTGTGCCCACTAGATTCACATTTTTTATGTGACTTCCCAGATTGTTCTTTCTTTTTGTCTGTAGAATGTTTTTTATGGTCTTGCTTATTTGAACTTTTATCATGAGCTGAATGTTTACTGTGTTCATGTTTTTGTTTTGAGGAGGAGGAGGAGGAGGAGGAGGAGGAGGAGTGCTTTTTTGGAGTTTCTTTTTCACTGGATGATTTGGGTTTGGAGGAGGAAGATGTAGAAGATTTGTGATGTGTGTGTTTGCTAGATGATTTGTCTGAGGAATTAGATGAACTTTGTTTCTCAACTGACTTTGTGGAGTCTTTCACAGAAGATTTGCTTGAAGATGCCCTAGAGGAGGAATTTTCTCTAGATTTTGAGGATGAACTGTGTTTTGAGGAGTCTGATGAGTCTAATTTGGAACTTGTTCTTTCTTTCTGTGAGTGCCCATTTTTCTTTGAATCATTACTGGCAGAAGATTTTGATAATTTCTCCTTCGTTCTGACTTTTTTGGCATGGTCTTTTGTTTCAGTGTGGGACTTTTTCCCCGACTCTGATAACTTCTTTGTTTCACTTGAAGTTTCATTACTATTGTTGTCATGATCCATAACTGGTAAAAGCAAATTTTCAAACACTTTCACGTCCGTAATTATGGAGGGTTTTGACGAGTCTTCCTCCTCAGAACTATCTCCCAGTGTTGGAATCTTGATTTCTTCTTCTTCCTCATCTTCGCTGAACATTCCCATTTCTCCATCATCACTCTCGTCTTTATTATCCTCTGGCCCAGCTTCCTCTAGATCGCCTTTGGCTCTTTTGGCAGGGTGATTGAAATCAGGGGTGGTGGGGTCATAGGTAAAAGTTCTTTTAATAGCCATTGGCTGAGAGGGTTCAAGCAAGCTTTTTGTAGAAAAATTACTCTGTGGGTCATATTCTTGCTCATTTTCAATGTCTAATATACCTGCTTGATATTTGGAGAGACTAGGTTTTAACTGATTGATGGGAGTGGGGTTATACTCAGGGAAGTCTTTTGCTTCTGGAGTGTATGTTTGTTTGTCAACAATGTCCACTACTGGTTCACCTGTGTACTTGTTTATTTTTTGAACAGGTTTGTGTATTTGTAATTTGGGTCTTTGAGACTTGAGTGATTGTTTATCAGTTGGTCTGTACTTCTTACAATTTGAATTTAGTTCTACTGTGTATTCATTAGATGGCTGAGTTATTATTTGTTCCCCATCACAATTTTTGTCTGTTGGATTATACTTTTTGCATTCTGATTTCACTTCTACTGTGTATTCATTAGATGGCTTGGTTACCATTGGTCCTCCATTATAGTTTTTATTTGTTGGATTATACTTCCTGCAATTTGAATTCACTTCAACTGTGTATTCATTTAATGGCTGAGCCCCCATTAGTTCTCCATTATATTTCTTATCTGTTGGTTTGTACTTTTTACAGTGTGAATTCACTTCCACGACATATTCATTTGACGGCGGGGCCACCATTGGTTCCCCAGTGTACTTGTTGACATGTTCCTGAGGTAACTTCCCGAGATCTGTCTTTTCTGCAGTTTGAATTTCAGGTTCCCCTGTGTATTTATTCACTTTAACTGCTTCTCCTTTTAAACAAACTAGTCCATTTCCTGTTGTCAAATCTTCTTCAATCTGTGCATCTGAATATCCACTGCTTGCAGCTTTACTTTGTACTTTCTCTGAAAAATAAGAATAACATAATGTATTTATTTCTTAAAGTGTGTTTGACTTGTATTCCTGGTTGATATACATCTCAACAAAGTCGCATTGTTTTATCAATTTCTTTGCATAACAGGTTATATCACTGACTCAACTTGGCATGAAGGTATTAATTGAATTTACTCCTCATCTCTTTGTGAGAATTCTTTGATCACTTTTTTGGAGTAGTGACAATTAATAGTTAATGCAGAAATCTTGCAACTGTCAGCATATTTATTATATAATTCTTTAACAAGCCTACAAATGATTTTCAAGTTCATGGTGATTCCAAAATATACATCACAATCTTCCTTTGATTGGACATGATCCACGTGTTTCTTCCTAAATACCAAACTTCAAATTTTGAGAATTTCATGTTTACCTTATATATTTCATTTATAACATGCAGTGAACATGTAACTTGACCCCTTTTGTAATAAATATCTGAATGTAATTCTTATCAATTGAGTGGAATCTCAATAAAATAAAATGATGTAAGTAATACAAAAGATATCAAAAAATGCTGTTTATTATTTTAGATCACTTTCTCCATCGAAATGTACAAGAAAACATCAAAGTCTTTCTGCTACCTTCCTCAGTCTTCACATGTCGGTAGTGGCAGTATGGACGTTCACAGAGTCCACTGGCGAAAAATGGACAGTTGAAACCGCGGAAATATCCCCCACTGGAGAACATGTCTTTTCATTAAGCTAATACTTGCACATTTGTTTAAGAAATAGCGTAAGAATTATATTTAAACCCCTACATCGCACCTACATGACAGATTTCACGACAAATAGAAATATTTTGTGAGGAGTGTTGGTAAAATGGGTAGGCAAACCCGGGCCGGGGCAAATCAAAAGCCGGGGCAGATCGAGGTTTTTCAAATATCTCCGCTAAAACTCCACCAATTCATCTGAAATTTTCAGATTTTGTTTTTTGAAGGTTCTTTTGTATTCGCTGTTAATATCATCACAATATACGCGATATTTCTGATTTTCTGGGCGATTGTTCATTTCCAGGTTGGTAAAATGGGTATGCAAAATCAATACGACATTTTACGGTATTTTTGAATTACGACTGATTAAACCATCACAATTATGGACTTTTCAAATATTTTACACTCTATATTAACGAAATATAATTAGTTTTACATTATAAAATTATAAAAGCTATAGGTATGCAGAGTTTACGCATTTTCAGAAAAACCGGGTCATTAAAACCGGATCCGATCACCCGGGGCAAACCCGAAAATTCCGAATTAATAAATGTTTGTATTGGAGGATGTTAGCTATCACTGTTGTGACATTGCCCAGCTCTAACCACATGGAGGTATCCTCATAAGAGCCTTTTTTATTTTTATTAATTAAAATAATCAGTTTGAAAAATGGGTTTTTTGGAATGAATTTTTGATTTAATCTTAAGATTAAAATTTAAATTGATTTAGCACTATTCTGAAATTAAATATTTACTCACGGAGCACTAAATTAAAGACTTTCTTGAGTCTTGATATTGATATAATATTTAAAAGTAAACTGTGCAATTTAATATGTACATTTTTTTGTGTTTTTTAATTTTTTTTTATTTTTTTTTAATTTTTTTTTTTTTTATATTTAAAACATACAAACTGTTCTTATCGTGGTCACCACGATCGCCCTACCAGGGCCCAGACTCAGTTTGTTTAAAACAATCAAATAAGTAATTTAATATCACTTAATTATAAATAGCACTAGTCTTTTGACTGTAATGATTAAAAACAGGGAGAAGTTGGTGCATTACATTGGGGACAGTTGAAAAGGAAACTGTCACCTGGGTTTGAAACACCTGCACATTTCTGATGGAACCATTGCTGACAAGATGATAAAATATAGAATACCATATTGCTGGTGTTTACATGGTCACCATTTTCATATTCTGGACACATTGCTTCTCCTAATTTGTGGTAAAATAAATTGAAATAAACACTTATAGTCAGCTTTTTAATCTCGACATAACTATAATAAAAATAATAAAAATGAAAAATTATAATAAATTTAAACTTTTCTAAACTTTGTATATAAATCTATAATTATTATTTAGCAATTATTGAAGTGAATGATGATCGATCCTATATACCTTATATATAATACGTCTATATCTGAATTGTTAAAAATAAAGGCAAGTCACAAATCCAAGAATCCAAGATTCTCTCTCTCTCTCTCTCATGCTATTTGGAAATCAATATTAAAGTATACATTCTTATGTACGTGTATATCTCTCCTTCCTTTGTAATATCTGGCTGGGAGTTAGGACGTGCAATGGGTGAATACTTGATATAACATATACAGTTATATGGCAGTAAACCCCAGTAAACCCCGAAGCTGCCGAAGGAACTCGGACACAGATATGAAAGGAGAGTGATGGATGTTGAACACAAAATAAGGAAAAACATGTACTTAGTTGTCACCGTTAGGTATCCATACATGTTATACTATACCTGATTGAACCAATATGCTGTCTTTTTAATATATATATTTAACTGATTTAACTTTCTTTTGCTACTTATAAGATTCCCCCATTATTTAACCCATACAGCATATCAATTCAATTTTTCCAGTCCGATGAGATGACAAGTAAAACATATTGATCATATAACAAACATTTATTTATTTATTCATAAAGACCTTATACCTACATTTATATAAGAAACATACAGAAGACTGACAACTGCTGGATGCATCTAAAATGAACTAAAGAAAGTTCACTACAAAGGAGGAATATATAGGGTCCCTGAAAATCAACTCAACTTGTTAAAGTATATAATTGTCAAAAGATGTCACTTTGATCTTTTAATTTTTTTAACATCACAACAATTTTCTTCCCAGCTTCTTTCCCTGAGATAATTAACCTAATAAGGTAAGCCAATTTTGTATTGCCCAAATTGATCAAGAGAGCTTGTGTGTGATTATATTAAAGCCAGTGTGAGGGATTCTGCATTAATTATGTCAGTGCAAATTTAATAAATAAATTATTTCTATTTAAATAATTAAACACAAGCTTCCAACAAATCGATTTGACTTTTTTTTTTTTCAGATGACACACATTCTTCAGTAAAAACAGGTCACCTGTACAATTATTCCGGAATTTTCAGGTTTGTCCCGGGTGATCGGATCCGGTTTTAATGACCCGGGTTTTCCTAAAACATGTAATTTTACGTAAATATTACAATAACCAATGAAGAAATATTAATAAATGGTTAAAATATATTCTTAAACACCAGAATTATCCAGAAATTTATGGACTTTATGTAGCATATGTCTGAAAACGTAAATTGGGAAATTGGGAAACTGCCTACCTATTTTACCAACTTGAAAATCTATAATCGCCGATAAAATCAGAATTATAAAGTATTTCAGTGCAATTTTAGCAGCGAATATTAATAATCGTGTATTTAATAGATTCTGAAAATTTCAGCTCGATCGATAAAGTATGAAGACGGAAATATGAAAAATTTCGATCTGCCCCGGCTTTTAATTTGCCCCGGCCCGGGTTTGCCTACCCATTTTACCAACACTCTTTTGTGAGGGTTAGCAGTAGTTTCGTAAAATTCAATTCTTTTGTGTAAACTTTATTTTTCTGATAAATTCTTCTTTATTTAAGTTTTTAAATTATTTCAAAAGTAATTCAAAATAAATTATGTATATAAAAAGAGAAGTTGTTCTATTTTGTGAATTCGAAAATTTTATTTCCCACAATACATTGTCAAATATGTCAGCGCCCATTACTTGGTCGATTTTTATTTCTTTTAAAATTTCGTGGAAGACGTAACATACTGCGTACAAATATCTGCAGAAAGTATTGACAAAACGTTTTAAAAAATTGCGGTTTTAAAAGTAAGTGGTATCATATTCTGGGCATTGAAAAGCTGCATCTGCTTTATTTAAAATGCACATCTTGAATTTTGTTTATTTTTACCCTTGGCTTTAGGCCTACTTTCATTTTAACTGTTAGGGACTAATCAAAGTACATTTTCAGATAATACTCAGTCTAGGCAATATAGCTTTAATTCATTTTGAACCACTGTAACATTTTTTTGCGTTACAAATTTTGCCACATTTTAGCTGATCAGCTGATAAACCACTTAGGTATATTTGCTGAGTGTGTTTGTGCAGGGACCTATATACTAACGGGATAGGCAACTCCTTAATCGCCATGTTTATTTACCCAAAACATCACGCACAACACTACAAGTTTTTCAAACTACATTTATTCCCAGTAAATAGGGTATTTAATTTAATATCATTTATTCCTTTTATGTATTGTAATTGATTTTTACAGGTTGGGACTAATCGCCCAAATGGGATATAATAGTCCGTTTGGGATATAATATCCCAAATGGGCTATAAATTTACAGGCAAAAATTGAAAATTTTTATTTTGGCAATATATATCATAATTCCTCATCAATACACTTGAAAAGGAATAACTTTTGGTTGACAAGTTTTCCTGTATGCCCATTGTTTAGGAGAATTGATCCCTCGGAGGTTCCGTAACTTCTTGGGGATCAATCTTAAAAACAGTAGAGTTGCAGAAAAACTTGCTTGCCAAAAGTTATTCCTTTTTAATTGTATTGATGCGGAATTATGATATATATTGCCAAAATAAAAATTTTCAATTTTTGCACTGTAAATTTATAGCCCATTTGGGATATTGTATCTCAAACGGGCTATTATATCCCATTTGGGCGATTGGTCCCAACCTGTTTTAATAAATTTTAAAGCATGAATAATAATAATATGTTCTACGGTGCGACCGTTGGGGCGAGCGCAGTTATTTACTATAAAAAAAAATTACACAGCTTTTACTTGCACTGCCTATCCTCAGTTCATTAAAAAAGAAGAAAAGAATTAAAAATATCACTTCCCAGGCATCGGGATTGAGATTCCGAACTTTTCGGAAGTTTCCGACAAAATCGGAAATACCCGAGCCATTTATCGACAAAAGTATGACGTACGTCAAATAAAAAGTCCTGTTGACTTAGAATGCAAACGATAGTTTTGTGGCATGGGTATTTCATTAAATCGTTGTTTGTAATTTTTTTCAAGTAAGTTGTTGCTATGTTTTAGCCACCATGTTGCTATGCACTGCAAAGGATTATGGGGAATTAAGAATGTTTTCATGTGGACTCATAAAAATTTCTTGGAACAATGTGCAGATTTCAACCCGAATTTCCTCCGTTCGTACACGTTAGTGTATTGAGCTTGCTACGCGAGCGGCGCTTTGCGCCGCCTCGCTGCGCTCGCTATAATTTAAATATAAAGAAAAAAACACCAAAATCAGAGATTTCTTGGAAATATGGCCGATCATGGGCATGTGCTGATTCTGAATAAAACAAAATTACTGCTAAGATAAGGAGCATAATCTGTGCTAAAAGGAAATCTTGAATGATTTTTTGACAGATAATTAAAGGATTATCTCAAATATGTAATAGCTTTAGAGATATAATTAATTAAAGTTGACTTACGAAAAACCCGCGACTTAGGAGATATCACAAGACTTGAGGTAGTTGCCTATCCCGTTAGTATATAGGTCCCTGGTTTGTGTCATGCCCAATTTACTTTAAATGAATTAAAAGGATCAATGAAGTTGCAAGCCGATTAAGTTTCCAGTACTGCTTTTTAGCAACAAAAATCTTAGATTAGATTGGAGCTTTTTCTTTTAAATCTAGCACCCAGCATAGATCCTCTTGACAGTCACGCAGTGACATAGACAATGCTGCTGCTTCCCTTAGTTATCAAACCTTTGCTTTCATTTCTCTCAAATATTTCCCTGTCCCTGTTTAATATTAATTTTTTTAATTTCAAGCAGCATTTTATCAGTTAAAGTGGTCAATTTAGCAGGTAGTCGGTTTTAGGGAAAACATTGATAGTCTCAAGACTTTTTAAAGAAATACATTTAGATCCACTCTCAGCTCTCATTCTTGACCTCAATCAAGATACAATGCTGCTAGGTCTTGTCTTTTTCGCTATTGTCTCCCTAGCTCATAAACACTTTATCTGTTGACCTCATTTGGCCTTTTCTTCTTCATTATCTGTACTGTCAAGCAGCTACTTGTCATTCACTCTTTGCCATCCAAAACTCAGTGCTAATCTGGTATGCTGAGAGATTGCCCTCGCCTTCCCAAATAATTTGCACCCTTGGTCATAATTATGACCCAGCAGTTGAAGGTTTACAGAGGATTGAAGCATGTTTAAAAAATGACCTCAGTAAGACACTGGTTGTGTAATTCATATTTATTTTAACTTATCACCTTTGTACATATTCCTGCCCCCCCCCCCCCCCCCCCCCCCCAAAAAAAAAAAAAAATTATGGTCAATTACTCTCAGAGTTTTTCAGAATTTTCTTCCTTTGTTGAATGGCTTTCAGTCAAATGCTACTGACTTAAAATGTCCTTCAAAAAGTTTTAAATTTCTAGACTAACCTGCAGAACTGATCAGAATGCCAGATTGAATAAAAGTTAAATATTTACACCTGTTGTCTAAAACATTTGAACCCAAATCAAAATTTTGAAATACATGTAGATATGAAATGAGGACTCCAAACTGTTGAAGTGAAGGTTATAGTTTATCAGACTTGATAGTGTTAAACTGTTTATTTTAAGAAAGATTATATAATGTTTCGTAGATTGCATAAACTTTTAATGTTTTTACATTTCTATTTTTAGAATGAGTGAGCAGACATGGCAGAAAATGAAGAAATTTTAACAGTAGGGGAAATTGAATTAGATATCAAGAAAATATTGAAAATAGGGTCTGATACAAAAGAGAACCCTTCACCCAAACATGAAAAAGAGGATTCAAAAACACAGAACAGGCAAGACAAGACAGGCTCCATTGGAGAGAAATCATCACTGGGGACTGTCAGGTCTGATAATGCAGACAAGAAATTAGCATCAACACAGGGCGGGGGTAAAGGAGCACCAGAGAATGTCAATCACGCTGTTCCAGATGACATGGTGGAGGTTGTCAATCTGGACAAGAAAAAGAAGAAAAAGAAGAAAGGTGCTGGGCAGGAAACAAAAGATCAACAATCAGAACTGGATCAAGATGGTAAACTTTGTAGCTTATCTAAGCCAAAGGCTCAGAAATATGTGATTGTGTCAAAATTTTTATATTATTTCATTATGTTATATAGAATGTTTTAAAATGCTAATTCACAGGTAACCTTACAAAGTTTTGATATCAGTGCAATGCACTTGTTGACAAACATTTAAGTTCATAAATATATACAAAAGTATGTTTTATGTGTATTTCTTAAATGCATCTTATCTTCATTCTAAATATAGGAGGTGAAGATCCTGTATTCCTAAGTGCACTGGAGAAAGAACATATTTTCCCTCTGAAGCATGTATGTTTTGTCATTCCTGTAACAAGAGTCAAATTTTAAAATTCTCTAAAGGGTCGTCTAACCTGTAAAAAAGTCTAAAAAATGTGTTAAAATTGAGGTGAACTTACTTTCCCTTACATTTTGTTAACAGAAAATGAAGAAAGCTTCAGTTCCAGTGTACTTTTGTCGCCTGTGCAACATGCATCTGAATAGAGAGGCAATTTCTCTCCACATTGATGAACCAATGCATTGTCAGAGATTGAAGGTACCCTATATACTGTATACACTAAATGTTCACAATTTGAAAAAATTAAGAAAAATATTTAATTCATTTGAAAAAATGTCATTTATTTTATGAATTAAACTTATTATTGTACCTATCTCTTGTAAGAATCCCAAAAAGAAACTAAAGAACCCACAAACATCCCAGGAGAAACCACAGGCAAAACGTGAAAGGGAACAAGTGAAGAAAACAGAGACCCAGGATGTTCCTGTGTCCTCGTCTAAGTCACAGCAAGGAAAGGGATCCAAGTTATCCATACAAGGTAAAGTCACAGCAAGGAAAGGGATCCAAGTTATCCATACAAGGTAAAGTCACAGCAAGGAAAGGGATCCAAGTTATCCATACAAGGTTAGGGATCTAGATGTTTCTCTTACAAGGTATAGATTCTAGGTCACCTTTACAAAATAAGGGATCAGGAACATCTATACAAGGTAAGGGATATAGATTTTTATTTAGGCCATCTTTGCAAAGTAAGGGATCTAGGTTTTATGTTTCTTCACATCATGCAAGCTAATTTTAAACTGTAGTACCGGTAGATAAACAAAATATTATAACATTTTAGATATGGATGACAAAACTTCCACTGAGGTTCTACATAGTACTTTGGAGAAAGAGAAAATATTTCCTCTAAAAAAGGTGCTGTATATTTCCTAGATGTTGATTGTTGAATCCTCTCAAGGGTTTTATTTCATGGACTTATTCCTTTAAGTTTAAATTATGTTGCATATCTTCCAAATCAATTTTATATTAAAAAAAAGATTAACTAAAATATAACAGTATTTTTAGCTCACCTCAACGAAGTTGGGGGAGCTTATGTAATACCCTCGGCGTCGGCGTCGGTGTCCAAGTCCAAGTTGTCGTCCCAGGTTAAGTTTTTTGGAGCAGTTTTCTTTTTAAGTACTTCTATGTCCTATATTGATTAGACATGCATGGAAGATCTTCTAATGTGTTTCATTGTACCAGTCAAAGTTTCAGATGCTGCAATTTCAGCAAAGGATTGGCCAGGTTAATGTTTTTGGAGCAGGTTAACATTTTTGGTGCAGTTTTTGGTGCAGGTTTCATTTCCAAGTAACTATAAGCCCTATGTTGACCAAACTTGCATGGTTGATACATCTAAGGATGCATACTACTGGGCTTGCTTCGGATGCTGAATCTGACCTACATTTTCCGGATGAGTGAACAGGTTAAAGTTTTTGGTGCAGGTTTCATTTCCAAGTAACTATAAGCCCTATGTTGACCAAACTTGCATGGATGATACATCTAAGGATGCATACTATCAGGCTTGCTTATGCTGTCTGACCTACATTTTCCGGTTGAGTGAACAGGTTAAATTTTTTTGGGCAGGTTTCATTTCCAAGTAACTATAAGCCCTATGTTGACCAAACTTGCATGGATGATACATCTAAGGATGCATACTACAGAGTTTGCTTCGGTTGCTGAATCTGACCTACATTTTCCGGTTGAGTGAACAGGTTAAAGTTTTTGGTGCAGGTTTCATTTCCAAGTAACTATAAGCCCTATGTTGACCAAACTTGCATGGATGATACATCTAAGGATGCATACTATCAGGCTTGCTTCAGATGCTGAATCTGAAATCTCTACATTTTCCGGTTGAGTGAACAGGTTAAATTTTTTTGGGCAGGTTTTATTTCCAAGTTACTATAAGCCCTATGTTGACCAAACTTGCATGGATGATAGGTCTAAGGATGCATATTACCGGGCTTGCTTCAGATGCTGAATCTGACCTACATTTTCTGGTTGAGTGAACAGGTTAAAGTTTTTGGTGCAGGTTTCATTTCCAAGTAACTATAAGCCCTATGTTGACCAAACTTGCATGGATGATACATCTAAGGATGCATACTACCAGGCTTGCTTCGGATGCTGAATCTGACCTACATTTTGTGGATGAGTGAAAATGTTACTTTGTGATGAATGTATCATTTCCAATTAACTATGAGCCCTATAATGAGCAAACTTGCATGGACGATACATCTTAGGATGCACACTAATGGACTTACTTTGGATGCTGAATTCGACATACATTTTTTCAGATAATAGACCAGGTAAAAGTTATGGGTGCAGGTCAATTACCAAAAAACTTGAAGGCTTATATAACATTGTATAAACCAAACCAAACTTGCACAAATGTTGCATCAGGAGATGAAAACTCTCAAATTTGCTTCAGATGCTTAATTTTAATTACATTTTCATGAACAACTAGTTTAAATTTTTTATGTAGGTCTATTTCAATGTATTCGATGTTAAATATTTTCATTTCTGGAATGTACACTTTTTGTTGGTTAATTGTGTGACTTTGCCTTACTTAAAGACAACATTCGTTGAGGTGAGCTCTGTAATCTCTGATTACCTATGTTTTTTAGTGTTTTAGTGATACCCTGGTATGATAAATATTAGAATTGTTTAATTTATATAATGTTTATGAATTACATATTCCTGATAAACACTGTTGTGAGTTGCTTATCTTCCTACAGAAGTCTCTAAGGTTCCCTCGAGCCCGGTATTTCTGTCGACTCTGTGATTATCACATGGACGCTGTGGAGGACTGTAAGAAGCATTGCCGAGACAGTCGACACAAGAGAAGGAACGAGGTCAGAATGTTGTCATTAATTCAGTTTTATGTCACTTCAGAGGGGTAGAGAGTCTCTATGTCAGTCATAGTCACACCATGTGATAGAATTACATTATAATCAATAAATCTATACATAACTATTTGATTCAATTACACAATGTCCTTTTTTTAAGCACATATTCAATCTTTCTTTATGATGAGATTTTAGTTGTTTCTTTTTTTCCAGGTCAGTAAGTTTGAGACTAAGTTAAAAAGCATTCCATGTCCCTCCGCCAGCCACAGGGCAGCACTTGATCAGCTTGTAGAGAGGATATTTACAGAGTGGGGATTATCTGAGGGGGATGTACAGTACAGGGAGGGTCTAACTAGGTCACTACAGGACAAACTGACCAAGGAAGAACAGCTCAAAGGTAGGCAGGATTTTTCAGTGCTACATTCAGTAGTATTTAGAAAATAAACCTTTTGTGTTGACTGACTGATTAAGATAATTATTTACAGCAGCATGTTTACTGTTTTATTTAATGAGTAGGTTATGGCTAAAAACCAAGATCTTAATTAATTTTTTTATAAATGTTGCACTGTGATTATATTATCCAAAAAAATATATAATAAATATTTATATAAAAGTCAATTCCGTCCAAATATCCATTTTGCTATGTGTAACTTGAATTTCATGGATTCATGATGATGTATGACATTAATGTTTCCTGCTTTGACAGATATAAAGTTAATACTGTATGGTTCTTCTCTGTCGACCCTCGGGATGAAGGAGAGTGATGTAAACATTGACCTTGTTGTTCCTCAGAAGGTCAACCAGGCAAAAGCCTTGACCCACGCATATAAAGTAATGAAGTCTCTAGGTATGCTGTCAGCACCATAATGTGCATAATTTACTACGAAATCACTAATTTTCATAGGGGTTTAATTTCCGTGGTTTTCAAGGTATGAAGAGACCCACGAATTTATGTCTATCACGAAATGTAAAATGTTACATACATAACTACTAAACAATTCTCCATCCATGAAATCAAATCCCCATGGACCAACATATTTTCCTCAAACCACGAAAATTTGACCCCTCGAAAATATGTGATTTTACAGCATAAAAATGTGTTTTATCCATTTCTCAAACTGAAGAAATATTTTTGCTTTCTTTGAGTAATAAAATGCTTGTAAAAATACTTTTTTGTGACAAACTGTACCATGCACCAGAATTTAATTACCTGTGGATTTTACAGAGGAATACAAGGACGTCCAGAGTAACTTTTCGTCCAAGGTACCCTGTGTGTTGTTCACCGACTCAGAGAGAGGCTTGACCTGTCAGCTGACCATTGGGAGTGACCTTGCTCGAGAGACCAACAAACTTCTACTTATGTACACCAAGTGTGATCCCCGATTCAGGAAACTTGCTCTGGTCTTCAGATACTGGGCAAAGGTTAGTATGTTTTTCTAATTCGACCTGTATTCACTGACAGACATGTAAATTCCATACTGAATTAGAATCACATTGTGCAATGGACCATTTCAAGGATGTACCCTTAAAGACTTTGATTGATGTTTGTGTGTTATTCACTATTTGATGGTGCATTTTTGGATAGGGAATGAATATGTAATAATTTGCTGGTTACAGATTTGTAAAGTGGATTGTCAGATGGAGGGAACTGTACCAGCATACTGTTTTTATCTGATGACTGTGTATTTCCTGCAGCAGTGCTCTCCCCCTGTTCTGCCTGTCTTACAGGTACATGTACTTGTATTACATCTTTGAGAAACTCAAGCTTTTTTACACCCCAGTTGTTTAAAATATGGAGGCTGATGGCATGAAAAGACAAATTCAAAAGTATGAAATTATAAAAACAGAGTGGTCATAGAAAAATTAAGTATGAAGTATGTACATTTGTATAATAAGTCAGAAAATATTAATGAATATTTAATTACAGACATATGAGGAGGAAACAAAGTCTCAGCCAAAAAAAGCACCTGCTCCAAAACAATTAAACATGGAACAGGTTACAGCTCAGGTTTGTTTTAAATTTCGATATTTATTTTAAAATGGATTGTTTGACTTGGGAGCAGACTTAGTCTGCATGATAAATACCCTGATCATCTGCATTGTCAAAACATATCTTACACAATATAAGCTGCAACTTGAAAGTGATGATTTTAACTGTTATCAAAATACCATAGAGCAGTATTATACCATGTTTATCCTTTTAATTTTATCTGTAATTTTCAGGTGGAAAGTTGGCATTCCGAGAACACAGACAGTGTGGGAAGTTTGTGGTTAGAGATGCTGGAGTTTTACAGCCTCAAGTTTGAGAACTCTGTCAACATCATCTGTATCAGACAACACCAGGCTCTATCTAGGGTGGAGAGAAAGTGGAACACAAAACGCCTGGCCATTGAAGGTAAACACAAATGTTGGAGTTTGACATGTTATATAAGGTAGCATTTATTTTGAAATTGTTAATGAGGCCAGTATTGTCTGTCCCTACATATCAATCAACATGTAGTTGTGAATTACTGTAAACCAACTTTTATTCGCGACGACTTTATTTCGCGATTTACCGGAAGTAAACTTGTTCGCGTCGATTAATTTTCGCGATCAAGCCTTCTTTGATCTGTTCATATAGACATTAAAACTGGTTCACGGCGAGAAATGTTTGCGATAACGAGACCCTCGCGAACTTCGCGAAAATTTCTCGCACGCGAATAAAAGTTGGTTTACAGTAATAGAAGTCTTATACTGATGTTGTAAATTGTAGGTTGAAGGCTAGCAATTACTCAATCAATATCCCATTCTCTGGAATCATGGATTGATAATTAGTTTGAAATATTTACATTCAATTATGATTTAAAAAATAACATTGATGTTCAGAGCTTAAAAGAAATAAATGTTCAAGTTTGCTTCTTAATTCTGTAGCTATTTCTTTTGCTCATTTCAGATCCATTTTCACCTAAAAGAAATGCTGCACGTTCAGTGAAAAGCTATGAACTCTTTGAATATGTATGGGATTGCATCAGGATATCTTATCTCTATTTTGGACTGCCATCTAATTTTTCAACTTTTTCTGATGAAGAACAGAAACTTTTCCTTGCAAAAGCCAAAAAGAAGGTTGTTGAAAATAATTCCAAAATTGAGAAATCAGGAGCTGGAATTTCTTCTGACAAGTCAGATTTAGGGGAGGGTGGAAGTGAAGCAATTGACAGAGAAACCTCTGTCCAGAAAACTTCCGACTGTGGTGAGTCGGTGAATCAGGAAGCAACAGACTCTTTCTCGGAACAGGTGTCTGGCTCCATTTGTTCAGAACAATCTGTGATGTCTGGGTGTGAGGCCTGTTCTGGTAAATCTACTGAAGAATCAGGTGACAGACCTGCTGGTACAGAGAAGTCTGTGACAGAAAACTCCATATCATCTACGGCATTGTCTCAATCAGGTTCCATAGAAGAGGTAGCTAAAGGCATTGTAGACAATGTTCTCAAACAAGCCCTCTCTGTGTTTCATTCCAAGTTTCCTCAAACAGGAGATAACAGGGCTGCTAGCAGTGATCAGTCAGATGCAAGCAAATGTGAAAAAATAAATGGTGGATTGACCACCGTCGATCTCATTGACTCAGAGTGTTCTCTGGAGAAAATGGAGAAAGCTCTGGAATACAATTATGTGTTTTCCTTGGATACACTGTCTGATGGAAAAGTATGTTTCCATGTGACATTTGAGAATAATTATTTGTATACAAAAAGATGTTTTATAAGCACAGTGATTGGGATAAGCTAGGGAGTAAATGTGACAATGGCACTCTCCAAGTCAGGGTCTATGTGACATTTCTAAATTCAATGTGCCAAACAGATTTTTTAAGGGGACATTTCCTACTTACAAACTTACAATTGACTAGTTGCTGTTAGAATTTCAATTGACTTTACATCATTGCAATTATCAAATTACTGAATGATGACTAAAATGAAGATACCAAATTCTATATTTAATCTCACAACTGACAAAGACTTTCCTTTATCGGAATGATGTATTTTTTAGATCTGCATGCTGCATTCCTGACACCAGTTTACTTCATGCACATTAAATGTCAAAATTAACTGTACAACATTGTTGTAGGAAAGATTACAAGTGCTTGGGGGAAAGCTCAAAGTTAAAAAGTATGTAGTTCTGATTATATATGCACCACGATGCGTTTTTAATTTTAATGTGACATTTTTTAATTTAATGCGACAATGGCGTAGGGCGTGTGCTTATCCCAATCACTGTAAGCATACTGTAATGTCTAGTCTTAGAGTGAAAGATTGAAAAACAATGTTAATCTTTGCAAATCCTTTATTATCTATAAAAATGTAACTTTGCACTTTATTTGGAAAATGTTTCTAACATCATAATTTGCACAGGGCCCCAAAGTGATATGTGTGATATGTGAGAAGGAGGGTCATCTTAAGATGAACTGTCCTGAGGACTCCCTACCAGAGTTAGTTCCCCTCCCAGAGATGACAAAGGATCACCTGCGGATCCTTACAGAGGTCCTCAAACGAGTTCCAAGTAAGAGAACAAGCACTTGTAATATCATTTACATGTTATAAGAATCATGTCTAATTTCTCCAATATATCCTGTTCATCCTCTCTTGTAATTAGTTGATTTTAGCAGTTGGATGTATTCCATTTACTGTAAATCACTATTTATTCGTATATATACTTTATTTTAGCGTAATTATGCGCTGACAGTGTGCTCGCGAAAATTTAATTCTCGCGTATATTAGTATAACTTAAGATTATGTAGAGCAATAACCACAATTCGTGAAAATTTTGTCTCGCTTATCAAGAGTCAATGACTATCTTGCGAAAGTAAGGTGTCGCGAAAATTTAGTGATCTACAGTAACTAATAGTCAGTATTATGTATATCTGAGTATAGAAGGTGCAAAATAAATTGTTCTGTACTAACTAATGAGAATGTATTAAACATGTCTGTATCGGTTTTTCCTGCTTTAGGCTGCATAAACATATTCAAGTTTTCTTCATCCAATTAAATACACAACTCAAATGGAGTAGCTTCATGCCTTTAAAATATTATTAATTCAGGAAAATATCATTGGTAAAGACATGCATTTCTTTCTGTACATTGTAGAAGATTTTGCTCCGTCACGAGAGGAGATCAGAGAGAGGGAGACCATACGCCTGGAACTTGAACTCTTCATCCAGGAACTTTACCCTAGTAGGTCTAATTTTAATGGGAATAATTCTAAGGTTTACAAAATGTAAACAGAGAAAAGATATTGATTTACAGCAATGAGACATATTTGATATTCATTGCAAATGAAAATCTTTAAAATATTTTACAACCTTTTTTCGTAATAGCTGCAAGGTTGGAGCTGTTTGGTTCATCAAACAATGGCTTTGGATTTCGTCACAGTGACCTTGACCTATGTATGACCTTTGATGATCTCCCAGTTCCTGAGGTATGATGTAACATTTGGACAATTATTGAAATAATACAATGCATTCAATCTGTTCTGTTGTAAAATTTCTTTCTGTTAAATATCATGTGGTGTAAGATATGCATGAAATAAGGGTATCATTAGTTACATAGTGTTTTAAATACATATAAAGAATATACATGCGATTAGTAAATTTTAACCTGGCGAAAAGACGGACCAATATACAGGTATGAAATTTACTAACCAGGTATTCATTGCTAATGAAATCACTAAAACACTATGTAACATTCAATTTTGGATGAAACATTTACGTTTTATCTGTGGTTTATAAATGATTTTCTTTGCTAAATGCTTCATCACGTCATACTGTGCCTATTATGATGTCACATTATGTTTGTTACCTAATACATCGACCGGGTATTGATTTACAACTGACCAGGTATACAATAATCAACCTCCTTCACGTGACAATTTTCAACCTCGTAAATAGGATTTCACGGAAAAATCAACAGAGGTGGGGTAATTAAGATTACTGCTTCAAAACAATGGTAATGACATAATATGTATTTTGACTTGATGTTTCCTTCACTCAGAACTTGGACTATGTTGACTGCATAGAGAAAGTCACAAAGAAGTTAAAGACACACAGAGGCTTGTACAATGTGTTTCCCATTACGACAGCTAAAGTTCCAATCATCAAATTCAAACACCGATCATCCCAACTGGAAGGAGATATCAGCTTATATAATCTTCTGGTATTAACAACTTATACATACATGTATCTACTGCTTTCTTTCAGTTTTAGCTATTGTTTACAGATGAAATTTAAATAAAAGTACATGTACTTTGTGAAAAAGATGCATATATCAATATCAGTATATGATTTTTATTTCAGGCCTTACACAATACACGTATGATTAATTTGTATGCTACAATGGACCCAAGAGTCAGAGTGCTGGGCTATGCCATCAAAGTGTTTGCAAAGGTAAATATTGGGTGTACAAGCAGCCTGAAAAGGACATCAAGCTAAACTGATGGGAGAAAATTATTTGAATGAATATTTGACTATTGCTCAGTCAAAAACCCAGACTATTTGACTAGGCTGTCTGAAAAAATTTGACATCCCTGGCCTTGCATCTGTTTATATTTTTGTGAGATCGGTGATGCCTTGTGTAGCAGCCTGTCACCCTGTGTCTGTATCCTGAAATATTTATTTTATTGAATTTACAGATCTGTGAGATTGGTGATGCATCCCGTGGCAGCCTGTCGTCCTATGCCTATATCCTGATGTTGATTTACTATCTACAGCAGTGTAAACCACCAGTTCTCCCCGTCCTACAGGAGGTCAGTAGTCAACAGATCTCTGTTCAGGAAAGATAATTATTCTAAGATTCCTAACCATCTCTCCAATTGTTTATATATCATTGCTATAGTAACAATACTATGTAAGATATAGCTGTTTATTGTTTACAATCAGATTCACATGGAGCCAGATAAACCAGAGAGAGTGGTAGAGGGGTGGAATGCCTGGCACTTTGACGACACTGAGGCTTTAGTATGTTCTTATGGTGATTTTTTTTATAGCCAGCAAATTTTTGTATAAAAAATTATGAAAGAGAAATTGAAGATATGCAAAAGTACAAAATATTGATTATTAACATATGAGTGTGTAATATCAATGTAAAATTGTTTTCATATGAGTTTATGATTTCAATATATGACTGTTTACATACTGTTGTAAAATTTCAATGTGTGAATATGTATGAGTGTATAATGCCAGTGTATTACTGTTTACATACAAGTGTATAATGTCTGTGTATGACTGTTTCAGCCTAACCTATGGAGCCACTATGGTAAGAACAATGCCAGCGTTAGTGAACTTTGGACCGGGCTGTTCAGATTCTATACAGAAGAATTCAAAATGGAGGAATGTGTTGTGTGTATAAGACAACATGAAATGCTGACAAGATTTGAGAAGTTATGGAATGGCAAATGTATTGCAATAGAAGGTAAGTATTGTATAAAGTAATACGGAGTAAAGGTGTAAGATTACTGTTCATGTATTGCAAAAAATAAGAGTATTTCAACATAGATTTGTCCTACATGAATATTGAAACAAACAATTTTATAATAACATGGATGTAAGGTTTATGAGTGTTGTTTTTAGTATAAATCTATGAACAAATATGTTACATAGACATATCTTGAACTACTCATGAAAATGATGTTTATATGAAAAGGTCTGTGTAATGTACACACCAGTAACATTTATAAACTTTATGATATTCCATATATCTTGCACTTCATTTGCAGAAAACCAAGAAAAGGGGCATGAAATATAAATTTGTTGCTGCTCTATTACACTTTATACCATTATAGTTATTTGTGTGTTTAACACCGTTATTTCAGATCCATTTGATTTAAACCACAATTTGGGCGGAGGCTTGTCTAGAAAAAGTAAGTGTATTTTTATTTCATTCTTATTTTATAAAGTTTTGGGTATACAACAACTGTCTGCCAGTACTAGTTCTTTTGTAAGTTAAAAAGTATAAGACTTTCTGGATTTACACTGAGAAGACGTGCAATAGAATAGTGTATACAGGGTTATTTTTGCCCCACTTTATTTCTGCCCTTTCACTTGCAAACAATTTTGCCCCATTTTAGATTGGCCAAGTCAGAGTTCTGTTTAAGAAATTATACTGTATTCTTTGAATTCGACCCTTTTAGATTTGTCTAACTGAACTAGGGATGAGAATAAAACGGGGGCGAAAATTTCCCTGTATACAGTATTTAAAAAGGTACTGGGTGATATAGTGGAACTCATATTTTACTACATATTAATCGCCTGTTGTTAAGAGTCATATGTTTAACAGCTGTTCTCCACTAATTTTCAGTGCATCAGTACATAATGAAGGCCTTTGTCCATGGACGACTGCTTTACTGTACACCTGTAGAAAATATACCAACCACGTACTCAAGTCCAGCGGTAAGGAGAAATATTAATAGAGATAAGCAATCTTATGAACATTTTAATAGAATTACTTTCAATTTTTAAAAATGAGATTTCTGAAATGTTTGTTTTAGGATTATTTCTTTGACAAAGACCGGTTGACTTCAGGAAGTCCGCCCAATGACAGAGGATGTCGAGTCTGTAACAAAATCGGACACATCGCGAAGGAATGTCCAGTAGTTATAAACAGGAAAGAGAGGTAGGAAGCATTCATATACAATAATAAGAATTGTTCTGAACATTTTTACAAATATCTAAATGACAGATATCAAAATGCTGAACTTTTGTTAAACTTTTTAACATTTATACATATATATTTATACAACTATTTACATTTGTCAATATACAGCCTACTCAGGATATATCGAAATTCAGGGGACCATGCAAATTATTTCAATATATTTGTAATTCAATATAAGCGAAATCATGAAGCCGCCATTTTTTTTTTTTTATTAAAAGTTCAATTCTGATCTGTAAATAAAGAACAAACCCGAACAAATTAATTTTGTCATCGTTTACCTATAACAGTGTACTGATTACATGGAATATTAGTCCTTGAAAGTTTAAATAAAATTGTTTCTTTCTGTTGCATTGATAAGACAATCTTCAACCTCATTATTATGCCCCGGTCGCATTTATGTATGTTTTGGAGAAAAATCACCGATCATAAACTGTTGAGTACTGCTGATCGCTGCATGTATTTGATCGTAAGTGTACTCTGGTTAATCCCATAGCTATTTCGAATTTAGGCTTATCAATAACATTACCGGTACGTATTTAATTTCAAAGCTAAGTTTCTAGATTTGTGGGGGTTACTATATTGCGTTTAGCCTCTGAGTGAATACGTCCATATTACATGTATAATACATTTAACAGCGATAAATTTTATTTCGTCAGAGCATGCAGTATAAAAACACATAAGATGAAAACTTAATTATTCACACCTTTGTATATCAACTGGTCAGTCAGGCATGATATCAGTCACCAACTGTAACAACAGCTGTCAGGGAGTATTTCAATATAACCGTTAAGAAAACAACTCATTATCACCTGTGGGGATCGATCAGTGACTTCAATATAAGCGATATTTCAATATAGCCGATTTCAATATAACCGTTATTTTAATGGAAAGAATATGAAAGTCAAAAATTTTTTATTTTTATTTCAAAATAAGCGGAATTTCAAAACAAGCGAGTTCAATATAAGTGGAGTAAGCTGTAAATAGTAGGATTGGGCCACAATGAGGACTCAAAGTTTACCTTAAAATGAAATGGAAAATGAAAAAAAAATCTTCTCCATAAACACTGGAACAAAAAAAGCTAAAATTTTTGTGGAAGTTTCCTGGTGTAGTGTAGAATTTTAAAAATTGTTCAAAACTTGGCCTCTGAGAGTAAGGTTGGGCCACAATAGGGACTCAAGGTTTAACATTGATATATAATGAAAAAAAATCTTTCCTCTCCAGAACCATTTGGCCAGAAAAGCTGAATCTGGAAGTATCTTGGGGCAGTCTTAAATTCGAAATTGTGGAAATCCTGTTCCCCAAGGATGGCTTGTAGCTTCTGCAGATTATCATGTTCTATCATACCCAATTATATTCTCCTATGCCCCCAAAACAAACATCCCTGGACTTCTTTATAATTGGGATTGGAGATATATTTTTTTTCATATTAGCAAAATTTAAAATTATATTTTTTAAAAATACATTAAGGGAAGAAAGAGAAAGGGAAAGAAGAATAATGGAAGAAATAAATGCAGCTAGAAAACTTGAAAAGGAGAGAGAATTCTTAAACCAACAAATGAGGAACCAGCATAGGGAGTTTCACCACAACCAGAACAGCCAACAGAGGGAGTATCACCACAATCAGAACAGCCACCAGAGGGAGTTTCATCACAACCAGAACAGCCACCAGAGGGAGTTCTACCACAGCCAGAACAGTCCTCAAGGAAATAATGTACCAAGAGGTGAATTGGTGTTTCAGTTGTAGATTTATCAATGTGTGACATGATACACTGGTTGAAGTTACCAATAGTGAGTAGTATGATTTTAAGAAAATTTAATTTTTGGTACCTGATTTCATTGATATAAACGTAACTCTTTTCTTACAGCCTACAGAAGAAGTAACTCGGAGAGTCAGGAGTATGCTCCTCACACCAGACAGTCTCTACAGAACCCATTACTGCCATATCCTCAAATGCAGGGGTATATGTCTCCCCCAGTCCACCAGAGGGTATGGAAAACCCCATTAGATTGTTGACTTAAAAAATCTTTAATTTTTTTAAACCATCCACTAGAAAGTTTAAAGGGGTGTCAACTGTGGAAATCGGCATGTCTGTCTTTCTGTCTGTAGTTGTAAGAGTAATTAGCTCTGCATTTAGAATACATATACTTTCTAGCCTATTTTAAGGGGATATTTATAATATTAAAAAAATGTATTCTCTATTTTTTTTAACTTTTCTGATTTTTTATGGTGTTTTAGGACAAGAGACCCTTCTTTCATAATTCATCCCATCTGTCTCAGGCCTACTCCAGACCCCCAGGGGGCATGAACATTACTGGCCCGCCCTCTCAGCAGATCTTTAGGATGCCAGGACATGATCCACAACTGAGCATGCCCAGGAACCAAACTAACAGGATCTCACAGAGGAACCAAGATCCCAGAATGCATCAGTCCAGAAATCATGGTCCTTCAATGCAGGTATCTCCACCTATGAATGATTTGCATGAGCATCCCGGGATGCAGGGGCACATAACATGTCAAGCATATAATTCACCTCCAAGAAATCCGAATCCACAGGATGGTGACCATTCCAGTGGTGATATTTCTCCCACTAACATACCCAATTTATTTTATAACGTGCCCACCTTTGTGGGTTATCCATTGTATTTTAATCCATGTCAGCAGGGGACACAACTGTTACAGGGACAAGTTCCTGGTTACCAGCAGGTGTTGTCTCCCCTACAGGTAGGGTTAAATCTTTAATGCTGCACGCTTGTTACTGACAGTTGCTTGATCTGCCCTTTTCCTGCACATCCTGACACCAGACTGATGCCTTTATTTTCTGTTTTGTGTGTTGAAGCATGATACAAAATCCTCTGTAAGGTAGTATAATTCACTAATTTGCATATATTTAAAGCATTTATAGATATACATTTGTATTTATAATGCTTTGGTTCTAAAAAAAGTTATTATATCATACCATTTAGCAAAACTGGCATCTTTAATACAAGTATAAACTCATGGGAGAAAAGATAATTAATACCACTGCAAGTGTCAGAGTCCAGCTCTGATCTATGATGATGCTTTTGGCCAATGGGATACCTAGCTAGACACTGTATTCTAAAACTGGCCTTTACATTTTTATTTGTGAAGTACTTAATCAAAAAAGTTTGTGATGTGTTATTTCTTCATAAAACTTCTATCATTAATGCTTTGGATATATCATTTTCATTTTTGAAAAAAAAAATTGCTAGTGAATACTGCTTAACACTAGTTAGTAAGTTGTTATATAACAACATATAGCTTAAGAGCTTAACTACTGAATATTCAACGTATTCATAACATCAACCCCTTTGAATTGTGCATAGCCTTAAATTCTGTTTATGTTGATTGTTTATAAATGACTGATAGGTATTCATTTGCAAAATTGATTCTCTTTTATGTATTTACAATGTTTCACTATCTATTAATGTATTCTTGGATATTTTTAAAGTAACTATGTCAAAATTGAGTTTAAAAATTGTATATTTCTTACATAAGATAATAGCAGAATGTGGATTCATATAGAACATGTAGAAAGTAAAATTGAATTTGTTCGATAAGTTGCCTACAAGCACATCTTGTACATTTAAATTCTTGATGCCTGCTTGTTTATATGATTTTGTTGTATTTTTTGTGCACAGCTTAAAATAAGTAGAAAATGATAAAAGGACATCATTATAACTATATTTGTTTGATGTACTCTGAACCACATTTTTCAAGGTAGGTAGGTATTTATGTTTTTTCGCTTTGCAGGATTGAACAATTTGAAAACTCATAAAAATCAAAGATTCAGAAAGATGTTCTCATTACACACTGGATATCTAGACAGATTTATTTTTTATAAATCAAAAAGAATCAAGAAGAAATTATATACCATAGCTTAAAAATGTTAATGGAAAATAAAGGAAAAAGATTGAATAGGGGCCATTTTGACTCGTCAGTCAGAGTACATCAAACAAATAATTCTTCTTGTTGGCCCAACCGAAATTACCCCTGATATTTGTAAATCATTATATAATGATACAGTACTTAAATTTTAGTACAAATAAAATTATCAATTAAAATTAGCAGCTGGACCACCCAATCTTTTAAAATAATTACACATGACTCGTAAAAGGCATTGGCAGCCATATTTCCTATTCATCACTGCAACATTTATCATAACAACCCTTTTTATTAGCTGAAGACCTCTTAACAGTTATAAGTATTTCACAGTAAAGATAGATGCCTTCCCCGGAGAAGATGTACATCTTATATTACTCTCAACTCTCTCAAGATAAAATTGTCAAATTTTCTGCACTTTTTAAAAAAAATTGAGAAAATCCCAATGTAGCTCTTTTGTATGGGAGCTAAGAAAATTTGCTTGTGGTATGTATCATTTATAATAATACAGAAATACATGCCAAAAAATAACTGTTTTAGGGATGATATTGACTAGGACCTATAAGCAGAGGATAAGAAAAGATTTTAAATAAAAAAGATTTTTTTTAATTAAAATTCACATTGTTTCATAGGGGTAGAGATGGGTGAGGGTTGTGTAATTATTATAATGATACGCATGTACTAGCAAATGTTTCATGACAGTTCAGCCTACCATGGTACAATCTTCGTGCATATATTAGTTTATGCACAGTTTTCACTGAGGAAATGGAAGTACATAAATCACGGCCAGGAACACGTTAAGCTCCAAGACAGTACCGTTGTCAGAAACATTTAAAGTTAAGCACTAAAAATGGCTCGTTGTCATGAAAATACAGGTAAGGTTATGACAAAAACTGTCCAGTGTCATTACTTTAGAAGACAGGTCGTGAGCAGTTTTTCATTTTTTAAGTTAAATAATTTCAACCAATGTCTGAAATTGCAATGGGGAACAGGTCTGACACCCCTTTTGGTGTTGTATGAATGTCAGTCGTTAAAATGAAGTAATAAAAGAGGAGTTTGCGTTGGCGATACTAAACCCTGGTGAAGTCAAACGTTGATTTCATTCATTTTCCTTCTGAGATGTTATATTTTTTGTAAATAGAATATCATATATATACCAATTGATGCAATCAGTATCAAGACATGTTATAAGCATTTATGGAAAAAATAAAACAAATTAAAACTGAAATATTTGATTTATTATAATTTATGTCCGTTGTACGAAAATTGAGTCCGTTGTCATTGGTCCGTTGTCGCTACTTTACTGTACGTATACGCTATGAAGGAGGTCGATTTTAGTTTTTTTTAAAATGCTTTGATAAATTTCAAACATGCCTTCAATAAATGGGTGAACTAATTAGTCATAAGAAACTAAACGTATGCTATTTTCTATAGTTCATATAATGTTCAGCTTTTGTGTGACATGCATATGGGCTTCAGCCTAATTTCAAAGTGAAGGAAGAAATATGCTCGCTAACTCTCGATTCCTGCCAACATTTGTCACTCATTTTGTTTAATATTAATGGTAATTTGGCCATAAAATCGTTTTTAATACAAAGAACAGTTAAGTGGTAATTGATGAATTGTTTTGATACCAGCGCTAAATAGTGAATTATCCCTATTTCAAGCTCTTAAAAATGGGGCGGGGGTAGACAATATTCTCCATTGAAAGATCACCATATTTTGAAATAGTCTTGGACATGATTAAATGTTCCTAGTATGTTTTCTTATGTTTTCGGCAAAGAAATTATAAAGATAAATGTATTAATAGCATGTAATGTTTCAGTTGTAAATCGCTTCGAAATTGGTGAAAAAATCAGCATGACAGTGCAGTAAATATTAACCAAACACAGATATGCAGTTTTGTCGATTATTTCATTCACTTGAATGGCATAAAGTAAAATTATAACAAACCATTAAGGGGGATCACCTGATATTAAACAAAACAAGATAAAACATGAACATAGGTGCATGAAAGGTACAAGTGTGATCCCCCTGAGAATGACTAGAAATTTACATGCAGGTAAAATATCACTTTACATGTAAATATGCATAAAATATAACATAAATGAGTTAATCCTTGGAGGCATCCAAACAATTGCACCAATCCCAGATGACAAGTTACCACTATAAGAAAAATACAAATTTTGACCAGAATGCAAAATAATACAAAAATGAACCCATAAAAAGGATGGGTGGAGGGTTTTTTCCATCGCACTAACAGGGTAACAGAAATGGCGCAACAAAAACAAAGATTATTTTTTTCGATTAATAAAATCCGTAACCATGGTAACTATCCGATGGTTAAAGATTTAATAGATTTCTCATAGCGGCATAAATTGAATTTACTCCTACAAGTAAGAGCCTCGGTTAACGTCCCTACGCTCCTTATATATGTGGCGCCAATTCAAAAGTATCTCGCCGTGAACCTCTAGCATGCTGGAGTAAAATTGAATTATCTGTGGTAATTTTTTTTTTGTTTTTTGTCGTTTTCTGTCTATAAACATATCTATGATAATATTGTTTTTGTGATTTTGTCTATAAAGTATACAAATCCCCCCCCCCCCCCTGAAACACAAAATGCTTTGGTTTGAATTTTTGGAAAAAAATAGTCCATATCACCTGTAAAAAAGAATTTTTTTCACGGGGGAGGGGGGTATTTTCCTTTTTTCGTTGATTTCTTTTGTGAAAAACAAAAGTTTTACCAAATTTTTATGGTTATCTCTTTTTGTTTTCCCAAATAAGTGATGTTTTAAGAAAATTTATACAATAATCTATAAAAAAAAAATATTAAAATTTTTTCGAATATGTTAACTTTTGATAATTATATCTGGGCGGTAGGTGGAAAAACAATATGTATTCAAATATTGTATTATCTGTTATTAATATATATATTATAATATTTTTACATACATGCCAACTTTTGAAAATTCCCATGGGGGATTTAGCGCGTGACGATAATTTTCAAAGCTCTAAATTCACGACATTTTGTCGTGAAATCAAATGATAATGAAATGATCTTTTTTTAAATTTATAATATTTGATATCACTTATTAATACAACTTAAGGATTAATTTAACACAAAAAATTAATTTAAAAAAAAATTTTAAAAAAATGTTTTTTTTTCCAAAATTGAAATATTTTTGCTAAAATAAGTGCTTCTCTCGTTAAAAACATGTTGTTGTTTTTTTTCTACCAGGACACATAATTTATTGAAAAATTGAAAATTGTACAACTTTTAAATCATTTTTTTCAAAGGCTAAAAATATATGAGGTTTTGATACTTGAGATTTTTTAATTATATTTCAGTTAATTAGATATTCTAATAAGGTATTAAATTTACTGAAATTTATACCACATATCCAAAGGAGAATTATTTTTTTTTTTACAGTCATGAAATTTGTCAGGCTTGATGGTACCATGTGGGTATTTCCTAAAGTCATGCACATACCTATAAAATATTACTTTTGGGAGAAGGAAGGGAAAAGAAATTCTAACTGACATACCCTTGATTGTTTCATCTTAATTTTTTCATAATATTTTGACTGGCAAACTTTACAATATTTTTCATTATAGATAGATAAAATCAGCAGCTATGCTTTGTATTTTTCTACTTTCGTTTTCAAAAAAACGATCTCTCTGGATTCCGATTTTATAGTTTGATTAGTATTTCATTGTCTTTAATTTATGTTTTTAATAAAATGACTAACAATTAAAATGTTAATCTATGTGTTTCACCTTGCATTTAAAACTGACAAGAAAGCTATAACATTACTTGTACCTGGACAACTGCGTGCGTTCAAGCGTGAAGTGATTTCCCGTAGCTAATTAACATTGTTAAATAAACAATGAAACTTATCTGAATGCATTTAACAAACAAGTTTGACACTGTTATCCCGATTGTCAAAATTCAGCGGTAGGGAATCTTTTATAATCGGAAATTTTGGTGATTTTTTCAAATCGGGAAATTGGGGCAATTCTTTCACGATCGGGAAAGCGGGATGAAAGGGTAAAATCGGGAGGATCACGCCTAAATCGGGAAGGTTGGCATGTATGTTTTTATCATTGAGGAAATATTCAAAGATTTTATGCAAACATTAATTTAAGAGCTTATATCTCAAAGTAAAAGATTCCAGTCATTGGTTCATATTTCTCTTCATTTTGAATAAATTTCCTTGCGTATTCAAAAAATTCTTTTAGGAGTGAACATCCTCTGTCTACCGTTTACACCTACTGTGTGCTCCTTGTCTTGATCGGGAAATGTATCAGGAAAAATCCGTCAATGTGTAAAAAATGGCCTAATAATTACTATGAAAAACGTCAGTCAGCATTTGACTCCATGATAAATTGTATTTGCTGACAATATCATTGCTTCGACCAAGGAACTTTTGAAATAATGACTTTCTAAAACAAGACTTTTGATATTCTTGTTTCAGCAACTTGTTTGTCAATAATTTAATACGTATTTAAAATTTCTGTATTTTTAAGTTCGTGTAGATCCAATATTTTATTTTTGTTTTACTGATAATATTTCAGGAATTGTTATACGTTTGCACTCTATATATTAAAAAACATCAGAGAATGGTAGGCAACACTACTCCGAAGACGACCCCCCAAAAGATTCAAAATTTTCTGCAATATGCTTTCTCTTTCGTAAGAGTACATATACATTTGATCATTTTTGTTATATACGTATTTATTGATCAGTCTGACTAAAACCAGCCCTTACTATTTCACTTCTAACGAAGTGAAATAGGGACTAGCTTTAGTCAGACTGTTTTATTGATAAACTTACATGTTAAGAAAAAGACACCGGACTAGAAAAACTTTACATGTACTGACAACGGACATTTTGCTTTTAAATTTCGATTTCTTAAAGCCTGCTATAAAGAATAGGCTGTCAGTTGCCTAACACATGTAAAATTAAGTTTTTTTTCATATTTCAAAATAAAAGGACCATTACGATAAATTTTACGTAAGAAATATTAAATTTTCAGGCTGACGATCATGACTTCACACATGGGCATGTGATTGCCAACGCAAACTCCTCTTTTATTACTTCATTTTAACGGCTGAAATTCATATAACACCAAAAGAGGTGTCAGTCCTGTTCCCCATTGCAATTTCAGACATTGGTTGAAATTATTTAATTTAAAAAAATGAAAAACTGCTCACGACCTGTCTTTTAAAGTAATGACACCGGACAGTTTTTGTCATAACCTTACCTGTAATTTCATGACGAGCCATTTTTAGTGCTTAACTTTAAATGTTTCTGACAACGGTACTGTCTTGGAGCTTAACGTGTTCCTGGCCATGTAAATGTGTTCAAACATCCTTTTCTTGTTTTAATAAATGTTTTTCTTTGGTCATAACAATTTGAATTTTTTGTGTGGGAATAGGATATAACACAGATTGTTTGAGCAACCTTTTAGATGTGAAGTGAATTATATGTAAGGATTTCTTTTGACATTCTTACTACATGTATGATAAGATTATATTCATTCTTTGGATTTGTACACGTGTTGCAGTATCACTATGTTATTAAACTTTTAGCCCGACTGAGCCAGGGATGGGGTCAATTACTTTAAAAAGTAATTAATTAAATTACAATTACTTTAACTTTTTCTTCAATTAAATTACAGGCTTTCTAAGACATGTAATTAATTAAATTACAAATTACATCTTAAATTTTTTGATTTTTTTCCAATCCGTGTCAATGAATATACAGAACTACATTCATTTGTATATAAGCTCAGCCTCTGCTCAAACAATACAAGAAATGATATGATGTAGGCATTGTGTACACTTCTTTGTGGTTTGAATTATAACTTTTATTTAAAAGAAGAACTATCCGAGATCACAGTCTGATGCAGTTTCTTCCACGCAATATTAACATGTACACAAATTGCATCCCTGATGGCTTATGATATTTTATTAAAAGGAGGTATCTTAAAGTGTAAAATGAGTCACAACTGTAACCCCTCAAATTAAATATTTCTGAACCTAAACATTTGAATTAAATTGTTATTTATGTTGAACATTTTTACTTCATAGATGATTGTACAGAACATAATTTTCTCAGATACAAAATTTATGTATATAAAAATCTTTTTAGATGTTAAAATAATTATCAAATTAAAAGTTTTTCTTTTCTTAAGTTAGCAGAGCATTATGATTGAAATAATTATCTCCATCGGCTTTGTTTTCTGAATCATGGAATGAATACCTTCTTAGAGGAGTTGACTTGTTTTGATTGCAATTTATGGCTGTGATTTGGAGGGCTATTATTTCTTCACAACAAGAGGGAATTAACTTAATTATGACACACACATTCTTTTTCTTTATTATTGATCAAACAAGAAAAATTGAAATATAATAAATGTGTGTTTCATATTAAGGAATAGACCCACGAAGGCTCGTACAAAATCTAGATAAACCTATACAAAAAAAAATTATATACTCATTAGAAAGACACTAGATAATTATTATCAAATCATTCATTTAGTTGCTTGTAAACATTGTCTTAAATTTTTTATAATTGGAGGACTGAGGATATGTATTACAATTAAATGAAAGACAGTAAAATTGGGAGGTAGTGGTGACAATGTATCATGAATGTGCACTGTATAAAGTAATTGAATGTAATTGAAAAATGTATTTGAAATTACATGGTATTTTTTCAGTGTAATTAATTCAATTACAATTACAAGTAATTGAAAAAATGTTCAATTACAAATTACTTCCAATTACTTTAAAAAATTTAATTAATTACGGTCAATTACAATTACTTTTTTCAATTACCCCATCCCTGGACTGAGCTCAATGCTCAAATGGACATTTCTGATCAAAATGATTTGTCCATTGTTGTTGTCTTAAACTTTCAAATATTTTTTCTCTCTCCGAAACCACTGAGACAATTCTATACAAACATTGTTCAGAGTATTTTAAATAAAGTGGATCAATTTTTCTCTTCAAATGAAGGGACACATCATCTCCCGGGGGATGGTGTGTGGATGGGGTTTAAGAAACAAAGAAGGGTACATGAGGGTTCATTTTGAAAATCATCTATTTAAGAACTAATTTACAGGGCCATAGAAGATGAATCTTAAGTGAAAGGACTAGTGTTATTGAATTTTGTGCAAATTATGGCAAAGGGTGGGGTCATTATATAAGCATATATTTTAGAGTTTTCTGTGGTCAAATGAGATGGTCAACTTTGGTCAAATACCTCATAAATCATAACCTCATAAGGGTATATTGAGGCTACAATCTCAGGTCAGTTTTACAGCAGGACTAAGGTGAGCAATGTGGCCTGTGGGCCTTTTGTTGATACTGTGGCAAACAAAATTACTAAAAAAAATACACTTGCATTCGTTTGAATGACATGAATTTTTCATATAACCATACAAGAATGTTCTGTCAATATAATTCCCTTTTGTACAACCCCCTGTGTTATTTTGTAGGCATCAAGTCATGGATTAGAACAAGGCCGCGTTGTCAATCCTAGTAACCAGGTCAACTTTGGTGAGTATCTACAGTTATAAAGTTAGGCCTAATTAATGGTTCTGTTTGGAGTACCAGCAATGAAATATTTTGATGTGGGGCATTTTTTAAAAAATATAAAACAAAATTAATTTTAGGATTTTATGTTTAGCTGATTTGAAGCTCAAGTGAATTTTTCTGATCACATTTTGTCCAGCATGTATCATTCCATCTTATAAACTGTTCATATTTTTGATTCTATTCAAGTACATGTACGAATAATTTCCACCAAACTTTTCACAAAGTTCTTGGATGAAGGGATTCACGTTTATTCAAATGAAGGATTACACTCTCTTTCAATGTGAAATAATTAAAATTAAATCTAAATTTAACAAGTAAATTTGATGCAAAGCATCAATTTTGCACACGAAAATATATCATTTAATCATTTTAAAGCATTTTCATAAAAATAGAAATCCAAAGGAAAAAATCAATATAAAAAAGGACATGTACCATGGATGGCATGTTTCTATAGACAACTGTTCCATTGCCTTGCTTTTCTGTGCCATTTTTTATGCTTTAAATGTTAGTGTGATCAAATGGAGTAAATAAACTTATGCTTTTAAATAAAAGTTGGGTAGTATCATATCATAGAATTATTTGACTTAAGTTTAAATGAATCAAATACTAAAATGACATAATGAATGTCTGAATGCTGACAAAAAAAGACATAGATCTTTGTCATATGTGATATTTCCAATGTTTTGTCAAAGTATGTAAAGTGCAAAAAAAAAATGATTGTGGTGTTTACAACCGTACTTATTGCATGACCATAAATACAGGTTTGAATATGTAAAAGAATTTATAAAGGCTTTATTTATTTTTACATGAATAAAAAAAATACATCATTACATGACAGGGTATTTCACTTTCAGGCATCACCGTTCCCAATGAGTTTTACAGGGGAGGTAATACGGAACAGCAGAGATTCAGTAATTCACCGCATCGGGGACAGCTTAACCGACCTTCACCCCGCAAGTGAACAAAGTGTGTCTCACACTGTCAACTTTATAAATATTGTCAAATTGACAGAATAATTTTACACTTGACTTTGATAAGGAATTTCAAATTTAGTGTTTTATAGATAAGCAAAGATGTCTATTTTACAATGAAATAAAAAAAAAATGGTAGAAATAATATATTTTTTCTCTCATTTTCTTTTCAATTTAAGTTTACAGCAAGGCCAAAATAAAATTATAGTTTGTTTGGAATTGCCTCCCGCCTCATTGAAATTGCCCCCTCCTGAAAAAATTTTATTGACCAAAAGTAGGAAGATTTTTTTTTATTTAATCAATTTTTTTGCCCATTACATGTATCACATGCACCATACAAAACACTGAAATATAGTGTCAGATCTATGTAAAATCAGGTTTTTTTGTTGATGGTAGATACTTTTTTTTAAAAGTCAGAAAATGTATTTACTATTTACTGAGACTTTTATCAAAAATTAAAAATTTTTCTTCAATTTAAAAAAAAAAAAAAATTTCCCTCCCTCCCTCCTGTGTCTGAAACCCTTCAGGCGGCAATTCCAAACAAACAATTTTTTAAGGATGGCCCAATTTAAGAGAAAATTAATTGGTTAACTTTATATGCAGTTAACTAGCTTGATTTTATATATTGGTTACATGTAAATAACTGGAAGACAAGGGTAAAGGCAAGGTTAAATCCCATTTATAAGTGGAATACACAATAGTTGAGACAAACTTGAATCCCACAATTTATAAGTGAAATGCAAAAAAAATTAAGGCAGGCATGACTCCTTCAATTTATTAGTGGGATACACAATAATTATAGCATTTTTAAGTGGAATACACAAAAGTTAAGGCAGGCCTGAATCCCATAATTAATAAGTGGGATACACAATAGTTAAGACAGGTGGAAATTGCACAATTTGTAAGTGGAAGACTCAGTCCCTTAATTCACCCCGTGTTACTTGTGGTTTAGCATAGGTAAATGATTCTTAGACATTCAGCTCACATTTTGTTTTTGTATATTTAGATTTAAAAAAAATTGAACATATGTCATTTAAATTAAAAGAGAGAATTTGTGAATGCTCAGGGAACATGAATAGTGAATATTCTGAGAACCCTTATCATCTTGTTTGGTTCTTTACTCAAGGATGTTAATATCTGTGTTCATTCTTTCAGTCTCTAGTTTTATGTTTAATAGTTTGGAGTATCAAACAGAATTTAGTTTGTCATTAAACCAAAGAAACTTTTTCAAAAAAGATCTGATATCATGTTATGTAAATACTATTTTTTATACATCTGAGTTTTTAAGGTCCTTACTCAGATAATGCCCAGACCCAAAACATCTCAAAATGTGTATTTTACAAATAGTGTCAACATAAAAATCTTCAAAATCAGTAGTCAAAGGGTCTACTTGGTTGAAATCCAATTTTAATTTATTTTTTAAAAAAATGTAACGTTCTACATTATTGTGTGATGACTTTTTGAAAATCATGTGACTTTCACAGCATACTAGATGTAAAAGTTAAGATTTAGTATTGGAAGTAATTTCGGACCAAATCAAGATCTTAGACGTTATTTTTAAAATAAAAGAAAAAAAAAATTAAATTTTTAAAAGCCATATTGTTTGAAGGTAGTTTACTTTTACCTAACTGAGGGTCTTTAATTCGTTATGGCCGTGACTTGTGCTACTCTTTTGTGGTGATGATTTATGGTCATGGTGGGGCCGTCAGTCATTCTGATTCCAAATTGGAGCCTCCTTTGTGCGGCCTAAGAACATAATCATCTTCCATAATATTGAATGACTTTGTAATCCTGGCGGTGGATTAGAGAGGGTTATGTGTTAAAAGTCTCTATTAATCCACGAGCAGACGTAAGCTGTTTCCCTCCTCCTAACACGTGTTTATTCAGACGAACTTTAAGTTCATTAATTAAATGGTACCTGTAGTTGGATTACCATTCGTCGCTTTTGCAGGTGCAGTCATTACAATTGCTTTTTAAAAAGAATTATTAAATTTTCCTGCATATATACTGAAAGGAAAAAGAAACGCATAAGAACATAATATGCGAAAAATCAATGACTATGTGGCCGAAAATTATGAAAATTGGTCATATATGTATTTTTGTTACTTTGCACTAAAATTGCTCAGTGGCGGATTTAAGGGGGGGCGCACCCGGCGCGCGCCCCCCCTAAAATTGTCAAAGTTAGCGTAAATCAAATATGTCTACTTGGTAGACCTCATTTTCACCTTTCAAAATCTCTAGAATCCAGGAATTGCTTCCGGGGGCTTTTCGCCCCCAACCATGGGCCCCCACCAGGGCTTTGGTAGACCTCATTTTAACCCTTCAAAATCTCTAGAATCCAGGAGCTTCCGGGGGCTTCGCCCCCGCGCGAGCCCCCACCAGGGCTTTGGTAGACCTCATTTTAACCCTTCAAAATCTCTAGAATCCAGGAGCTTCCGGGGGCTTCGCCCTTTTCAACAAAAAAGGGTTTTTAATTTGTCAGAGAGTAAATTAAAAGGTTTCCAACCAACCATGGCGGTGACGTTGACGCGTAACAACGTCACATCAAGACAGGGCTTTTCATCATGTCACCTCGGTTGTTGTCAAGGTATTATCACTGAAATCGATATTTATACAGCAAACTATCATACCAATATTTTCACCCTAAAATTGACAGAAATTCTCTGCTCTAATTTGGTCCGCGAGCTTGGCAACTTTTACGTCGATTTTACTCTCACGCGCGCACGTACGTGTCGTGTGCGTAATGTTTTTAGCATGTTCACACTGGGAAAATGTAGCCAGTGTTTGTCGAGACTTTCTCACAAACATTCAAATGTACCAAACCAGCTGGATTCTCTTAATTCTATCCTAAAATGAAAATTCGTGGCACTCATTTGGCGGGGGGATTTGTTAGCTTTGGAATAATACAGCTACTATCAACCATTAAGACTATTGTCGGAAGGGTTGAATAATAATCAAATGAGAAAGATAAATGCTCTGGTGAACTCAATACACAGGAAAATCAAGGCTGTTACCAATGTGCAAGGGAGATTATGAGAATGTTTATTTTAATTTTGGGGGGTATCGACATATAAATTTCAATAACTCAGGAATTATCAGTCAAAGTCACACAAGATTTTGGTAACTTGTAGATTAAAGATGAATTGAAATGTTTGATAACAATACTGGAAAACATTTTCGAAATGATAGTTTTAATTTAATTTAAAAGTAAAATATGCGTTTCTTTTTCCTTTCAGTATATAAAACATTTGAATATATGAAACTCACAATTTGAAAAAGAAAAATTTACGAAGACCATGTAAGTGAACCCATTACACAGATAAAGAACATGGATAATGTTATAAATAGATAACGGGGAACCCTACTTTTCATTTAATTATTAATCATCTGTTTTATGTACAATATGTATATTAATAAAAAAATATGTTTGTGCACAGAACCTAAGTTTGTAACACACCGTATCTATGCACTTAGACGGGTATTCACTTTGATGTTTTAAGAATCCATTATGAATCTTTTGTTTGCGCGGCTGTATGGAGGGTTCAGAATTCCAGAGCGTCGAGGCATTGGACGTGGTCACGACATTCATTTTTTTCTTCCGATGACAAAAAAGGATGTGTTAAACGTGAATTTAAATCTTCTACGACCCCTCCGTTCACCACAATGTCCCGTTTATTCCAATTGATTTATTTAAAAGCATTGTAAATTTCCTCAAACAAAAACTATTCATAAGTTATATCTGATCAATACCATGACGTTGATTTGAGCTATGATAAAGAAAAGATTCATTTTGATATAATAGTTTTCTTTTTATGATTTTATTTATTGCAGGAATAAAACAAATAATATGATATAGATTTTCCCTCTGTTATTCAGAAAGGTTCATTCAGGCAATATGGAAGGGTTGCATATTGTCAGATCAATGAAGTGGACCAAAATTTTACATGAAGGAAAGAAAAATGTTTAAAAGCTTAAAGCTAGAGAACCTGTCAACTCAAAGATTTCAATAGCTTTCAATTTCAATTAATAGTTCACATAAGAATTTATGGGTCTCTCCAACAAATTCGACACACCAATAGGAAATAAATAGACACAACTCAATTATATAGACATTTTCAACGGCAAACCATAATCTGTTAAAACCTTTTACAACAGGCTTAAGGGATGCATGGGACTGAAGATATATACAGTCGCTCCAATACTCATGCGACACAGCACTGTTTAAGTGTTTGTGTACATTATCTATGTAAAATAACACATATTATGGCCGATAATTAAATAACACATTTCATTTCGTTGCTATCCTTTCACAGAGCACCTTCGTTAGTCCATGTACATCGCATATACCAGTCCAACTGCGTACAGAGATGCGTTTTTGAATGTGTATTCTGAGAAATTGTCTGTGCCTTGATTCCAGATGCAGCGACTGGTAAATGCAATGGAGGGATGGGTCTCAGTCTGTCCTATAGCCACTACCACCACAATCTTATACCGAGGAAACCCTAGAATCTTCACTTGGTGTTTGATTTTCTCTGATAATGTTGTAGTTAAACTTATGCATTTTTCCTTGTCATACACCATGGAACCAAGGTCACGTTCAAAAATGTCCTTGATAGTGTCTCTAACCTCAGCACTCCTGAATTTGACGTCAGGTTCCGTTTTATACGTATTTTCATAACGAACGTTTGGTCGATGTGTATGTGCTGACGTCATGATCATGGTGGACCGGCCCGTGGTCGATTCCACGATGGACTGTTTCCGGTCCTGAGAGGGTCTTCTGGCGTGGTCCATCATCATCACTGATGGCCGACGTCCGGCCGCGCCGTGCTGCGGATCAAAAGATGCTTTTCTTGCGTCTGGCGGAATGACGGATGGACGTCTAGCGTCCGGCGGGATCATGGACTGCTTCCGGGCTGCCGCGTCCGGCATCAGTGATTGCTTTCGGCCAAGAGGTCCACCCTCTTTCTTGGCAACACTTGTACTCATATCGATTTTTAAATTCCGTTAAACCAGCGTATGTCTTTTCTATCCGATCAATGATTATTTAAACCACTCTTATTAAGTATTACAATGATTATTCTTTAAGTAGAAGACAAGGATAGTGTCCTAAACCTCCTGGTCGGCGGCAAATCACCTGTTCGTGTAGATCTCTACAAGTCGTACATGCACGCTATATCGCAAGTCCTGCTACTGGTAACAATTTAACATTTGAACATCTGACACTTTGCGATCCCACAGACATTTAAACTGCGATCTGATTTGTCACTAGTTACCAGGAGCTACAGTACCAATGCACGCTTTTGACGGATGCCTGATGAATGCTTTTGGCCGTATTGTACCATTCCTAATACAATAAAAGACAATGTCATTGAGTCTAAATAAGTTATTCTCATAAGGTACTCATGTAGAAACGATTTGCATTGTCTTTGATCGAGTTAAACTAACATCCACCGATTTATTCTAGATCTTTAATGTGAATAATTTAAAATTGACTAGATTTAAACATCATTGAATAGAGTATTAAAATGAAAAAAAAAAAACCGGCTTGAATTTAGTTTTCTTTCATATAACTGTTAACCATATTTGTTTACTTTTAATTGAAATTTTAATTACTTATTCAAGAGAGAGAGAGAGAGAGAGAGAGAGAGAGAGAGAGAGAGAGAGAGAGAGGACATTTGTTTGAGGTTTAATTCATTAAAGAATGGTTGCTATTTAGAGACACTTCAAAACATGGATTTAGTGCGAACGGCAAAAGATCGATGGTTTTAACTGAATAGATATAAATTAGGGGTATTCCATTTAATGGAGTAACTTGAAACGAAAATTAACTAGACTCTAATATTCTTTTAGTTCTGCGATGTCTTAAAGTCATTAGAAGGGCATTTGTTTGATCTTTAGGATTTATAAATGCATGGCTGTTTCAAAGTTTTTCTTAGCCTTTAAACGCCCGTTCTTGTTTTGGCTATAAGATTAAGATAATATAGTTTTCCAGAGTTAACCATGTGTATATTCAGGTGTTAAGATAAATTACTGTCTCTTCATCTTAGATTTAAAACCCCCGATTAGAATTATTAAAGACGGTACATATTCATAACTATTTTATGATTATATCTAGCATCCAGTAAAATCTGTTTTAAGACTTAATTCCACTTATTAAAAACCCCTAGCTCACTTGGACATATGTATAGTTAATTAAGATGCTTGATTATTTATTTAAAATCGAAAAATGGATTGCAATTACTTTAAATACATACCACATTTTTTACAAGAATAAAAGTGATAGCTTACTAAACTACCGAAAACTACCGGAAGTACATGTCATCCTTGTTCTCCATATGAGTTTTTTTTACTTGAATTATTCAAAAGGCCATAGTTTATTGTTGAACCCGTGATGGTTTTTCTGAAAAAAAAATAAACGAAGGACAGAAAATTCTCTGTCAACATACAACGCGTGTTTACGATACAAGAAATATTTAATGAAAATGCCTGAAGACTGAGAATGATTTTTGGAAATCTTGTCGGTACGTAGGAATGATTTGACATTTTTATCTATCGATTCCATTTCGCACTTCTTGTCGTTACGTCTTTAAAATTAAAATCCATTCATTTATCACGCAATATGCAGCGACGGCCCGGTATGGCCCCCTCTTAAACCAAGTCCTCAAAATCCCTACCATGACAAGAAAGATCGTCTGGAAATGCTTAATGTCAGATTTTAATTCTACACAAAATACACATGCATAATTTATGACATTTAATTTAAGTCAGTGTTTTATTTTCCTATTCGTACGAGAACTTTTTTCCTTTTGCATTATACCGACGTGGGAGATGAAATGAAACAAGTCATTTCTTCCTCACAGGAAACTGTGGCATTTTGATAGACTTCGGATTGTTCTTTTCAGTCTATTTTGCACGAGAAATTGATTTTCATACTTATTGTCAGCACTTGATGCACATCACTTTAAATATAAGTAGATCGTAATCGTTTCTTGTCTCTGATCACATGCTTATATCTAACACATTTCTCAAAATTTATAGAACCGAAAAATTCTATGAAGACATATTTGTTGCATTTGACAAACAGCTACTCCAAACACGAGTGCAGCTGATATATGTTCTGTTTTAGAATAAGATCCAAAGCATGCAGCTCATTATAGATAATCATTGATGTCTGAAAGAAGTAAAAGAAACATGTAAATAATTTCTTTTGGCTCATTTGAACCTTTTGCATTCAATAAGCTAAATTATGTTGGACTCTAAGAATGATCACAGTCGTTGTTTTTGAAAGGATGTATTCACTTTGACAAAAGAATTGACCTATAGGAGAAAACAATTTCCCGGAAAAAGTGATATTTAAAAATTAATCTTTATTTGTTGTTTTCTACCGTACATATGTCTAAATTTTTCAAATTTGTGTTTTTACCTAAAATTTATTATTTACAACTTTACAATAAACCTCCAAAGTTGGCCGAAACACCATTTTGTCCGTTAAAGCGTTGATTTTTGAATGAATTTGGGCCTAGAAGTCCTTCAGGGCAGGCCTACCGCTAAATACAATTGTGATATTTTGATAGGTTTGGGTGTAAGGAATAATTTACGATAGGATCGATTTTTTTAGGGGCATCCCTGCCCTAGGGTCGAAATTCACAAAAAAACCTACAAAAAATAAGGAAACCTGATTTTGATAATCTGCTTCGAATTTATATCTATAAATTTAGCAGTCAGACTAGCTCAGTTGATATAAGCACTGACTTTTATATCGTGCAAGCTAACATTTTTAAGTCGGGGGTTCGAATCCACCTTGTACCACACTTTCAAAGTTTTAAATTTTCGCCTTTTCAAAGACTATTTTAATATTTTTTTTATAGACTTGTGTATTTTCCTTCAATTATATATCCTTTATGCATGCCCATTCTTGATATAAGAAACACTAAAGAAATATCAAATCGTAAAAATCCAATGTACAGTTGTCAGTCAGGCGGAACAAACCTTAGTATAAGCACACTTTCTCTGAGGACAAGAATAACTCACTCCGAGTTACTCAATACATGTATTCTTGGCAGCATTGAGCTGCGATGATTGTCAACTGTATATATTCCTTGGAATTTAATAACATTGACTTTGGCTACATATATCAGTAACCGTACTCCCTTTTGATTTGATTTAGGCCTATATAATTTGCACACATCAATGGCATGTTTTCTTATATTCACGGATTAAATAGCGTAGACATAAAGAATAGAATGTCAAAGTAGTAAACATTACCATTATGCACATTGAGAAGTTAAGACAAATATCAATTATTACATTTTGAGATAACAAACACAGGAAATCAATGAAAGGGTTCCTCCTACCTCTACTCGCTGAAATAAAGATTTAGGAAAAACAAATTGTTATATGTATTCAGCCTAATGCCATTAATCAGAAGTTCAGAACGGAAATCGACAAGGTTTTTGTAGAGCAAAAAACCAAGCCCGGTCCTATAGGTCAAATCCCTATTTATAATGAAGTGATCCTTCATTAAGATGGTAAAAACGGATAACGATATCGGGTCATTAATATTCAAGTTCTGCCTCTGCACACTGTAAAAAATAACTAGTTAAAGTCACGAAGAAAACTAGTAGTTTCACTGTCCATACAATCACTTCCTTAATAGTAGTTTTACCAGATATTGGTATATTTACTAGATAAGATTTAGTAAATTTAGAATTGATGAGTAACTTTCACTAGGTACATGTATCTAAGTATCTACACGACCCCCGCTCCACAACTCACTATCTTAACCAGTAAACTGAAAGTTTACTAAACACGATCAACGCCTTACGAAACACACTAGTTAAATTCACTAGGTTTTTCTTTCAGTGTATGCAATCAACGTTAAAATTCCTTCATTGCACACAATCAGTGGTCTTATTCCGACTCCACAAGAAACTGCAGTGAAGTACATGTAGTTCCGCTTCCGCACAACCTGTTGTTGGTATATCTGTAATTCCGCCATCATAAAAAGTTTTCAAGATCGACCTTTGCACACGACCAGTGGTCAAGTTCCGCCCTCCACACACAACCTAGTTCGCTTTTGCACATACTGATCATTTTCGACCACTGCACATAAACAGATTTCTCTAGCTAGTTCCCCTTCCGCACAAAACCAGTGGTGTAGTTCTGACTCTGAACAACCTATGGTCTAGTGCTGCATGCAACCAGTTGTCAGGTTACGCCTTGCATGCAACCATTGGTCAAATTCTGCATCGTTTTGCACGCAGCCAGTGACTTAGTTCAGCCTCCTCAAACAACCACTGGTCTAGTTCTGACTCAGTACAACCATTGGTCAAGTGCTGTCTCTCCGTGCAACAATCAATGATCAAGTTACGCCTCCGCACGCAACTGGTGGTCAAATTGATCTGCACACAACCAGTAACCAAGTTCCGCTTTCGCATACAACCAGTGGTCTAGTTCCGACTCGGTAAAACCATTTGTTTAGTGCTGCCTCTGAATGCAACCAGTGGTAAAGTTCCGCCACCGCACACCAGTGGTCAAATTCAGCAACCAGTTGACAAGTTTCACCTCTGCACGCAAGAAGTGGTCAAGTTTCGCCTCCACAAACAACCACTAGTCTAGTTCTGACTCTGTACATCCGTTGGTCTAGTGCTGTCTCTCTATGCAACAATGCAGTGATCAAGTTACGCCTCCGCACGCAACCAGTAGCCAAGTTCCGCTTTCGCACACAACCAGTGGTTTAGTTCCGATTCTCTAAAATCATTTGTTTAGTGCTGCCTTTGAATGCAAGCAGTGGTAAAGTTCCGCCACCGCACACCAGTGGTCAAATTCCACATCGATATACACGCAATCAATTGAAAAGTTTCGCCTCTGCACGCAATACTATTAAGTAGTTTAGTTCCACATCGGCACACAACCAGAGGTAAAGTTCCGCCACCGCACGCAATCACTGATCAAGTTCTTCCTTTACACACAAGTAGTTTAGTTCCACATCGGCATACAACCAGTTGTCAAGTTCTACCTTTGCACACAGCCAGTAACCCAGTTCCACCTCTGAACACAACCAGTGATGATGTTGAGTTTTGTGTCAGAATAATCGCGCGCAGCGGTCTATTTTGCCTCTGCACACAGGCTCACATCTGCACACGAAATGAACTACAGAAATAAGGGGATTATTAACCCCAATCCCTACAAAAACTCACACATGATCCCACTTTTAGTGTTCTCATGAC